AAAATTCTATTTATTCTATTTTTTATATATTTTTTGTATTATGTAATGTCTCGTTTTTAGACCTACCTTTGGACAGTTAATAAAGATTTATAGCTATTTATTAATTAAATAAGAGAAAGAGAGAGAGTTTTTGACATATCTTATTAATTCGTTATCGAACTTGGTATACAAAAAAAATAAATCTACTTTATTTTAAACGTCAAAATGACTATTTTTGCTTTCTGAATTATAATGCACAAAGGCCTCGTAAATACATAGAATTTTGATTTTTGTTGAATTGGCTGTTTTTTCATATGTTGTAAATTATGTTCTACTGAACAAAAGATCCCAAGTAGCAAACTGACGTTGTTAAACATTAAAATGACGTAAACTTGTTACCTGGGATGTAATAGTTTCAAAGCTAAATATTGGATAATTATTGTGAGTTACAGTACAATTAAAGAACTCGTAGAATCTGAATTTTTTGAATTTGATTGTAAATTTGGCTATAAATCTATTACATTTTTCACAAGTTACAATATATGAGAAAACCAATCTCTTACCAAGATTCAACTTTATAAAATTAATTATAGAGTTTTTGAACCTAAATAAAATTCTAAATGAAATTGAATCAGCTGATTTTCTCACATGTAACTTATGACTTCTTGAACAAAAAATGTAATAGGCTCAAATTAAATAATAGATGGTTACTGATTTACACTTGATAAAACACGAAAAATTAGGACTTTACAAGTTGTTTCTTTTTTATTGGCTGTAACTCAATAATTATTGAATCTTTAGCTTCGAGACTATTACATCTTTTGTTCAGCAAGTCATAAGTTACAACATATGTAAATACAGCTAATTCCACCAAAAGCTAACAAATGTTTCGTTGACGGTGCATGAGAAAACAGGGGAAATAATTTTTTCGAAAGAACGTTATTTGCTCAGCTCGCGATCCCCAAAATCCCGGTATCAGCTGACTCTTCCGAGGCGCACCGATGTCTGGGGCGCGATTTCCTGATTCTCGCAAATCATCATCGTCGCAAGAGAGAGAAAGAGACGATAGAATGTTGATGATGCGAGTGGATCAACAACCGGGTGGTGATAAGACCCGGATCACGTGCGTTTTATCACGCATGTAAATTCGTCTGTGACTTCTCGACGTTATCGCGCCATCCTCGAGTGTGCACTTCTCCGTTTCAAGATATTTATGCATTTATTACGTACCAACGGGATCGTTTCTATCAGTCAACCAATTATGTATATATATATATATATATATATATAAGACTTCCCATACAGCACACAAGTTTGCAGCAATATTACAACATTCCAATATTGCACATTGCATGTAGCAATATTGCAGAAATATTATATAGGCATGAATTTGCAATATAGTTTAAACAACGTTGCAGTAACATTTCAGAAATATTATGAAAATAAAATTCACGCAAAAAATATTAGGTACAGACGATTCAGTCCGATCATATATTGACACATTTCCAATAATCCAATAGTAATATTACATATATATTTTCTTGCATTATTGCTGCAATGTTATAGAACAATGTTTCAATCTTATTGCGCTGTATGGGTTGGGTAGGTCTTGCGTACATCAGATCCAGTGATGAATAGAATTAAGGCTCCCATTCACTTCGCACGATTAAAACCGGTCGACTTTTCAGAATCGGCGATCTCCCAGTTGGGAAAAAGAATGAAGGTCGTGATTCTTTTACCACATATGTTAAGCTAACGGGGAGAGGAGATTAGCTTATTTAGGTTTCTCGAATAGAGAGAGGTTTATTCTTAATCCTTTAAAAGTATCCTCTTATTCAACAGCCTCTCTCTTATTCGTTATTTATTTTTTGTTTACAAAGTGTTTTTTTTTACACTTAATTTAATTAAAACAGCTCGTAATAAATTAAAACACTTAATTTGAATACTTTATTATTATTTTAATTAAAATACTTAATTAAAACAGCTCGTAATCTCGTCTAAAAAAGAAAGTTTCAAGATAAATAACTTTAAAATAAAATCCGTCAAAACGGAAGGCTTGAAAATCGTTTCAGCTTCGAAAATGCAACGATTTCTCAAAATATCTGTTTGGCAATATTTGTTTCAAGATTTGCATATCATAATTTTGATATTATGTAAATATAATATCTTTTAACAAAAAATATTTGTTTGTATCCCATATAGCTTGAAACATTTCGAGGAATTAGTCGTTGTAATAATAGAGTAAGTTCATAAAACGAGAAAACGAAGAAGAATGATAGCTCTTATAATTGAATTTCTTGCGTCATTTTAAAGCATTACTTTTTTATCGCTACTCTCTTTATGAAAAGATAAGCAATCGAGATGTTAAAATCGAGATATATCTTATATTCAGCAAAACTTTTCTTCGATTATTACGTAATTTAATCGTTAAATTGCTATTGACGTATTATACCGTGTCTTAATACATATTTATAATGCAGATACGCATAATTATAAAAGAGATATAAAGGAGAGAGAAGTTATCACGAACACAACTCAAGAAATCTAAATTAAAGCCCTTAACATCGAGAGATATGATAAGAGAATAGACAGATAAATGTATAATTATAAAAATTGCTTCAATTTTGCAGTCATAATGACGGATACTGCATCTAATCATCTAAATAATTAATTAAGGGAGCATTTTTACGAATAATTTGTATAATTAATTAATTATAGTTAAAGCAGCATCCAGAGATGAAAGAAAAAACTAAGAAAAAATAAGATAATAGAAATAAGAAAAAAAATATAAAAGTATTCGATAGGTTTTTCATCCTCTTTCTGAATATTGTTTTCGTATTTTCAGCGCGAAATTTTGCGAATCGTTAATGACAAGTGCAAATATTTGCAACATCTCGCTGCAGCCAATGTTGTACAAACGATTTTTTGTTACGTCTATTATTACTATCGTTAAATTAAAACTCGACGATTGCGTGGCGCCGGCTATTTTGAACGCTTATCCGATCATCGCCAAATGTGCCTAATATAACGAAACCAATGTGTTCATATGTAAATATCTTTGTTCAGCCTCTTTTTTGTTGGATAGATAACTGGGGAGTTTATAGGAACGATAAGATTCTTTCTATGTTCATATTAAAATTCTATAGAAAGGCTATTCAGCAATTGTATGTGATTTAAAGAGACGGTTGCATTTTTGATTAAAATATCAAATGTTTTTTATTTTTTATTTAACAAAACAGTCAATAATTTCTTGAACATTTTGAACTTTATAATTTTTTAATGTGTTTGAAGTGCCTCAACAAAATGTTGAGCAGATAAGAATTTAAAAATGTTTTCCTGCAAAATCATGCATTTCTTGATCTTTATATATATATATATTTTAAATTATGGTTTAAGTGTTATCAATCTTTTTTATTTAAAAATAACCAAATTATGATTCGATCATTCAGTTTAAAGAAATTGTAATTTTATCAAAAGCTACGATAAACAAGTTGACTACTTACACTATAATTATAGTTATTAACTATATATATTATATATAATATATTTAACAGATTTATTTATTTATTTATTTTATAATATATTTAATATATTTTTTTATTTATATATAATATATTTAATATATTTAACATATATTTAATATATTTATATATTATTTTTAACTATATATTGTCTATAACTATAATAGTATACATATTTCTTGTTATAATTATTAATATCTAATATAAAAAATAATAAAAAAAAATGTCCACGCGCGCAAATATGAGATATTCAAGCGTCCAAATCCCCCACAAAGATCCGAATCTTCGAGATTGATATTCGCATATTTTTCCTCCCAAGTTAATTGCAACGTGGCGCGGCAGTTGGCCGCCCATCTTCATCTTCTTGCGACTCTCGGTGCTTTTGAAAAAGAATCTATATTTAGAGCCGCGCGTTGGCAGAGTGCCCTATGCTTTAAATATTTTCCGTTTGATCGACGAAACGATGAAAGTTTTCGCGGTTGCATAAGTGGACCGAAGTGGACTGGCAGTGGCCAATCGACGTCGGGTTTTAAAAGGAAAAAGGAAACGTGCTCGGAAAAAGGATGGGGCTCTCGCGAAACTCCCTTCGTCATACTCTTCATGGCTCTCCGACGTACGCGATGAATATTTGGATCACGCACAGAAAATACGTCAATGGCGAGAAAATATAAATAGCGCGATAAAGAGAGAAGCCTTCGCTTCGTCAGGAGAACCTCTTATTCTTTCACTTCTTCACGAAATCGCGAAAAAATCGTCCAACAATTTCATATAAAGAAGATAAAATTTTACATATTTCTCTATGGTTCGCAGGATTTTTTAAAATTTAAACAGATATGAAAATAATAAAAAAATTAAAAAGCTGCCCCTCCTGGGGCACAATTAAATTTTTTAAATTTTTGTTGGTCCTTAATTTTTTTATTATTTTCATCTGCTTAAATTAAATATGCAAATCAATTCCAGTTTTCTTCAAAAGGAGAACAAATGCTTAATTTTTTTTACTGATTCCAAGAGGGGCAAATGGTCCCTCTTATTCTTCCATGTATCTCTCTCTTCTCTTGTTTAAAAAATATTGTTGAATTTTGATGATGTTTTAAAAATTTATTATTGCTGAAATATATTATATAATTATATATAATTTATTTTAAGTAATAATAATATATATATAATTTATTTTAAGCTATTTTAGACACTTTTGGGTAAAAAGGAATGTTTTCTCTTCTTTCTTCTTCATGAAATCGCGAAGAAACCATCTCAAAATTTGATAAAAAGATTAAATTTTACACATCTCTCTCTCTCTCTCTCTTTTTCTCTTATCGAAAAAATACCGTTGAATTTTTGGAAATTTATTGTTGCCGAAGCATTTATTTTAAACTATTTTACACACTTATAGGTGAACAAAATGTAGTATATGAAGAATTCTTTTTCATTTCTTTGTAATATGCAGGATACGAAAAATAGATTGGCAATCTTTTACACGCTTTTTCACTTTCTTCTCTTCAGGCATGACCCTTATCTTCTACGCTTGCTTCTACGCCGGACTGGCGCTACTCTTCAGCATTTGCATGAAAGGCATGCTCGCCACGTTGAGCGACGAGAAACCTAAATGGATCCTAAGCAGCAGCCTTATCGGCACCAACCCAGGTAGGATTTTCACTATAAATACCAGCTCTAATCGCGTAGAAAAAAACCTTACATCACGAAACAATGACAACGATTACGTAGTTTTGACATCGTTGTTTCTAAAGACACGTATTTAAAAAAATTATTTTTCCCTTTCTCTGCTGCGCTGGATAGAATATTATTTTTCGAGACTTTAACATATTTTAGCTCAAGGTAGGTAGAATTTATATACATATATATATACACTTGCACACTATAAATATATACATTTGCTGAAAAATATACGATATTTTTTTGAGAACTAACAACGTACAAAGACACATTGAACTTTTCTACATTTTTTCCTGTGTGTGAAGAGGCTTTTATGTTATAAAATAAAATTATATCTTATCGCAACTCTTTGTGACAACGTTTACATGGTGATACAGTGCGTCACACCTTACGTAAACGTGTCACTAGCTTAAACTGTAAATGAAAATAATAAGTAAATTAATAATAAATAATAATTAATTAATAAATTAAGAATGTCAATAGTAAAAATAATTGCCTTTGTTGATTAAAGTTGCACAATTTTCTGTCATAAAAATATAGATTATTTTTTATTCATATATATAATATATGATATATTTATAAAAATGCACAAATGCAGGAATGAGATTTTATGTGTTTAATCTGTTGAAACTTTTTGATTGCATTTTGTTTTGCAATCACCAGGCTTGGGCTTCCGACCGATTTCGGATAACGCGGATGAGAGATCGCTTATTTGGTACAACGCGTCGAATGAGACCGAGGTTCTGAAGTGGACACAACTCCTAGACAAATTTTTGGAACGTGAGTAATGAACCAGACATTCATTATTAATACGAATGGTGTAACTCTTTAATAAAAATCTCCTGAACGTACGAAAATCTATCATCAACCACCGATTAGAAAGAAAGTGACACTAAACATATGTGCATACTACATGGAATTTTTCCAGGAGAAGCATAATTAAATTTTTTGTTTCTTAATTATTTTGTTCTTTTTTTGTCATTTTATTTTTATTTTTTTATTAAATATGCAAATAAATTCCAGTGATTATTCAAAAAGAGAGCAAATGCTAGTTTTTTTATTGATTTCAAGAGAGGACAAAAAAGGGAGTGCTCCTCTTGCCTCATGTGTGCACACATGTGTCAAAAAAAGTCATCTCCATAGTCGTAGCACAGCATCTGCGTGTTTTCGTTAGATCTAAAAGAATAAAATTCTCAAATTCGAATTATTCTTTAATTATGGAGTGTTCTCTCCTCGCATTTATTCGCTAATATCGGTCATTCAATATCTTGAAATAAATTCAGATATAATCTAACGTGTCTCTGCTCGATTTCAATAGAATACAGAAACACGTCGTATCTGCCAAACCACGGTAGAAACCAACAGATCTGTAACTACACTATGCCACCGAAGACTGGAAACGTATGTGCGGTTGACATCAATAATTGGGGACCGTGTTCGCCGAATCAGCAATACGGTTTCAACAACGCGGCACCTTGCGTCTTCATCAAGCTTAACAGGGTAAGAATCAATTTTCCTGGAGTTTAATCTATCAATATTTTCCTAATTAAATATCTTAAGATAACTACGGATAATTACTTATAATTTTGCATAATTATTCCATTTTTAAATATATATATTATATGTATGTATAATATTTATATATGTATATATAAATATATTTAAAAATTTATTTATAAAAATTAATATTTTTAAAATATATAATATTACAATATATATATATATATATATATATATATATATATATATAATATGTCTATTAATTATATATTTAAAAGAAAATAATATAAAGAAAAGTTTATTTAAAATTGCAATTTATCTTACGTTATTTATATAATATATATGAAAACGTCATGCGCATTTATTACTCTATGCGTCCAACATTGATTATATGCAAACATTTTTATTTAATACATGTGTTTTTTAATTAATTTTTTATTTTTATTTTGTTTTATTTGATGGTGACTTTTAAAAATTTTTTCAAAACGTTATTATTTTCTTTCAGATATACGGATGGATTCCCGAATACTATAACGACACGAAAGATTTACCGGCCGCAATGCCAGATGAGCTAGTCCAGTATATAAAGTCAGTCGACGCTTCATGGGTTAGTTAGTCGGTCAGTCAGTTATATCAGTCAGATAAAAATAAAAAAAAATGGATTTGAAAAATTGAAAAAAATTGAAATAAGAAACTTCAGCATTAATTTCTCGTCAATTAAATTAATTCTTGATCACTTTAATTTGACATATTGGACTTGCGAGGTTTGAAAAGATTCAGAATTATTAAACAGCGCGAAGAAAGTTTTATATATTTATTTTATTTTATTTAAAATTGTTTCTTATTTTTATTCTCAATAATAGAGAATATTCAACTGACAGAAATATTCAATAAAAAGCGATTCCGCACATTTTTATCTCTATACCGTAATTGCTATCGATTAGTATTTATAATAAGCGTGTTATCTGTTTATTTTATGGGCAAACATGGATAAGAATTGTAAACGATGCGGCTCAATTGCTCATGCGTTTTTATGTAACTGTGTAAAGAAATTGTTTGATTTGCGAATGGAATTCTAGAACTCAAAGATCAGTATTACCTTTTATTCGATAAATAATAGTTTAATATTATGCGATGTAGAATTTTGTATATAAAATCAACGTCTCTCGCGTAATATACAATATATTTTTTTACATTTGCAGTTAAATACTGTATGGGTATCCTGCAAAGGAGACAATCCTCATGACTCGGAGAGTATCGGCGAATTGAAGTATTATCCTCAGGGACATGGCTTCCCAGGCTTCTACTATCCATACGAGAACACACCTGGATACTTAAGCCCAGTCGTCGCCGTTCAGTTTCTTCGACCGAAAAGTAAGTTAACAACAATATCATTTTACAAAAATTGCATTGAAAAAAATTATAAGAATGGAAAATGAAAATATTTGCATCCGGCAGAAGAGAAAATTCAGTTTTAAACTACACTTTTTCTAAAAATTTGCTCTCAGGTCGTAAGCAATATATATTATAAAGTAAGTATTTTTAATATTAATTTTATCGATAATTTTATCTCTTTTTCTGTTAAAAAAACAAGTAAATACAATGATTTCTCCTTTATCATATTATTTGTAGCGTTATAAAGTATCTTCTATTGGACAATTTGCAACCACGACTAAAGTTTTCGGAATCTCTCGCGTCGCAGCTTTCTTATATAAACGCGACTTTGAAGATATATCGATACGCAGTTTTTTGAATCCATCCACTATCCTTCCTCCATCATTGACCGGTTCATGTACGACTCGTAAAAGCAAATGACTTGAGCACTCCAGATGAAACCGGTAAAAGCCGGTGTGTTGCAGTGTGATATCGGTCGTTGAAAGGTGGCATCGGTCAACTGCTTGTTCGTTCAAAGTTGCACACACGGTTTAATTCAATCCATCCCATTTTAATAATCTTTCGTGACTCTTAATATTCCGATATTTGTGAAATCATGTAAGATTTGTTATCCATGTCATCTAAATTATATCGCAGTCTATTTTGTAATCAATTTAATTGCAAACTTCATAATCTTTAACATTAAAATATCGTTAGAGGCTAATTATGATTTCATAATCTTTATTGTGAAGTAATTAAATGTCAAATATTATCATGATTTAATGATCATTAAATATAAACATAAGTCGACTTATGTACGTTAATTGTAAATTAATGTTACATTCTTGTAGTGAAAAAAAATTGATACTTATTTGTAGATCAATTTGTATGTAATATGTCGTCCATTTTTAAATTTATGATTTTTTATTAACTTCAAAAATATCCCTGCATAGCAAACGTATGTCATTTTGACGTCAGTTTGCTACTATTGGGCCTTCGTATCTATTTTGTAAAATTTTAATAATTACAGAGCGATTGTTTCGTGACTTAAAAATATTTCTGTATGAAGAAGAATTATCTAAATCAATGAAGAAAAAAGGTTTTGCCGGTTTAAAAAATACAAAATATACGTTTAAAAATAAGATAAAATTATCTAAATCGAATTGTTTTTACAGGGAACCAAATCATCAATGTCGAGTGTCGGGCGTGGGCAAAGAACATCAAGTATAGCTCATTTAGAACCGAAAAGAAGGGTGCGGTACACTTTGAACTGATGGTCGATGAATGATCGCACGTCGCGATCTTCTAGATCTTTATTTTTTTTCTTTTTTTTGCGCGCCGTTATTTCATGCAACGTTTTACTGCGCGATTAGGAAATTTTTCGAGACGCACAAAACAAAAGGATCCGAACGCACGTCGAAGAATATCGCGATATATCGGATAGCTTGCGCTTAGAAAAAAATAGTAAATCAATAAAAGTTCTTTACGTAGCGCAGAAGAAAAAAATAAAGAGTGCAAAACGTGCAGCTACAGAGAACATACTTAATTATTTGTTATTTTTTTAGATATCGTAAGTATAATTATAATTAATTGGAATTTTAATTTAATTTTTTGCCTTATTCTTAATAGGATCATCAATTGTTCTGACAAAAGAGAAAAATTGTCTCTTATTGTAATTTACAGATTTATGTACATAAAGAGTGATAATAGGAGATATATAGAATATATGTTCGAGATATATAGAATATGGTCTTTTGTTCAACAGAAGTGTTTAGAGTGTTTACGAGAAAGTTTTCAATTTAAAAAATTAGGAAACAGGTTTCATAATTGAAATACGTAATTCAAAAGTAATCATTGTTTTTAAATATAAAAATTGAAAGATTTTTCAATATTTAAAATTATTTCTATTTTATATTAGTAATGTGAAAGTTGCTAGAGCTTTAAGAAATAATTCAAGATCAAGATATTAAAAGAATGAATTTGAAATGATTTTCAAAACTTTGATGATTTCATCCCATATTTAAATATTTCTATATATTTTTTTTTAATTGAAAGAAGTATTGTAAGAGAGTATATATCCGAATCTGTAAAAATGTAATAGCTCACGGAAAGAAGTAAATCGATATAATATAATAACATTTTTATTTTTATATTTATTTTGTATAAGAAATAGCTACATTTCAGGAGAATCTGCATTAATAAAATTGAAACTTTAATAATGGATTAAAATTAGATAAAATCAAAGAGATTATTTTGAGTTAAGGAATTCAGTAAATAAAAAATATAATGTGATCTAAAGATGATATATTTAAATATATTTAAAATTACAATCGTAAAAATATGAATATATCGTAAAAAGTTTTCACTGATCTAAGCATTTTACGTGAAATAATTTGATGATCAAATAAAAACAAAATTGAAAACTTTCTGAAGACCATTTAAAAAATATGAATAAATATAACTAATTAGTCTATTAAAATATTGCGTTTTAAAGATAAACGCAATTAACTATACATTATTATTTTAGAAATATTCTGTACATCTCTTATTCCCATATTGTCTTGAATTATATAACATATATATCTCCAGCCTAGTTGAACAAAGTAAGTATATGTACGTTCGAATCGTCAATGTATATTGAATGAATAATTCAATAATTTAAACAAAATATTGTGGTACTTATTAAGATATAGGTGTAATTGTACAGAATGAAATAATATATCGCGCTCTACATAGTAATTATTTTTTTTAAATAAATGACAATCATGAAAAATAATCCAACATACAAGTACAAACTGTGTCTTTGCTGAACATCGCATTCTTATCATATTCTTAATTTATTCGTTGCGATTATGTATAATTGTGTCAATTTATTCTTCCTCTTCTTGGCTCCTTTCTCTCTCTCCTCTTCTCTTTTTCTCTTTTTTCTTTCTCTACCCTATTCTGTATATTAAATTATATAAGTAAATTAAGAGTATACAAGAATATATAATACTCTTCTCTCAGATATATATTTCTCAGAGATTTTCGCGATATTAAACGAATTTATTTAAATTCTAGATAGATATATGCAATGATCTATTATTATGCACAATATTAGGCACACATATACATATATTGTCCTATATTTCGGTGCACCTTTCGGAATGTGGAACTTTTTACACATAAAATTTTGAGGGTACATCAGTCCGCCACAATATTATCTTTTTTCATGGTTTTTTTAAATTTTAATCTTCTAAAATTATCTTTTTTCACGGTTTTTTTTTAATTTTAATATTTCCAGATTTTTAACATTAGTATATTGACGCAGGTTTGCTTTTATCTATATATTATACAGTATAATTGTTGAATATTTTGGAACAAGTAAGTTCTATTGCAGCCAAAGGGTTAAGAAAATAAGAATGATACATAAAAGATAGCGTGTGTGCAAAAATGTTTGAATAATCGATAGTCCGCATTTTATCACAAAAATTGTTATATTCATTATATATCAGCATAGAGTAAAAATCTTATTAGTCTACTGTTAGTTTCTGCTATGCAATAAATATGTTTTCTTTTTACAATTTTGTGAGAACTTTGTCTTTTGATAAAAATATCTTTCTTATAATGTCAGATATAAATTATCTTTATCTTTATTTGAGATGATTAATTGTGTATCAAATTTTCAACGAAATTATGAAATCGAGAAGAGATTTTACGAAAAGACGAGAAAGAATTTAGAATCTTTATTAAAATTAAAATTTTTGTTTTGAATAATTGCGTTCAAACAATTACAATTTAATTATGGCCTAATTGCTCTATACATAGATTGCACCGAGAGAAAATTAAAACTTTTAGCCGTCTTTTTAAAATTTTTTTCAAAAATATTTTCACGTGCATTTTAACAATTATAAAGAAAGAAGAAAAATCAAACTGATATTAATATCTTTAAATCAAGTAAAACATATACAATCATTATGTCTCTAATTTTTCCAGTTAAGCTGGCTCAATACATTTTCTTTGGATTAAGCCGTTGTTACTTCTATACATTTCACAGATATAAACACTATCTCTTGTCCTCTTTAAGGAAAAGAGAAAATTATCTTATCTCTAGAATAATTTTTATAATACGATTAGTATATATATATATATTTCAATTTTGGAATTTTATTCAAAGAGATAAGAAATATGTATTAGTGTCGTATCTTAATTTGTATTTTTTAACATTATATTTTATCATTAGAATTTATTTTTATTATTATATGCTATATAATAGCATATATATGTATGTGATATGACATCAATGTATAAAAATCTTTAAATTTACTTATTGTTAACAATTTACCAGATTTTTCAATATTAACACAGTTGTGGAAAGGCTTATTATATAATTAATACAGTTACAATTTTTGTTTCAGACTCCTTAGAAAGAGTTTATATATCCTTTACTTTGCGGCTCTTATTTTCTACATGACAAACCTACTGTTATTCCAATGAGATAAAAAACATCACCTGAGTACACATTAATTTCTACTATCATCATTTGAAAGAGTCTTCAAAATCGTACCGATTATAAAAAAATCTATCCAGCTAATAATATATATATATATATATATATATATATATGTATGTATATATGAGTATTTTAAATGATACTCCTCCAAATGTGTATGTGTATGTGAGATTCTTTTACATTTTATTTATGAATTGATCAGTTTTTTTTTTACAAACAAATTGCGCCTACGAGCGAAGGAAGGCACGCAATATACATAGATATAATTCTTTGAGAGAGATTCCATTCTCCCATTTATTTCATTCGTTCCCAAAGTTTTCGCGTCGTCGATTGCATGGAGGCGAAAGAAAAAAGGCCTCTCGGTTTTGTACTTGATCAATGGTTCTCGTCCAGAAAGAGAGAGAAGGTCGACCTCGACGTCGACCTCGAAGGGATGTGTTTCGCTCGCCTCGCAATTTCGTTATTACCGAAATAGCAAACTGACGTCATTGAACGTCAAAATGACATCTAATGATGTACGCTTACTATCTGGATATTTGGAAGATGAAAATTCGCCTAACTCGGCCATCTCGAGAGCCTCCGAGGACGCTCATCGTTAATTTTGAGGAGATCGCGCGAGCAGCCGAAGACCGACACTTCCAGATTTCGTTAATCTATCATCAACTCGAAATGAACCGCGCCGATCTTGTCGTTGCGACTGTGCTTGATATTCTTCGCCCATGCTTTGCACTCTACGTTTATCAGAATTCCGGCTGAAAGTGAAAGATGGATATAATATATAATTTGATTTTCTTTTTTTTTTTTTTTCACTTTGATATACTCACTTCGCGGTCTGACAAAGTGCACCGCGACCAGCGGGCTTAAGTAACCCTCGGAGTTTTCGTAAGGATAAAAGTAACCAGGGAAACCGTGTCGCGGAAGATAGTTGATCGGTCCGATGTTCTCCTGATCGGCAGGATTCTCACCCTCGCAGGATACCCAGATGGTGTTCAGCTGGAGGGAATTGTTGCCCTTCAGACTCGCGATGTGCTCCTTGAGTTCGATCGGCATCTTTTCCGGCAAGTGGGCAGTATCGTTGTAGAAGTCTGGTCTCCAGCCATAAATCTGACAAGCAGAGAAGTATCGTGAGAAATGTGTGTGTGTCGTTGATTTCTATATTAACCCATACAGCACAACAAGATTGCAGCAGTATTGTGGCAACATTTCATTGCAATATATTACAACATTGCATAAACGTTGTGAAATGTTGCAGCAATCTTGGTAAAATGTCCGCTTTCAGAAACATTGTTCTATAACATTGCAGCAATAATGCAATAAAATATATATAATATTACTATTGAATTATTGGAAATGTGCCAAATACATGATCGGACTGAATGGTCTGTACCTAATATTTTTTGAATTTTATTTTCATAATATTTCTGAAATGTTGCTGCAACGTTGTTGCAACTATATTGCAAATTCATGCCTATATAATATTTCTACAATATTGCTATGCAATGTACAATATTGCAATGTTGTTGCAATATTGCTGCAAACTTGTGCTGTATGGGAAGAAGGTAAATTTGAAATAGTAGCAAACTGACGTCACCAAGCTTCACAATGACGTCAGTTTGCTACTTGGGTAGGTTGCGATACCTTGTTCAGCTTGAGGAAGATGCAGGGAGCGGATTTGTGGTAGTTGTATCTGTTTTCCTTGGTGCAGGGATGCCAGTTTTTCACGTCGACATCGCAAACTTTTCCGGGCGGTGGCGGCTGATTGTAATCGCACTTGTTAATGTTAGCGCCGAGACCAAGAACAGATCCAGGCGTTATATAATCTGAAAGAATGACAGAAGATATTACAAGAGATGCTGAAATTGTTTAATCTAAATATTACAGACATTTAATTATAGAAATGTATTTTTTTAAATCAGCATTCGACATCGAATAATGAATTTTTCCTTGCGCTACCTTTGAGAAAGTCTTGTAGTGAATCAACCCAGTGTTTGAAGTTTTCGCTGTCAGTGCCTCTGTACCAGATCAAGGTGCTCTCCACATTTTCCTCCGGTGGCATTGGCCTGAATCCTAATCCTACGAAGGCGTAATATTTAAATCAAGATGGATAACGTTATCAGGTACATCATTAAATGTCAAAATGCGTACATCATTAAAAATCAAAGTGACGGTTTGCTATTTATTGAGACATTTTCCGAAAACGATATATTAATGATGTCACATGTTTGCTAACAGGAAATAAAACTTACCCGGATTTGTTCCAATAATGGATCTCTCAAGCTGCCACCTTGGTATCCTTGGATCGAGTGTTTGGAAGAATCCCCAGAAACAAATGGCGACGAGTGCTGCCAGGACGCCGTAAAATATCAGGTAAAAGAGTCCGATTTTGCCTGTAAATAAAATGACGTAAAAAATTAGATCGACAATATTAAGATCTTCCTTCCAAAATTACAATCCTTCAAATCACATCGTCCCGTCTCGTTAGCCGAACGTCATAGAGCAGTTTCGGTCATAATTTGCTCTATGAAGAATTTGCAGTCGTGCGTAGAGGAAGCTCTCATGTATATATCTCTCACATGCCTTATGAATTGTGTTGATACCGCGAATTTAATTTAAAAGAAGATCAAAGCGCTCGGTTTAATTACATGGTGCAATTTAATTACATTGCGTTGATTATGTATGTGAAGTGAAGAAACATGAGATTAAATCTGATCTCAAACATTCTGTGCTAGAGAATTAGAGATATCTAAGTATATGTTTGTAATTGATACATCGATGATAAGAATATGTATATGTCTTCTGGAAAAATATTGTTAATGATTATATACGTCAGCTACTTTGAGCTCGACGTCTTGGAAATGATAATGATGAGAAATGACAATCTTAATGTCAGTCCGTAAACATTTTACAACTTTGATTATCTAAAGCACCAAATAACGAAAAAAACTCGAAAAAGTTCATGTCTTTCCATTTTTAAAAAGATATTACAATATATATATATATATATATATTTTCGTATATTTATTGTAGAAAAAAATATAGATACTAGGAAGAGACTTTACTTAAATTTTTATTTTTCCTGAATATATAAAATTAATAAATTAAAGTATTAAAAAAAATAACTTCTTTCCTGAATACAAAATTAACAAATGAAATATTAACTTTTACATATTAAATATAAATTAAATTTAAAGGCTAAATATTTTTTAAGTAACCACATTTCTATAATTAAATTTTATTTTATTTAATAAAAATATTGTTTAAATCGTGAAAAGTCTTTTATACAATTCGATAATGTTGGTCAATAATATAAAATCGCATGTATTGGAATAATTCAAGGCAATTTATTTCTAAATTTTTTTTGTGCGTGTCTTTTATCGTTACGAAGAAGCGATTATGAGAATTGTATCTGGCTATTATCATTATCACGTTACAACAGCATATTATTGCTTAACTACGAATCCGTCTCGTCTTGTTATAGCTCATTTGCGAGAGAAACGCGATAAGCGAAATCTTAATATGCGTAGCGCATAATTTGACTTGTATATTATCGCAATGCAACATAATATTGACCCTATCGGCAAATTTCATAATACATTGCTTAACACTCGTGATCAGTGAAAGATATGAAAATAATATAATATTAGATGCATAACATGCGCTCTTTTCGTAGAGACCAACCCTGATCTTTTTTCCAGTCGCTGTAAAATTTTATTCCCTCTCTCATGAAACGAAGTCTGGAAAAGATTTTTTCTAGCAGAGGCATGATTAAATTTTTTTATTTTTTCTCAAGTTTTCAAATTTAATTTTTATTTTATTTGTATTTTTTAAATATTGAATATCTAAATGAATTTCAGTGTTTATTTGAAAGAAGAGCAAATGCTTAATTTTTGTACTGATTCTAAGGGGGACAGAAATTCTTTGACATTAGTACCACGATGTTTCATGCAAATCTAAAGAAGAGAATGAAGTTTCGGGCTTCCTGAATTAGAAAAAAAAAAAAAAAAACGAGACCAGATTCTTACATAAAATTCTTGATAATTTGTAATAATTCCGATTCGAGATTTTTTTCGGCGGCATAATTAACATATGCAGCTTCTCTTTCCTGGGATTCGGACGATCCCAGGTGATTGTGACAGAACGAAAGACAGCGGCATACGCGGTGTCGCGTGGGTGTACCCTTCGGAATGGCCCTAAGTTACGTAATGCTGTAATGCCGCCGTTTAACGCCAATTGACCTCGTTATACACGTTTGCGCTAAAGGAAGTTTAACAATTGCCATTCAGCAATGGGCAAACCCGTTGTATGCACCGCGAATCAAACGCGCTTCCGTCTTTTTTCTCCTCTTACATATGTATGTATCGCACTTCCACCTGCCTTTCTCACTCTTTTTTTTTACGCTGCAGATATACGTAATTATTACGGAATATTACCGAAAGATTACGTTACATACAGAGATGTAACGGGAAGAGTCGTGACGAATCTGTCAAGAGAAGTCTTGAGATAAAAAAATATATATACATATATATATATAAAATAAAATATATATACATATATAAAAAAATATATACATATATAAAAAATATATATACATATATAAACATTTCTTAAGAAAAAAAAAATATATATATATATATATATATAGGCATCTCTGTGAGAAGTAAGAACAATTTTTGAGATAATGAAAGCGAAGTGCACAGAAAAAATAATCTAATAACGATTCTATATGTCAAGGTAATTATATATCACTAGAAGTGGTTTTCGGAGCTTAGCCACTTTTATACTTTTATTGAAATTAGTGTGAAATTCCCATATTACATATACAGGCTTCTGAGCCAATTAAATGGATTAGTCTCGCGAATCGATATGCAAGTCTTCTTTTTTGCGGAAAAAAACAAGAAAATGATAGATGAATTTACTATTAATTAATTGATTAGAATTACTGCTTTTCTTTATTTATTCGATAAAACAACAACATGAAGTATTTTTAGCGAAAATAATATAGAAGCTGCTAAGTATTCTCGATATAATGATTTTCAGTATCGAGACAGCATTTATAATTTATATAAGACTTTATACTTTATCTGAAAATTTTTAAACTTTCGGGGACACATGACGTGCGAACCCTATGAAGAATTCACGCACGTGCGTGCATTTATATATGACGTAAGGTGCCTAATAGCCGTTAGGTCGTCATAGCTACAACCCTCCGTAAACACATCCACCCAGAATCGGAATACAAAGACAGATAGAATAAAATGACATTCGGTGTTGATCGACGGCGCCGATGGATTCTAATTACTTAGATAGCAAGCATACGTCATTTTGGCGTTTGTAATGACGTCAGTTTGCTACTTAAATAATTGAGACTCGCGAATAAGTTCCTTAAATTCGTCTCTTCCGGAAATATTTATTTTCCTACTCGGAAATGTTCATTTCCGAGTAGATAGCGATCTATACATTTAAATTTTCACGACTATTCGTGATTTACAAAAAAAATGCCATTAATTGTGCACATTTTTTCCTCTCCATTCTCTTTAATAATATACATCACGCTTTGCCGCGCTCTTGGCAAAGTTTCTTGATCTTAAATATTTAAAGAAACAGAGTTCTGAATATTCATAAGTGGATTTAAAGATACGAGTATTTTCGTGCAACTAGCATAAGCAGATATCAATGATACGCGATAGTGTATAGGCACTTTGGTCATTGACACTATCACGTGCTAAGGATAAGCATGCAGTAAAACACTGAGTTTAATCGTCGACATGCCACAGCAGCAGCACATGCAACAACGATCGGACAACGTATACATGATCGATGTTAGGCACGCTCCTTTTATTTTTTTTTTTTTATTAAATATTTTATGTGTTATTTTATCAGGTAGAAAAAATTCAAGTGATATAAATGTGACAATATATATTCGTAGTATTCTGAAATAAAATTTATTTATTTTGCATTTTTTATTTGTTATTTGCTGGATAAATAATAGTTCTTAAATTTATTAATATGTGTTGAAAAATATTGAAAAATGTGTTAATGTTTGATTATACAATTCAATATTAAAAGTATAGCATTTTTAATATTATTTTTAGATTTAGTTTTTCTGAATTATAGTCTGTATATAAATTTTATTACAACTATTTTCTCTAACGTTATTGAGTGTTTACGCGATATTATATTCTCGGAATATATAGTGAATCACCTTGAGCGTATAATAATTTCTTATACATACATGGTTGCATAATATTACTTTATTTTTTTCTTAGAATAATTTATATTCTTTAGTATGTAAAAATATGCTTATAATGCTTTGGGAAATTTCTGCATATTTTAATAATTATTACATAAATATTCTAAAATATTTCTTCTATTCCATCTTATACTATCGTTAATTCGTCAACGAAATTATTTTTTAATATACATTTTCTTATAATGAATCATGATTGAAACTGACGAAATTTTTAATATTATGATATACAACTAATTATTAGTAAAATTAAAATTCTCTATTATTGACACTAAAGACTCTTAAAGAATTGTATGTCAAAATTAAAAAATTCGTATTATAATAATACATTTTTGTTTAATTTTTTTAATCACTAAAAGAATGCATCTATAAAAATGCTAATTCTATAAATAATATTATAATCTCCAAAACGTTTTTAAATAAATTTGTTTCAGTTTATAACATTATTGCATAGCACTGCATGGTACAACACTTATATTTCCTATACATCCTCGCTTATTCAGTCATTATCGCGAGCTGAGTCAACAAAGCAAGTTTGCTGCATACTTAGAAGAAAAGTCATCTGAAATCCGCGTGAATTTTTTTAGAGGATAATTATTTCAGTCAGTAGTTGATATTAATAAAACTTAAAATTTAGAGTAATACATATATATTTGATAAGTACATATTAAAAAATTTTTTTCAGCAAGTATTTACATATTTCTATAATATAAAAGTAAACCGAACAAATTATCGAGCTATAAATGCAAACATGTCAACAAATTAAAATCTTTAGAGCTTTATAAAATTTAATTTTGGTTCCACTATTTTTATTTTATTGTAGAAAATTTAGTTCAAGGTTGTTGTTAAACTAAACAAAAATATAATTTACACGTACACATTTCTGTTCCATCCATTAAGACAATAATTACGACTCAAAGTGCTGATAAGATCATTTTGCAATTAATCTTCGAATGTCTTTTGAAAGCTTCAAAGTCGTAATAGCACGTAATCAAATTTTTATAGAGAAAAAGTCGATTTTAAATTTACTGAAAGAAAGAATCTATAGCGAAAGCAACTTCTGACACGCCCTGTATTTTATGTACACAAAACGCACGCTTTCTTCGATATTAAAACGCTAGAGACCTGAACTAGAAACACTTGCAATACTTTGATCGTATTAAAGGATCGAAATACTCCTTCTAGTTATTGTGTACAACAACTATACAAATATCCAAAGGATAATATTTGACGGAAAATATAACAGCGATCCTTTCCCAACCGATATCAAGCAATAATACCGATTAAATGATTGGTGAACAGTTCAGGTCGTTTCTAACGATGATGAATTAAATGGACTCTCACGTAAAAGTTTCCCAAATTTATATCGGTTCTCCTCGTTCTTTAAATTTAAAATAGGAACCACATCGCGGACGCGTTCATGGTGAAGAAGATACAATCTTAGGCGTGTCCTCTCGAGTGCAAGAAAAACATGCAACACCATGATGGGTTAACCGAGAGAGAGCATACCAAAATGCGTCCATTATAAAACTTTTACTAAAACCTATATACCATTTAATTCTCCATTTTAATATAGAACCACATAACTTCTCCTCCGATAACCACCTATCAAAATTCTTTTAAAACTGGCAACACTGCGCTTACCCCAACTACTGGCGGTCCTGCCCATAAACGCGCCGGTCTCACGATTGTACAGAAAGGTCCTCATAGTCTGGCCGACCGACATACTAGGCGGTTTCTCGTACGGGTTCATCAACTCCGCGGTGACCATCTTCGGGTCTTTGACGACCATTCTGACTCCCTCTCGCGCGTCCGTTCACCCGATTCAAAAATTCCACTCCTCGGTTCGCGCGGGATCCAACCGCGCCGCGAAGGGACTCGCTTTTGGGTTTTGAAAATTCGTCGGAAACACTCTCGAAACACTGGACTTTGTCGACTCTCCGTGGAGAAAGAATTCCTTCTGCCTTGTCCGATCCCCGACGCTCCCACACGCGACTCTCGCTTGCCTCGACTACTGACTCCTAACAGTTGGTTCCTCGGCGCCACCAGGTTGACTAACGCGCCTGAACGAGCTGCGACCTTCCACGACCCTCCTGCGCCTCTCTCGGCTCCCACCTCCACACCTTACTCTTTTCGCTGCCCCTCTCTGATCAGCAGGTTCGGACCCAGGCTTCTGCGGGGCCTAGGTGCTCCGATAGAAATTGTATATGCATACAGGCCGATCCACGAAAGGTCTCGCCTTTGGTGTAATTGCAATCTTGGAGATACAGCGTGGTTTCAAAGGAACTGTCAGAGGTGACAGATAAAAGGTTACTCGGAAGATAGTGCTGCATCTGATTGCGAGACGAAAATAGAAACATTTTAATGGAAGAATGAGATAATTTTATATGTCACATAATTTATTTTATTTTTACATTTATCTTCATGTGGAATTTATCTTCTTTACAGATGACGTGGTGCATGGAAATTTATATGTCTTCATCTGTTATTAAATAATTGTACAATTATTATAATTGCATCCTGGATAACGCGGTTTCATTATTTTCGAGAGCAGCAAAGATCTTTGCATTCATCATTTATCCAGGTAAGACAGATGTGTTAAACTGTCTATAGAATTTTACAGATAAAAGTTGGTATTAATTTAATTTATATATATAATTAATATTAAAGAGAAAGACAGCAATTTTGCTATGCTTAAAAATAAGAATATATGAATTGTGTATCAATGATTTATCTTTGAAAACTGCAATGCTTGGCATTGAAATCTCTTCTTCAATTACCTATGTTCCGGCCGATTTTTCAGGCAATCGCGCCTTCCGTTAATCAATCGATCATCCAATCGATGTTTCAGAAGCGATATAAAATTGTTTGCTTCCTCCGATTTCGAATAGTTCAGATACACCGGATAACGTAACGTGCCATATCGTCTATTATGACATGGCAGACCGCAGGTGCAGATGCGTGCGTGTTAATGTGTCAATGATGAGACACGCATTGAGACTCTGTCTCGTGTATAAAATACACACAAGTATCGTGTTCAGTGATGTATTTTCCCGTTCGAGAACCCCTAACCATTTGTTGCAACGCGATTTGCCACCTTAGCTTGATGCCTGATCAGCAAATAGGGTAATTTCGAAGTCAGATCAATCGTGAAATGTGTGATTGATTTTATATTTGTTTGGATCGTCATCTTTTATATTGGAGCACAATTATATAAATTTGTATCTCTCTCTTCGAATGTCAAAACATTCTGTATACTTTTTATTATTTCTTTAAAAGTCTTCTTCAATACCAGGTCGGTGCAATCATTTCTTCATCTTTATTAATAGCTCACGCATTTGTTCTCATCCAAATTTTAATATTTTTATTTTTTATTTAATATTGTATATAATATACATATATTATATATAAATTCATATTATTAAGGAATATGATAATATAAATCAATTATTATTAATGAAGATTAAAGCAACCCAAAGTAGCGAACTGACATCAATCATTTCTTCATCTTCATTAATAGTTGAATATTTTTTCTGACATAAATTTTAATATTTTTAATTTTTATTTAATATTGTATATATAATAATATATATAATATAATTAAAACGACATATATATAATATATATTATATATATATAAATTAATATTATTATAAAAATATGATAATACAATTAATTATTATTAATGAAGTTTAAACAAGTAAACCAAATAATCCAAGTAGCAAACTTACGTCATTAAACATCAAAATGACGTATGCTTGCTACCTGAAAAGAGAGAGCAAGATATATTAAATACATTAATATGTCTCACTTGTATTTTAATCTTCACTTTAATAGCAAACTGACGTCATGAAACGTCAAAATGGCGTCATTCGACGTCAAAATGACGTATGGTTGTCACCTGGGAAGAGAGAGCAAGATACATTAAATATATTAATATTTAATATATCTCACTTGTATTTTAATCTTCAGTTCTATCTTTTCTAACAAAACGAGTGAGAAATTTGTAAGATCGAAACGGTTCGGCGTCTTTTGTCTCTCTTTCTCTCTCTCTCTGCACCTAAGGTGATCTTCCATGATCCGCTAATGACGCGTCGCGATTGAGAAAACTCGACGAATACGATTTCCTCGACTGAATCGTCCGGGACAAATAATTGGGGGCTAAGGTCAATCCACGTGTGTGTGACCTTAGCGGCGGGACACGCGTGTTCCACGACCGTGTTCGGTCCACTCCATGCACTCCCTCGATGACTTCGCCGGGACGAGAGAGAAGAGAGCTAGGCGCGTGTAATGTGAGTCACACACGGAGACCGATCTGAATTGACCACATCCTGCCCATCTTCGTCGTGTGACATTAATGTCATTGCCGTCCGGCGGAGAATTTCGAGCGAAATAGACGGAAGAATCAGCGTCGCTCTTCTCTCGTCACAAGTGCTCCGGCCTCGCTTTCTTCCGTGAATCCAAGAAATTCCATTTTATTTCATTTCATCTGAATTTATTTTATTTATCTTGGAGTATATTGCTAAGACTAGAGCGATTCGCCATTACGAGGGGTGCGATCCTCCCCAAGTAGCAAATTGACGTCATTAAACGTCAAAATGACGTCATTATAACAGCAAATCGCTTCTAGTCTTTAGCAATACTCCAAGATAAATCGAATCAAATAAAATGGAATGTCATTTTGACGTCATTCTGACGTTTAATGACGTCAGTTTGCTGCCTGGTCTTCATACATGAAGGATTATATCCTATATGTACATAGAAAAAATTGAATGGAATTGAATCTTATTCGTTTAATGAAATGACATGTACGATTCTGTCAGATCCGATTTATTCTCCGATTTATAACACACATTTCAAGTATAACGACGTGTAATCAACAATTATTCCTCGGCCGTAGGCCTTGTCAGCCAATCGTGTTTAAATCTTCCGCCGTCTACAGTAACGTCTGCATTTCGAAACCAAGGTTACCAGAGAACAAAATGTGATCCGGAAAATTCAAACATGAAATAAATGCGCTCTAAGTGTCTCTGAAATTCACATTTTACGGAGAAAAATTAATAGCGACATTTTTATACGTAAGAATATGAAAATTTTATGTAGAAGAAGAGATTCCGAGTAAATCTGCAATATAAACAATCAAATTTTCACGGTTTTTTTTGCAATTTTTACTAATTCAATTCTTTCTTTTCTTCTTTCATAAATTCATTCAAATTCATTATCTAACAAATAGCGGAAATAAATTATCGGTTGCTGGGGGGTTCAAGTTCGCTAATATAATAATTATAATTGATATAATAATTATAATTAAATATATTAATTATAATTAAAAATATAATAATTATAATTAAATATAATAATTATAATTAAATATAATAATTATATAATTAAATAATAATAATTACTTTGCTGATAAATGCATGCTTTTATTGCAGAGCATTGTTATTCGATGAATGCATAGCAGGATCTGAAAAAAATTTCTTAAAAAAAACTTGATGACAATATTGATCACATGATCACGTTCAACATGAATATTAAAGACTTCTCGGTCTCACCGAGATGATAATGCAATTATATAATGTAAAGCGGCTCTAGATCGGTTAATCATAATCAACGGCGTGACAAATTTAATTCCTGAAACGTCTAAATTAACGCTAATCTCTGCTTTGCGAGGTTCTATCTCGTCATTATCATTTATATACGACGAAAGAATAATCTTCGTATAATATAGTCGCATGTGTAATTTCATGGATTAGCTACGTCCTCGACGAATATTAATTCTTATACTAATGTAAACGCATATGTATGATAATATATACCTAATATTTCTTTTCACGATTTTGGTCTCCAAAGAGATTTTTTTAAATGCATACTTTGTCGCGATGAACCTCTTTTTACCAAAAATTGTGAAAGAGAATAAATTATATAGAAGGTAGAGCGTGAAAAAATGATCGATCATCAAAAAATAATAATCTACAATACAATATATTATATTCTCAATAAATCTTCGTTAATTTCATATGCTCTTGGTATGGCATATTTACAATCGTTTCTTGAATGAAATATCGCTTTAATTAATAACAATGCTTTCGATATTGCGCAAAAACAATATAAATATCTCTATTCAACATTTAACGATAAATTGCTAATCCGTACATATTTCTTCATTTTCGCGTGTTATATATTATTCTTAACTATTTTTTTCCACAAGACTGTTTAATTACTCAACTCACACATTTTCTGAAATTAAATCATTTTTATTTAATCTTTATGATTTTTCCACTTAGAAATAAATAATATTCATAAAAATTACACAAGACTGGATAATTTATAAAGTGAGAATAAAATTTCTAAATTCTATAAATTGTATCTCATATACAATTGTATTAAATTGTATGTGAATTATTTTGAACAGAAAAAATTCTGGTACAAAATAAATATTAGGTATATTGCTCTAAATATTTCGTCGAATATATATTCTTACTGAAAAGTCGCGATGCAAATGAATCGTAGATGTGGATAGCAATATTGTACATTTTTTATATACACAACTATCACATATCCGTGAACAAATGTTTACTCACAATATATATATAATATATTGCAACATAAAACGGATTCTTATTGTTAGATGCTGCTTAGGCTAGACACGAATTATCATTAATTAACGACAAACAGGATCTTTAACAGGAAAATGCACATATAATATATTGATTTTTTGAAAACATTTGCTAACGATACCTTATCTAATTAAATATCTAGTGGCATATTTAAATACAAATATATCGAAGGTGATTTTTGTATACACGTAATGAATCAAACGCAAGTTGGCTTTTCATCGATTTCGCTTTGATATTTTTTTTTTTAACTTTTCTCCGCACTTGAATAATAAACGTGACTTATCGCTCGCGAACGGAACAAAGAATATTTAGGACGAACGTAATTAAATTTGCAGGGAAAGAATTTGCCAGCTTTGCTCGATAAAATTCGATAACTTTGAAGAGCAGACGTCGCAAAAAATTAAAATACTATCAGCTTGCATTGTTTATGATTTATATTATTAAAAGCCGCTTTTTCTCTTTCATCTTCTCTCAATTTTATATTCGACAATCTAATTGATGCTCATTAGTAGAAACAGATTAATATCGTAATGATGAATAATGTACAATCGCTTGGTTTAATTCATTTATAGTATATAGTAAGTTTTTAATAATATATTATTCAACGTTTCATCTTCTAGCTTTTCATATATTTCTTCTTTTTACCGCTCAATCTTTAAGTTTAAAAAATGCAGATTATTTAAAAATCTACGAGTTTTTACGAATTTTGGAATGCAAGGATCTGATGTCTATTTTAGAAATTTACCAGTCTAAGTATTTTTTTATGAGCCCCAAAGAATGTAAATCTACGGTGTCTGTTTTTAGATTTCATTATCAGTGGCCCTTTTTACAAACGTGTCTTATTTAAGACTACTCTTAGGCGCTTTTGTGCGCATGGGCGGTTATTTATTCAGAATGCGCATCCGCGAAATTGAATTTAATCGAATTTAACTTTTTATAGGTATTATATATTTATTTGTGAACGGATAATAATTGAAAGTAGGAGAGAAGAGGGATCAGAAGATATAATATGAAGAAAGTAGGCGTCTCCATTTTTATTTATTATTCCCTATTACTGCCAACCGATTGTAAATTATAATTAGATCACGGATGCGTTCGTCCGGCTTAATCAGATATCAATGTGACAGCCGGCTAATCACGAACGAATACGTTTACAGCCAGAAAAAGTCGAGAATAACAAAGGAAGGGAGCGAGAGAAAGCAAAATGTCATCTGACGATTTCATGAAAAATTGAACAGGCCGCGATCTAATTATAATTCTTTCTAAAGCTTTAGTTTCACCAAACTTTAGGCACGCGATATGCATAGAAATTAATATAAGTCGTTACAATAATTACTATAATGACTATAGTAACATCTTTGTTTTTTGCATAGTCCGCGCGAAAAAGGTCACATATATATAATTAAATGCTATAAACGAGATATTCTTTTTTTTTTCGGAAAGCCTTAAAGACATTTTTTTTTAGAACGCTCTTCTTCGGAAAATCTTAAAGATGCCTTAAAGAAGGACGTCTTCTGGATTTATATCGTTTAGATGCCTGTATGTTGTCTGTGTTTAGATAATGTTGTTTAGATATTTTTTTATATATATCTGAAGATACACACGGTTGATCTAACTCTCGATTTAACAAACAGGCGCTTAACGGCTATATTTTTGTGAATTTATTTGTTAATTCAAAGAACTTAGAAGTAAGTCGATAGGTTCGAGGAATTATAAATCAATCGATAAATTTTCTTATATAAATTTGTAGATTATTCAGTATATACATATATATATATATATATATATATATATATATATATATATATGAATTTTTATGGACCTGTGCATTTTTTATTTTTTTCGTGGATCAATGGATCTCCGTGAACCTCTGTAGATCCATGGATCTATTTACCTTTCAAGCTGCGACGCTACACATTTTTGTAGAGGCATAGGTCTAAGAAACTAATGACCAGTGAATCTACGGATTAATTAGATTTACAGATTTTAAGATCTATATTTTTTTTTTCATTTACGTAACCGATGCTTATTATCTACTGTAATACATATTATTCGCACAGTAATTAACCTAATAAGAACTACATAAAAGAATTAATTATACACAAAATTCGATACACCGTCTCTTCACAATTACGAGTTCCATCGGGAAGTATCCGTTTCATGTACATATCTTCATCAGACGAATCCAACGCAATATTTATTTCCGTTCATTTTTAGCTCTCTAGAGATCTTTCCTTCTATCAGATCGTAATTTATCGCTTCCGTATGCAGAAAAAAAACTGCTCTTTCGACTCTTCTTTCTGGTGAAATAACTTAACGACTCCCAGCCAGGATCTACAGCCCAAGTAGAACAGAAAATCAAAATAATATCATTTTGACGTCATATTGATCAAATTTGGAGTTCAAATTTGGTCAAGATAACGTCAAATTGACATTATTTTGACTTTTCTGTTCTACTTGGGAGAATTTGCGTGAAATAATATTGTATATAATTATATGGTACACTGTAATTATATATAATTTAAATATACATATATATATATATATTTCCCCAGATAGCAAGCATACGTCATTTGACATCGATGGCGCCATTTTGACGTTTAACGACGTCAGTTGACATCGAATGACGTCAGTTTGACGTTTGATGACGTCAGTTTGCTAATTGGGTTCCCTCCATATCGCGCCAAATATTCTGGCGGATAAAATTCTTCCAAATCAACGTAATTTTTCGTTTGCATATAATATAATATAATAAATCGAGACAGATTCGCCTGCTATATCAACAGTTTGATTTTAAGATCGATGGAGCCTTTGACTTAAGTACGTACCATATAACAATCAATCGCCATTAAATTGAATTTTTTTAAGTACTTATTACGGAGGGCTACCACACGATCAGTATTACTATTAATGCGTCAACAGTTTTTAATACTTTGGCTATATCGATATATACGTGTATCATTAGTATAACATCTTTACATTATCAGTATACGATCAATATGCAATATCTTTCGTACTATTTAACCTACCTAATCTTAAAAATGTAGTAATTACTGATCGCGCGAGTGTGCTCTTCTCTCTCTTTAAAATTTCTTCTTTAAGTCTAGAGATTTTTTTTTAAATTCTTCTTCGGTAATTATATAGCAGTTCTCTCTTCCTCCGGAAATCTTATTTAGTAAGTACATTAAACGCGTGTGTGTGTGTGTGTGTGTGTGCGTTTGTGTATATGTGTGTGTATGTGTCAGAGCTTCCGCTATCTTTGATGATGTATCTTGTCAAATGCGGAGCTGATGGTGCCTTCGTATTTTGTTTTTTTCTCACATGATTGAATCGTGAAAATATTTTTTTCAAACGGCGAATTGAATGTTTAAATCAGCATCGAAATCAATAGATCCTTGGACTTACAGATTATATTCGCTTGTTTTCTGCGAATAATTTTCGTGTTTTTTCGTAAGTTTTCGAATTTGGATTCATCGCAGATTTTTGGATCTGCATTAGTTTTTGTCCTCTCTTTTTTTTCTTTGTTCCTCTTCTTGTTGATTCTCGCTGTTAATTTATATAGATTCCTGAGTGTATAGATTCTCGCCCTCGTGCATCCTCAGATAAGGAAGATTCTCGGGCTTTTATAGAGTCTTAGATGTACAGATCGTTGATATCACATAAATCTTTGAATTCATAAATTCTTTAAGTTCATATATCACGATCCGCGTTTCTATATTTCATGCATCTCAACACGTATCTTTATTTTATACATCTTTGTATAAAATTACGCACAGACGAACTCGGATCAACGAATTCTTGGACTTTTTGTCAAACTTTGCCACTCTTTAAATTAATAGATTCTCAAAAATTTAAACTAGAGAATTTATAAATAAATATTTGAATCAATTGATGTAAATTTCACAATTAATAGAATAAAAAAGATTATAAGGATTCTTGAGTTCTCAAAAACGTTTTTAATTTCAGACTTGGACTGATGAATGAAAATTATTAAATTTATGCAGTTTTTATATGCATTCATTAAAACAATGTAAACATTTTACACAAACTGTATAAAGTGTATTTAGTTCATTTGTTGATTAATTACTCAAAGACATAATTTTCTTTATTAATTTCAATTGTTCGAAAGACCTGTCGGCCCAAGAGTTTGTCGATCCGATTGCAGTAATCGGATAAAAAAATGCATCATATAGAATCATAGATCATCATACACGTCATCAACATATTTCTGATTGAGACAATAACCATCGATCGTTTCCGCCGATCAAAACTCTTAATATCCATTTTCTCTTTGGTAAATACTCTTTCATCGAACTCTTTTCACAAATAGCAAAGATTTCAATATAGTAACTCTCTTAATTTTTTAACGCTTAAATTGAAAGTATCCAAAATAAAGGAATAGTATAAAGTAACAATATTGTTAACATACAACGCGCAAACATACATAACGCAACGAGCATATCGCATACAATATATAGCTTTTTTTAGCGATCAAGTGATAGAAATAGAATTTTGATCAATATTTGCGACCTGTGCTACGCTAAAAACGTGCCGTGTCAAAAAGCAATAATATACATATATATTGTTTATTAAAATAAAAATTTTTTTTTCTCGCGTTAGTTTTAAACTAACTTAAATACTTGAGCGCGTCTCGATAATATCTCTCAACAGGAACCGAAATTCTTCAAGAATTTTCTCTACACATTTTTAGCAAGATGTTTCCTTTTTCACCTATTATCGACGCCGATAGAGCGTTGAGGAGGTTTCGCACATAACTTGCATAATCTCATTCAATATTTGCGATAGACATTGATGGTTGACAGTCTCGTGTCACCTCGTGAATCTTATCTTGAGGAAACTCTCTCTCTCTCTCTCTCTCTCTATCTTTCTTTCCTCGTCAGCACCATTCAAATCATCTTTAATAACGTCACGTGCTATGTTTTATCGTTTTTACTTTGAATTTGTCCAAGTTGATCTGCATACTTGTACCCTTTTTGCGCCTTCCGTTAGAATTCCATTCTTCTCTCGTCAAAAACAGCCCAAGAATTTCAATGTATCGAAATATATACTGAAGATGTATCGTAGCGCGTGACGGGCAAAAAACACTATTTAATCTATGATACATTCTACTATGACTGAGAACTAAGATCATCATCGATCATTCGCAGTGTATGGTGAGAAGTCATCGGCCTAACTCGTCCTGGAAAGGGACGTGTGAGGAAAGAGAAGGTTCAGGAGAATCTAAATCGAAATTTCAATCTCGGCTTCGGAGAGGGTGTGTCAGGGAGGGTTGGCTTCTTTTGCAACTAAGGGAGAGAGCGCTCTCTCTAGCGAGGATCCAGTATATATTGCGAACGATCGACCTAGCCGTCGATGGTCGAGATCACTTCTCGATGACACAACCCAGGCAGAAATAAGACAAGATACCGCCCGGTATTTTGTGCGGGATTGTTTCGTTTCACCTCTTTCTCTCTCTTCCCGATTCGATTTTTTGTTTGTTTATTTGTTTGTGCATCTCGATTGTGTAGTAGTCGATCGCTCTCTGGTTGAGTTTGTTTTCTTTCATTTTAATTCCAATATATTTCCTCCCTTTTGTCATTTTTTTTATCTATCTCTCTCTCTTTCTTTCTTTCTCGCTCTTTTTCCCCTTTCTTTTATCTGTCTCTCCCTCGCTTGGTGATCAATATGACGGATGGATAGCGCTGTCGCAAATCGTTGCAGGTATGACGAACGAACGATGGACTGTGATGAGAAACGATGACGGATGAAAAAGAAGTAAGGCTGATCCGGGGCGGTATCGTCGGCAGAGAGAAAACCCGGATGGTACACAGAGTGTGATCGCGGTCGGCCAACGAGGCGGATTTAGAAGAAGAAGAAAAATAAAAGAAACGTCTTCTCTCTGTATACTAAAATCTCTTGCGGCTTCCTACTTTTTGGACGCGGTTGGTAGCGGTTGTGATCTGACGATTGGCCGAAGTGACCGACTTTAGTCCACCATCAGTTCGAAGTGCACTGAGCCGCGTCGCTCAAATCTGTCGTGGATGATGTTGTGCGCCCATGCCTTGCACTCGATATTGATGAGCACGCCGTCTATAAATACAAAACCGATGAATGTGTTAATTACTTCCTATATATAGTCGCCGCCTGCTTTTTTTTCTTCTACTCATAAATTATTAGATTTATGAATCTATCAACCCAGGTAGCGAGGATATACGCCAAGAAACAATCTGAGTGTCTAAGGATCGAAGAATTCTCTTCAAAAACACTCAGAAGTTGTTAATGGTGTCATTCAACGTCAAAAGCACTCAGGAAGACTTGTCTATTTCCAAGTAGCAAATTGACGTCATTAAATATCAAACTGACGTCAGTTTGCTACTTGGGAATTGATAACTCCTAGAATATTTTTAGAGAAAGAATTCTTTCATTCTTAGAAATTCAAATTGCTTCTTAGAGATTCATGTCAATTCCCAAGTAGCAAACTGATATCGAATGACATCATTTTGACGTTTAATGACGTCATTCTGACATCTCTGACGTCATTCGACGTCAACAAAACAACACAGGAGGTTGTCTGTTCCCAAGTAGCAAACTGCCGTCATTAAATGTCGTTTTGACGTTGAATGACGTCGTTTTGGGAATTGACAACTCCTTGAGTGCTTTTACAGAGAGAATCCTTCGATCTTTAGATACTTAGATTGCTTCTTAGTGATTCTGTGGCTAGTGGTAGTTAAACACCACTATCCGTGGAAGTAGTGGTAATACTATACTCGAGTTATATTTTATTCGTATTAAATGGAATGTGTACACTTGGGCTTTTCGAAGAACACAGCTACAAGGGGGCTCAGATATCCCGGGATGTTCCTAAACGGGAAATAGTAGCCGGGAAAACCGCGGCGCGGAATATATTGAATCGGTCCCATGTTCTCCACATCGGCCGGGTTTTCACCAGCGCAGGACACCCAGACGGTGTCCAGTCTGCGCGACAATGCTTCTTGTGCGATATGGTCTTTAAGATCCGACGGCATCGAACTCGGCAGATTTTCCGTGTCGTTATAATATTTCGGCGTCCACCCGAAAATCTGAAATAAATATCAATTCTTTACTACATTTACTCTACATTTTGATTTTTCTTTTATAATTTTAAATATTAAATCTATCTTTGAGAAACAGAGGGAGAATATAGAATGTCTTCTAAATATCTAAGAACTCATATTTTTTCTGGTCTGAAAAAATCTTGGAAAAAAGCAGAAACTAATAAGAAAATATTCTGAAATTTATCACATTACATATATTTTTAATTATTTATCTGGAAAAAATTTAATATTCAAATGCGCGCATAGCATTAGATGGATTTTACAAAAAAAAACTATACTTACTGAAAAGATGAAAAACGAACCTTATTCAGTTTCAAGAAGATACAAGGTGCGGATTTGTTGTAGCCATACTTCTTTGTCTTCGTGCACGATCCCCAATCAGACATATCCACATCGCAAACTTTGCCCGGTGGAGGTGGTCTGTTATAATCGCAGGACACTCTGTGTTCGTAGCTATGTTGATGTCCGGCCTGTTTCTCATATTCTGCGATATTGCACGAAAACAATGATATCTCGTAACAATCATACAATTCCATGCACGTAATTAATTTGACGATCTATTGAATTTCCAAAAAAAAAACGTAGAGACTAGATTTTTTACTCACCTAGCAAGAATTTGTCCAGTTCCCTGGTCCAGTGAAGATAATTACCCTCATCGCTGGCCTTATACCAGATCAATGTGCTTTCGACGTTGCTTTCGGGAGGCATAGGCCTGAAACCGAGACCCGGGTTGCTACCGATCAACGAGTTGTCCAGCTGCCACTTGGGCGCGTTAGGGTCCAGAGTTTGATAGAACACAGCCAGCATCGCGCCGAAGAAGCCGGACAGGACGGCATAGAAAATTACGTAGAACAGCAGGATCTTAGCTGAAAATGTAATTGGCTGCGTAAGTCATGACATCCTTCAATTTATGGATTCGAAAAGGAATCCAAATTTAATGAAAACATATCGTAATGTAAAATTTATTAAAAAATTAAAATTTATACAAGTTTCTTTTCAAAGGATATATATTTATTCATTATTTAACTAATAATATTTAATTATATTAAACTCAAAATAAAATCATTAAAATGATGTGTTTTGATGTTTTGAGGTATCGCAGAATTTTATCTTTATTTTCTTATATAACAGGAAGTTGTATATTTTTTTATCAAGTTGCAATAAAAGTTTAGCGATACGTACATAAAGATTATTTTATCATTTTATTCGACTATAAATTATTTGCTGAAAAATGATTTTTATTCCAAACACAAGACTAATCTATACATGCTAAACGACACATTTTTTATTTATTATAAATGTACAATAATATTCCTTTTCTAGGATAATCGTATAATGTAATTTTTATTGAAAACCATTTTTAAAAAATTAAAAAAAACATTTTTATTTTTGTTTATATTGCGAATGCTGAAATAGAATGTATTTAATCGTTTTGAGTTTTCCAGATGAAAATTAAAAGCACCCAACGGCTTGTGGATTACCGAGCTCTCGTTTCTTATACATCACATGATAAAGTGTTTCAAGGCTAATTCTATAAAATCGATCGAACTATTAGAAATACACTTTACTCGAAAATTATTTTATTATGTAGCAATGAATCGAGTTTAACCATATTTCTCTCGTATCACAAAATCTATGAAGATTACTAATTTCTTTTTTATTATCATGTCAATTTTACTATAAATTTATTATATAAAATTTTAATTTTTTATAATTTTTATAATAATAAAAATACAATAATCAGATTTAGATAAAAAAAAATACGAGGTACAGTTTCGTGTATAATATATTCTAAAATCTTTCGAGAAACTTTTTTTTATTTTAAATTTTAAAATACGAATTAAAGATGAGAATAAAAAATCGACTTGTTTTAAAACTTTAATATTTGATTCAGTTAATTGAAAAAAATTGAAGAAATATATTTAAGAGATACATTCATTATAGGCTACATTTTCCTAGTTTAGGATTAACGTCGAGACTAATGTATTGTTTTACGAGCGTAATTTCAATTGTTGCTACGGTCGAAGGCTGAAGCACTGAAACAATTATGATCCGACGTCTAATTGGCCTGAATTGGTATTGGGTAAGCTATGTCATGTGTTTGTTATACAAATCGTTGATGAATGTACACTTGGACACGCACAGTGATGCAATCTCGAAGAAGTCGTTCTTCAAATCAAAGATATCGATTGCAATCACGTGATTAAAATTTTACATTTTTGGAAATGGAAGAAATAAATTTGCAATCTTGTTTTTTATGGCTTATTCGACATTTTTAAAAAATTATGAGCATTATTATTATTATTATTATGTATTTATTTTGAAAATCATATCAAATATAATTAATATTAATATCAATTATAATTAATTTTTTTAAATAAAATAATTTATAAAATACAGATATAATTATTTATATTTCTTTTTTACGCGAATCACTTTTCTAGATAACAGATCACATTCTGATTGATTGTATCACAGTAATATCTCTCACATATACAATAACATGATGAACGTTCATTTGCTTAATCATATAAAGTCTGTGTCGAGTCATAATCGCATCGTCAAGCTCCAACGTATAACTGAATGTCATTAATAATTACTGATTAATTATAATCATGTATATACTCGCAAATACTTTGAATATTCCATTTTGTTAATTTGCAGCTACAACAATTACGCTGGCCAATGCATTTTTCGAAATGCAATTGAGCAATAATAACAAAAACGCCATAGAAATTATGACGAACCGTCAAAATAATTTATTTTCTATTTTGTAACAATATAAAATATTTTAAACATCAGCTCTCATGATGGTTAATTCTTCAAAAACGCACATAAATATTTTTATAATATAATAAAATATAAAATTTATAATACAATAGCCGGAACAAAATCCATGTAAATCACAATTAAATAGAAAGAATAAGATATTATAATCATGACTATCTTCGGGGTCGGGATAAATAATATGTAATTAACTAAATTAATTTAGCAATTCTCTTTCTCTGTCTTTCCCTCATTAGACGATAATGAATTAAATGATAAATTTTTTTATCGATATAAAAAACATCGATGTCAGATTCAACTCTAAGATTTAAATTTCAATTTTGTTTTAATTAATCTGATACAAAATATTATTATATTCAAGCGAAATTTTTTTTTTATTTTAAATTTTAAAATACGAATTAAAGATGAGAATAAAAAATCGACGTGTTTTAAAACTTTAATATTTGATTCGGTTAATTGAAAAAAATTGAAGAAATATATTTATCGCGTATATACACGCGCGCGATATTAAGTGATAAAATCAACGCTGGAGCAATCAAGCTTCTATATCGGCGTTTGATTCTTTCTATTAATGGCTGTACGTCATTACAGAGTCACTACGGCAACGTAACATTTCCATGGCTTTTTTCAAGATATCGATCGACGCAGTACCGAATGCGACGACGCGAGCCGGCTGTGTTTCTGTTGTCAAGTAGGCCATTAGTATACCTCGCCTCGATATTACAACGTCTTCGCTAATTAGCCGGACCAATTCGCGATATACATATATATAGACATGCATTAATATATGTATGGAGATGATTATTCACAAAGCTCATTTACTTCGGGACTTGAATGAGACCCCCTTTTTTCCGGAAGATCTGCAGGATCGAACGCGAATGTAGGACATTCGGCGAGAAAAATCGGCTTGCGCAGACGCTAACGCTATCCAGTATAGAAATCAGACCATACCATTTCTCTGTGAGATGGTAACGGAGACGGTTCGTATTGATTTCGGCGGAAGTCGATCGACCCCAACAGAAGAGTGAAGGGGAACAGACAAACAGCGATAAAAAGCGAGCCGAACAGAGAGAAAGAGAGAGGAAAAAATGTATTGTAAAATTGCGAAAGTGTCCACTAGTTATGCGAGGCCAAATCTTGATTAAATAAAGAAATTCATATTTTATTGCACGTAATGAAAAAAAAAAAAAAATTCCATCTCTCAAAATCACAATACGCCTTTCATTCGATGTGGCATAATAAATAAAGCTCGGTGGTTATTTTAAAGAGTCACCCTATCGAAAGTTCCTCGCTCGTGCATATTTCCTCCTGCTCCAATCTTAAGCGATCGAACGTAAAAATAGCACAACGGAAGTACAGCGAGGTTGCGCTCCTTCGATTCGCGGATGTAGGAAGCCACAAAGTGTGATTTCATTATAGCTTCTGTTAAAAAACTTCACTTCTAAATAGTAAATAATAGCAGCAATAAAGTATTTGCCGAAGGAAACATTTTGTGTCGCGCATAATTTTTTACATATTATTAATATATAATTAATAATATTGAAAAAGTAATATGCAAAAATGAAATTTTTGAAAACGCAATATTAAAATGAAGAAATTATTGGTTCAATAATTGATTCTGCGCGACAAAGGCGTATTTAAAAATGATGCATTTATTAAAGTAGGCACGTATCCATATATTTTGGATGTTATTTTTTTTATTTTGGAAATTATTTTTAATTACATTTGTGCACGTAAAAGATTTGTTAAATTAAAAATTCTCCATTTTTTATTTTAATTTAAAAATAAAAGGAAAACAGATTTCTAATACTTAAAAACAAGATTTTATATAAACAGCTTTAGTTTTAATCGCTTATTATGTAAAATATCTAAATTAAAAATTAGAATACTGCTACGTGTACAAAATAATCGTGAAAAATGAGACGCAATAAAAGTTTTATCGCAAAAATGCCAGGCTATCAAAACAGGATATGCTTATAACATTAAATACAGAGTAAGAGATACTCGTGCTAAATCAGCACTCCGTTGATGGAAATCATACATTTGTCATACAAGATATTTCTCGTTTACTTTGTACTATGTTGCTTTGCTGCATATGCATATACAGAGTAGTAATATTTTTCAGTCCATGTTGAGGCCATCTTCTGCCTGACCAATATATCATATCACGGACCTGTCAGTCAGGTGAGGATTATCTCAATACAGATTGGAAAAAAAGTATTTTAGTCTAAACGTAAATTATTTGGGAAAAATACCAAGAGAGATCTTCTCTAATTTCGAGACTAAAATTTAATCTCTATTTCACACATAATCAGATATATATGAATAGTTAAATCCGAATTTCCATTTTAAAAAGTGTATTTCGAATTTTTGCAACTATTTTTTTTTAGTCATTATGCATTTTGCGATCAGTAATGTGCAATAATATGCACAATGCAACGCAGAACCTTTATGCCACGTATAACTTCTAACAAAGGAATCTATATGTCTTACATAACTAGCTCGTTGGATTAATTTTGTGTCTCTATACACGGATATTTTGTACCGTAATACAATATCAAGACTCAATTATTTATTATTTAACTGTATAAATTAGTTTGCGTTTAAAAAATTCAAACCCACGTCTAAATTTAGAAAAAGCATGTATAACGTAAATTATACAATTTAATTATTATTTATTACAGCGAAATTTCTCATTAAATTGTTAGAAAGTAAAATTATTGATAATTAAAAAAATAAAATAATTAATAAATAATAAATCTCGTATCAGTTCCGAGAAACTGATGCTGAAAATGATGAACAAACTTTGATGGATAAATATTTCAGTATTACAAATCGAAGTTATATTATAAAATTAATATGTACACTAAAATATATAAATAATTAATAATGACAAGTTTTAATTAAAAAAGTTTTAATTAATAAAAAAAAATAAATGTATCATAATTAGCATATTGTATTAGCATAATATGCGAATTCAGATTTTTCACGCATTAAACTAATATATTTGAATTGAATGTCGTTGTTTTTGCAAAAGCAAGTTGCTGTAATAATAAACAATAACGAAACTTTCCGATTCAGAAAATATGACACAGTAACACAGTAGCTTTATTGTCGATAGTCGACCACACAATTATTCATATATATATATATATATATATACGTATTATTACGTAATGAAAGGCTCTCTTAGTCAGATATAACCTTTGATGCTCGTATCTTTTGTGAAACCTTTCCTTTTTTCTTTCTTTTTTTTTAATATTATTAAAAATATCGCTACACCCAACATTTATAATAAAAACAAAACATGCAAAAAGAAAAAAGATGCATAATAATGGGGACATATTTGATGTCATCCGCTTAATAAGTCAAAGTGTCACATTGATAGATACATATTTCTCTCTCTCTCTCTCTTTGCATATAATTCTTTTAATTCCTAATTTACACAAAAATTGCGTTAATATTAATCTTCTTCCATTTTAATTAATACCGATCTTTTTTCAATTTGAATTTCAAGTCGGAGGAAGCGTAAAAAATGGATCGAAGAGAATTAAAATTAACAATCGCGGCATATTAATTACATCACACGTGAAATTAATAATAATTAATAAAATTATCTATTTTTGACATTTTATTTCCATAAATGCTTAGTTCTAATAAATTCGACCGAGGGGCTCTGCTAAGAATATATATATATATATATATATATATCATATTGGATGTTTTATAAAGTATGCATTATATTTCTATAAGAAAAGTCAAAAATTTTGCAAATCTAACTAAGAAAATAATTTAAATAATTTTATTTATATACATTTTATAATTAGATCATATAAAATATAAACCGTCAAGTATATAATTTTTTTCTAGTTGTTAATTTATTATGAATAAGATGAAATGAAAAATATATATTAATTAAATATAAATTAATTAAAAAAAAAGACATAAATACCTCTTTTATACACATCAAATAAATTTACTTAATTAATTAAAAATATAAATTAAATATATTACGTTTGACACTTGCAAAATATACCGTTCCGAGAGCTGAGACGACTCTCTGTGCGTTACATTTGATAACATTATCAAATCTAAATGATTAACACCGTCCCTTCCCAATGTATCGCGATACCGTCACATATTCCTCTTACGTCATAGGATCGTTCGCGACTCTATAGCCTTTGTATCGTCACTCGACGGACATAGAACGATGTATACGAGGAAGCGTCTAATTGATTAAATCGAATTCGTGCGAGGAAAAATATATAGGAAGAAAATTACGTGAGAAATGTAAGAAAAAACTCACCCCAACTGGCGCCTGTGCGCCCCAGGAACTGTCCCGTCTCGGAGTTCCAGAGGAAGACCCGGAAGCCCTCCCATTTTCCGAGCTTCGGCGGCGGCATGTAAAACTGCTCGACCTTCTTGCCCTCCATCCTGCTTCAATATGAATCCCCGCGAATCCGCGAAATCTCCCGGTGGTTAAGAACCGCGCGCGCGAATACCAGGGGTTGGGAATGGGACCGGACTATGATTCCGGAATATTTGCTCCAGAACAGAGATGAGAGGAAAAAATAGCCCAGCTGTCAGCCGCTCCTTCGCGCGCGCGTTTTTCCTCCGAGATCCCGGCTCCCGTATATATTCTATATATATATAATGTACATATATATATATATATATATATATATATATATATTGTTATACAGGAGAGACCGAACGCGAGGACTGAGACTCTTCCTTCCTCCGGAACGATCGAACGGCTCCGCGAGCGAGGGCGCAAAGGAAGAAGGAATGGTCGATTCGCCGTCTGTCTCTCGTCGGAGGAGAAACCGCGCTCTCGGCTCGGCGAGGGGTTGAATATTGAGCGATCGAAGCGGTGGCCCAAGAGAGAGCCCTCTCACTCTCTCTCTCTCTTTCTCCCCCTCTCCTGAGGCTGCACCCCTTTACGGCGCCGACGTGACACCACGCAGACGCGTCAATATCGCGATTTCTCCTTAACACCCCCTTCCGCATCCGCGACCAGGTGGCTCCGGCAAAATGGCGGCCTTCTCTCGCCCTTCTCTCTCCTCCGAGACCATCCCTCCCTTCTACCCTTTCATCCCCCGACCGAGTTTCGCCCTTTCGATCGACCCCCGATGCAAAGCGACTGCGCTCGCGATGCGCACCAGCGGATGACTATTCCGCCTCTGTCTTTTTTCTCGGGAAAGAGAGAGAGAGAGGATGTAGAGAGGGCAGCGTTTGAAGATGTGTAAGAGAGGGGTATAGAGAGGCGAGATAACGCGTGGGTCACGTGGAGCGCGCGACCGCCGCGAAAGTCCAAGAGGGAATGACGGATGACAGCTCGCCGAGATGACAGCTGTCTCATCGCGAGGCTGTAGTTTGGATCTAGGCGCCGCTCCGGCTATCGTCTGATGATTATACATATATGTTGTATAGGATGGTGTATTCGTTGATGTAGCACTTGGCGAGCCACAATGTACTCGATTATTGTTAATTGTTTTTGGACGTGCGGTCTATCTTGATAAAAATACGGCTAATTAATTTTTTAAGATTTAAAATCACGCGTGTGATTTAATTTTACAATTTGCTTAATTAAAAAGCAAAAGTATATAGAATATTATTAATTATTTTTGTATAGAACGCGCAGACAATTTTAATAAAAATATGACTAATTAATTTTTAAAAATTTTAAATTACGAGCGTAATTGTGTAATTTAATTTTACAATTTATATAATTAAACGTAGTTATATAGAATATTATTATTAATTATTTTTGGACAGAACGTGCGATCTACCTTGATAAAAATACGGCTAATTAATTTTGTAAGATTTAAAATCACGCGTGTAATTTAATTTTACAATTTGTATAATTAAACGTAAAAGTATATAGAATATTATTATTGTTAATTATTTTTGTATAGAACGCGCAGGCAATTTTAATAAAAATGTGACTAATTAATTTTAAAAAATTTTAAATTACGAGCGTAATTGTGTAATTTAATTTTACAATTTATATAATTAAATGTAATTATATAGAATATTATTATTAATTATTTCTGGACAGAACGCCCAGTCAATCTTAAATTAATCTTGATAAAAATACGACAAATTAATTTTAAAAGATTTAAAATTACGCGCGTTTAATTTTATAATTTATATAATTTTTATACATAATATAAATATCCAATAAATTGCGAATTTAATCAACTGTCAAAGTATAATCCTAAGGATAATTGTTTATTCTTTTATAAGCATCAAGAGCTGATAACATCGTCTTCATTTTAATTTTTTCATTACAAATTGAATATATAGAGTTAAAAAAATTGCAAAAAATGATTCTTTTCAAAGACTCTCTAAAATTTAAAAAAACTAAAAATTTTTTTTAATTAGCGCACGCGCAGTAACAATTTAATAATCATTGATAAAACATCAGAAAAACATGATTAAAGCATTCGCAAATTATTTTACAAAAAATAATTGTGTTCGAGATTGTTGAATGTTTAATAAATTTTTAGACAAGAACGCTTTTTTTCTTATTTTTAAAAAAAGTAAATTGTTTTACGCAAACATATCTGTTCACATCGAAATCGTGATTTTTTAATGTAATCATCCGGTTTTCCATTTATTTTCTTCCTGTTTTGCAAGAATTCAGTATTATAAAAATAGATAATTTTTGAAAATTTTAAAACTGTGACATTTTATATATTTTAATCCTGAATCCACTATATTAAATATGCAGCTAAATCGGCATTATATTTTATGATAATTTACTTGTCCTTTCACATAAAAATTGAATATTGACTTTTTAAATACAATTTATCCATAATATATTATATATTTTATATAGTATCACAATTTTATAAACATTTAGTTGTGTTTATAAAGCCACATGTTCTAAAAATAAGAACAATATATATATATATATATATATATATATATATGTTATATTATTAAAAAAACAATGATACAAATTATCAAATTTTTGTCGTCTATGCGTTTAAGTAACTTGCTTTTCTAGAACAGGGAGATTTTTCTGGCCTTTTCTTGCAGATTGATAAAAAATTTAAACACGCCAGTTTTTTTTCTTCGCTTTCTATCATCTACATGATTGAAATCTTTTAAAGTGTTAAAATATAAATTTAATAATATAAGAGAAATGATAAAAAAAGGATTTTAGCGAGCAAAAAGATTATTAGTTGACATATATAAAGTACATTTAGATATTCTCAATAATATAATTACGTTTACAGGAATATAATTACATTTAAGTATTCGAAAAAGATTAAATATATGTTAACAATAAGTTATGTGTGTGTGTGTGTGTATATATATATAATATATATATATAATATATACACGCGCTTAAAAGTAAGGCTTTCGTATCTCTTTAAAAGAGTGTGTCCTTAAAATTCTAGATTTTTTCTTTTATATATATATATATATATATATATATATATATATGTATATATATTTTTTACTATACATCTTGTACTCCCTTTACATTCTTGTGACAAATGCATAATTCTAATCTAGAGTACTTATCTCTCATGAATTTCTTTTTCTCTCTTCTCCTTTTGATTGATCTTTTCTCCCTATATAAATGTTCCTTTTAATTTATATCCATATTCACAAGTTATGAACAAGTAATATGCATTATTCACAATGACTGTACAAATTTTGTTTCGCGACACACTTTGTTGATACATTATTTAACAACGGACGTAATCAACCTGCCTTAATAATAACGCTTGACAATTAAGTTCCAAGCGATTATTATTATTTTCATCTCTATCAAATTTTCACAATCTCGATATTATCATCCGATAGAGTCTTGTACTCTCTTTTTTCTTCTTTAGTTTAATTTTTTCCAGCCATTGTGCTCTTACGTGTTTCGAAATACTGGAACGCGCGATATTCAATCAATCAAATTGGCGATGTTAAAAAAACAGTATAAAAAAAGACGCAGTATAAATCTAACTCAATACGTCGAAATATTTTATATCGACTTTGTTCCGGTTTTCCGAATTTTATTTGAAAAAAATCAAAGAACGCGAAGATCAAGCCCTCTTTTTTCTCTATCAATCTTTCTAATACTTGAATATATACATATACAGCCGTTCTTCTAACATTTTTGTAATTTTTAACAGTAACAGGAACTGCAACACGTCTAATGCCCAATATTGTTAAACCTTTCTTTTTTAATCTCGTGTCTATCGCGGTTTTTTACAACACCTGTTAATAAAAAAGCTAGCGCCTTTCCAGGAACAACATTTCGCGGCCGATCTTCCCTCGCAGAGAATTTTTTTTATTTAAAAAATGCGTAAACAAAGAAAATGCTGCATGCAACACTATGGGAAATGATTAGCGTGAAGTGATATAATATGAATATCTAATATATAAAAATGATTATCTGGTAATCTTCCAGATTCTACGAGTGAAAAAAGAATCTTTCTCCCAATCCAAGTAGCAAAAAATGTATAAAAAATGTTTAAAACTCATTTTCAAAGATATATTTTATAAACATTAAAACAATTGGTTAAGTTTCTTTTCAAAAAACCTTTATTTTAACATTAATGTGATGTAAATATTTAATTAATGTAATATTAATATTTATTTAATAAAATTATTAATAAAATATTTAATAAACGTTAGATAAATATTTATATTACATTGACGTTTTTAAAATATCTTTGAAAATTAGTTTTAAATATTTTTTATACATTTTTTGTAACTGGGAATATATTTAACATTTGACATATGAGATTTTGCGTTTGACGCGATTTTGTGTATATATTTCCTTTTTTTATAATATTATATAAATATATTTTTATAATATTATATAATATTATATAAACATTTCTCTTGAACAAGACTCGAGTTTCATTCAAATAAATTTACATTTCAAAATTCTATTATCCTTCAGACTAAATTTGTCAAACATGTTTAACGTTCAAATAAAAAAAGTATACAATACATTGATTTTCAATCATCATTTTTAAAAATTTGATTTTTGATATCGAAGAACATCTTTTTCTAAAATATTTTGTATCCAGATAATAATTTTAAAGAAATAAGATCAAAAATTTAAAAAACTAATTTGCTAATGTGTTCAATGATTTTTTTTCCCTGTACGAGTGCGAATGAATTGTGACGAGTTTTTCCGTAAATTTTTGAACAAGTGCTATTTGTTTCACGAAAAAAAGAATATAAGCTGCCCAAAAATTGCAGTAAAAAAAAAGATATGGCAAAAATATCAAATACATTATATCGTCTTGTTAGTAGAACTTAAAATATATATCATCAAATAAAAATATATCGTCTTGTTAGTAGAACTTATAATAATATAGTCAAATGTATAGGATGTTCCACAATTTAATTTGAATGATGGATTTTCTGATTAATTTTAATCGATTTTTTCTTAATAAAAATCTTCAGAGAAATCGTTATATTACACTTTTCTCGCAAATTTTTATTTGTGTAACTAAACTTCAAATAAAAATTTTATTATAAAATAAGGTATTATCCGAAATAAATTAAGAAATACAATTTTATTGTCTATTTCATCTCCCTTTAAGTAGAATTAATCAAAAATTAATTTTGTAATTAATCTCTCATATCTTGAAAATCGTAGATGACTATATTTTGCTGAAGAAAAGTCGACTCTAAAAATTCGTCAGAGAATCTATCATCGAAATTAAAGTCAGAGGTTGTACATAAATATAATTTTTTTTAAAAACGCATTTATCATCTTTAAATTATATCTTTTTCGTTAAAAACACATTAAATCCTTAATTAGTGCCAAGCGCTCTCTATTTTGGTTTGCCGCACTTCTAATAAGCAATTTCGTTGCAATGTTACATAAAAGATTTAATGAAAATGCATTTACGATAATAAGAAGGAAAATGCGAATTCCCCGAATCGACTGCAAATTGCAGCCTATTTGCAAATTATGAAGCCTCGGCGGACATTTGGATATTTTTTTTTCAATCTTCCCTATTTTCCAATTTGTTATACACAGGAGATCGCAGTAATAAAATGTCAGAATAGTAATAAATGATCTTTTTGTTGGCAAATCTAATGATTATACAGAACGCATTACTTTAACACAATTAAAACATTATTTGATTCAGTTCTTCTCATCGTTCATGATAGCCGGTTATAATTTGATTTCGTCCTATATAAGATTTTGCATTAATAACGAGTCTGACAATATTATTATTTCAAAAATAATTAAATAAAATCCGATTTTATATATTTCTCAGAAATGTCTGATTTTTTCTTCTTTTTTTTGGGCTTCTCGTCAACGCTGCATTCTAATCTCATTCCCATATCATTTTTTCCTCCTATATTCCCTATTTTATTTCGTTCACAATAATTAATATTTTTTCAACTGTCTTGCAGGTTCGTGCTATATACTCTCTTTTTTTCTTACTTTTTTGGCCATTTTCGCTATCGCTTTCGTACGAGAAAAAATATATATATATATATATATATATGCATACATGTGATTTTTGCGAGGCGGAAAGAATCATTTTCGTTATCAAGATCCGACTTTGTCCATGCGTGGAGTTCGAGCTGTGCATCGATGAAAAGTCAATTTTTAAATGCATCAGCCACTTTTTGCTTTTTGGCTGCCACTTTAATATTTATCTCGCGCTTTTGCTTTGAAAAAAAAAGAATCCATTGCACCAACCAGTGTGTTGCAGCTTTGGTTAATTAACTCACTTCGTTTCTCGCAATTAAATCGAAACTCGTATATACATATAACCAGATGTGAACCAGGAAAATTATGTCTTCAAATTTGTATGATGACATAAAGGTGCGCAGATGTATTATACACTTCTACATTTAGCTTAAAAACTAAAATGAAAAGAATTCCTATAAGTAATGAGAATCCTAAGAATGGATAAAGGAATAAAACTTGTGTACTTTTTTTTTATAATTTTGAAGTGTAGAATACACATTGTACATATCTCGTCTCGAAAATAGCTTGAAATCTGCGCTAAGAATTTGTATTTCTTAGGAATCCAACAGTTCTCAAGATGTTAACAGCGCGGAAAAAATTCGCTCTTGAGTCTCTCCTCTTTATAAATAATATAATATAGACCAGAGATACAGAAATGTATAGAGAAGGAGAAAAAGAGATTGAGCTTAACCACGCTTAATCACACTAATGTTGCTGCAATCAAAAGCGTAAAAAAAAAAAAGAAAAACAAAAAACTTCACGCTTGATTCCTTTCGCTCCGAGACACCGGTGATCGGTCGTAAAAGTCGTATAAAATATAGTTTCAAATGCACGTGCAATCGTATGACTACTCGTGTATAAATAATATATGATAATCGCCGTCAAGCTACAGCTATCAGTAAGATAAGAAACGAATTGTGAGCAGCAGAGACATATGTATAATTTATGAGAAATATATATTATATATTATATAAATTACATAAATACAATATATAATATATATTTCGCGCGTATTTTTTTTCCTTTTTTTACACATACACGCACAACAAACATACGTAGGAGCGCAACGGCAGCTCTAGACGATCGAACACTTTTGGTTTCTTGTTCTCTCTCTCTCTCTCTCTCTCTCTCTCTCTCTCTCTCTCTCTCTCTCTCTCTCTCTCTCTCTCTCTCTCTCTCTCTCTCTCTCTCTCTCTCTCTCTTCATCTTTCTCTTTTATTTTCTTTACCCCCTCTGCATCTTGCATTCCATTTTTTTTTCTTGCATATACACATAGATACATACGCACACACACACACACACACACACACACATACAACAAACATTTCTATCTCATATACATATATACGCCTTTTTCTTTTTTCACACATCATTATCATTTCATTTCGCGCGTGTAAGAATTGAGAAAAATATATGTACATAAAAATATCGTGGCGCAGCAGCGATAGTAGAAGTAATATATTTTAATAGTAGTGATGATGATAATAATAATAGCATAGAGACGTATAGTAGAAGTAAAAGTATCAATTGCTAAATATAGTCGAATCTCGTATAATTCTCTCGCTTCTATACCCCTTAGCGGTTTTGGAGCACAATGCGTTCTTTAGCCATTCTTCGACGTGTTCTCTTACAGCTAATCGTTAAGAGAAGAATTTGGGGAAGTAGGATAGGAGACCAATGTGGAGATTAAGGAGTCACAGCGATAAGATGTAGCTCTCACAGATTTGTATAGGTCGCTAGAGGGGACGCGAGTCATTATTTAAACCCAAAAACCTCTCGAAACGGTGTCCTATGATAAAAGAAACACAGACAAGACATTGTGTTCCAGTGTGTATATGGCGCGATCTCTCGATTATTTCCTCGCATTCTTTTTTTCCTTTTTTTCGTCTCTGCTCTTCCTCTGTACAATGCACTAATATATATATATATATATATATATATATATATATATATATATATATTATATATATATTTATATACCCTATTTTTACATAATATTAAATTACTTTGCGATCACACTATCATACATAAGAACTTGCAAAAGATATATCCGGTACCGTGAATCGCGAAACGTTCTCGGTTAGAAAAACTTCGTCGCTGTCGTGCTTGGCATCGGCGTCATTGTCACCGTCATCGTCAACGTCAGCGTCAACATCAGCATTAGCGTCGTCATCATCGTTATCATCCTGATTGTATGACAGGACGTTGAGAAAAATTACCGAGAATTGTAACGAGGAACGATAGCGGCCGTCATCTCGCAACGTCGTCTTGTCCTTACATTGGTGCACATTGGTGACGTACTGGTGATAATAGTTAGAATGATAATGATGGTGCTGCTGCTGCTGGTGGCGGTGTTGTTGTTGTTGTTGCTGGTGGTGGTAGTAGTGATAGCAGTGGTAGTAGTGGTGTTGGTGATGACGATGATGGCAATAGTTGCGGTCATAGTGGCGGTGATCATTGTGACGAGTGGTGGCGGAGTGGTCCGTGGCAGGGGATCACTTGTCGGAACTCGGGCACTCCCCGGACTGCTTCATTATTGTGTAATCCAGTCGATACTGGGCTGAAATTCAAAGGATTCCGGGTGTTTCTCTCAGGTGTGATGACAATTCGTGAACGATTGAAACTTGCAATCGGTACTCGTGCGTTATATAAGCGTGCGAATTAGTTTGACAAAAAAATTTTACCCTACCCCTAAAAAACTAATTAATATAGAATTGCAGTATTCAAGATTAATTTTGAATAACTTTTTCCATAATCTCTTTAAAACATCCTATCTTGTATAAAGGACTTCACACCAAATACATAGGCTACAACATGTGAGAAAATCAGCTGATTCAATTTCATCTAGGATTTTATATAAATTCGAAAATCCCATATTAATCATATAAAATTGAAGCTTAATAAGATCAGCTGGTTTTTTGTATGTTGTAGCTTAGTACTGATTTATAGCCAGTCAAATACAAAAATCTTGGGCTTTACGAGTTGTTTGACTGGCTGTAATTCAGTAACTATCCAATATTATTTAGTTTTGAGACTATTACATCTTTTGTTCAGCAGGACATAAGCTATAACATATGAAAAAAACAGCCAAAATTCCATCGAAAGTCAAAATTCTATGTATTTGGTGCAGAGATCTTTTGAATGTCAGTTATTTTATAAAGTAACTAAGGCTTAAATCGAGATAAAGTTGATTAGTCAAACTAGGATTTGTTTTTCTCAGCTGAATTGGCTACATCAGTTCAGAGTTTACCTCTTTTACTCCACATCAAACCGAAAGAGGACTCTAAACTAGTGTAGCCAGTTCAGCTGAAAAAAACAGACCTCTAGTATTAAAAGGAATAAAGTCCCAAGTAGCAAACTAACGTCATTCTGACGTCAAAATGACGTTAGTCGCTTGTTACCTAAGATGTTGTTACATACGAGGCAAGTCAGAAGAAGAGCGGCTTTACAAAAAGCCTCATCTCCAAAGAGCTGAAGACTTGCATTTAAGAGGACGTACCTTTCTTCGTGAGGTCCTCCATCGTCTGATCCTTGCAGTCTACCGCGAGGTGACTACTACTACCGCAGTTGTAGCAAGAGATTTTCGCTGGCGGGATTACCGCCGCCGCCGCATACGTCACCACCGACGTGGGCGGCATGTATGACGCTTGCACCGGCGTCGCGGCGGCCGCCGCGGTCGGCGGCGGCGGCGGGGTACTGCCGGACGCGGCGGGATGCCCCGTGTACGAGTACATGATCTCGCCGTTCGGCTGGTACGCCGGCGGGTAAGCTGGTCCTCGCGCGGACGGACCGTGCAGGAAGTTGGAGTAGATGCCGCTGTTACCGGGCCGCAACGCGGCCGGGAAGGCGTGACCGTGCGGCAGATACGCAAGCTGCGAATGTGTCGGTGGCGCCGGGAAGGAAACGCAGTGCGGCAGATTCGGCGGTCCGCCGTTGTTCCCGTTGTTCCCGAGCCCGTTCAGCATTCCCTGGCTCTTCTGTCGCATCGCGCGCGCCTGCGGATTCTTCCTGGTGAGTTGTCTGCTCTCCGGTGGCACCGACGACTGCATCGGCTGCTGCTGTTGCTGGGACGTCGAGGCTGACGCGCCGATATGCGGGGGCTGTGGCGGCGCCGTCGCCGACGAGTGCACCGAGTTCAGGTGATCGGTGACATTGTTGTTGTCGTTGCTGCCGACCCACGGAACGGCTGGCGGCGTCTCCGGAGGTGATCTGCTACCGGTGCTATCGGAACTGCTGCTTTGAGAGCAGTGCCGACTGCTCTCGGAGTCGAGTCGTAGCGTTTGCAGTTGCGCAAGGCAGTACATGTGCTGAGCGTTGCATCTGAAATTTACGATCATTGTCTCAAAATACCCAGGTAGCAAGTGTCAAAGTCACTTTTATGTTGAATGACGTCACTAGATGACAAAATAATGGCATTTTGACGTTTAATGACGCCAGTTTGCTACTGGGTAGGATTATCAAGTGAATCTTTTTTAATGATAAATATTAAAAATATGTTTTCCAATCAAGTTTTATACTAAAGTTTAATTCAAATTCATATATATATATATATATATATATATATGTACCTTGCAAATCGATTTTGCATTCCAGCTACTGGTACAGTGAGGCAGGCATAACAGGAGTTCTGGGCCGTGTACATCTGCGGCGGAGGATACATTTGTATTTGCGCGGGATCCATCGACGGCATGGGATAACGCCGTACGTTAGGAGTGGTTACGTGATTCTGGTAATTATGTATCGCCGGATGTTGTTCCTGTTGTAATGGTATTGATTTCCCGCTTGTATTACTATTATCACCCAAGACCTCCATACCTGGTGCAGCCTGTGTGACGAAAGAGATAGCGTTAGCATTTATAAAACGCTCTAAATATCGTTTTAACAATCATTAATTTACACATTACCAGATTCTATAATGTAAGCCGCATTTGCAATTTTAATCTTTTTTAACAAAGTAATATTTCAAGCTTGTTAAAAAGAAACAAGAGAAAATATGCAAAACCTGAAGTTAAATTTGCAGAATATTTTCTATTTTTGCGTTCAAATTACTATTAAAATTAAAAATTGTAATCAGTTTCTCAATTTAAAAAATAATCAATTAAAATTAACCGAGAAATCTTTATCTTTTAAGAAGATTCATATATATTACAATAAACAGAATGTCCTAAAAATCTTGCAACAGTTAAATATCTCGAAAATAAAGGCTTTTAGAGAAAATTATTTCAAATAAAAATTGTAGGATTTTAAGTGGCACATTAAGTAGTAATATTAGTGTAAGTAAATAGCATTGTTAAAGCCGCTTAAAATTTACTTAAAAATTTTTAAATAAAAACCTTTATTTTTTATTACATATTCATTACAGCTCATTTTAAGAGCTTTTCAAAATACTACTTAAATACAGGACACCCTGTATAAATGTATATTAATCTTACTTCGTTCTCGATCGCCTCGGTAACCGAATGCGTGGTATTGCTAGTATTATCCAGCTTCTTATCCGTTGAAATCTGATTTAAGCCATTGGTTTGACTCTTGACTATACTCCTCAACTGTCCTACCGCGTTCGGCGTCAAGCCGATTTCCCTTAAATCTTCGTCGCTCAACCTTCTAATCTGTAATGCATCATATACATAGCTTAATCTCAAATTGTACACGCACGAATATACATGATACAAAAAACACGGTTTTATTACTTACTTCGTCGAGGGAGAGGTTTTGTAGATTGCTCTTAAAGTTCGGCATCTCCTTGCCTAGGGTCTCCCGAAGAGAATCACCGGAATTCGACGGCCTGAGTCTAGGCGGTGGCGGGGGTTGTTTCGACTGGGTCGCCGGAATCAGAGTCGACGACGGAGCGTTGTCGACGGAATTATGGCGAGAGAAGGTCGACGTGCTCGTGATGGGCAAAGGAACTGGTCGCGACGACGGTAGCAATGGCGGTTGACTAGGAAGACTTCTGCTCGCGCCGAGCGCTGGTAAGGGCGGTAGAGAATTGTTGTTGTTGTTGCTGTTGTTACTGTTACTACTGTTGTTACTGTTATTGCTGTTGATAGCGTTCGAGCCGGAGATACTCGTTTGACTGTTGTTGGAGCCGCTCGACGACGTCGTGAGGGTGCTCGAACTGGACTGGGTCACTTGCGAGGACGAAGTACGCGGATTCGCGTTATTCCTGCCACGACCCATCGGCGAATTGCTGCGACTAGGAGATCGTGACTGGGACGGCGAAGACTGGCGGCTGACTAAAGGAGAATGTGGATAAGCCAGCACGTCGCCGGTATGATACATCAGCTGGTTTCCCATCATAACCTGACCCGTCCACGCTGGCGGCATATGGTTCATGGATGGGAAACCAAGGTGAACGTATTGAGTTGTACCGCCGGATCCCATAGGCATTTGCTCCGGGCCAGGCAGGCATAATCCTGGTGGAGGTATCGTGAGGCCGGGTGGCATTCCGGTTACCATGGCATTTCTCATTGCGATTTCTCCTGTAAACATCAAGTAATAATAAGATAATGAAGCAATCTTGGATTTAAAAAAAACGAGCATAGATTTATGAAACAATTTATCTCATTGCACTTCACAGTTTTTCTCTTTGCATAGATAAAGAATTTTATAATACAAAAAAGTTTATCTTAGAAATATTCTTGTCTAAGAAATCTTATCTAATTGTAAGAAATAATATTAAGAATACAGTTAAATACAGTTAAATATGAAATAATAACTATTTATAGCACTTTTAATTGCAAAATTTCACAATTACAATATTCATACATGAATATAAAAACATAAAATATAATTATAAAAATATAATATAGAAAAAACGTAAAAATATAAAACATAAATTTTCCAGAAAACAATTTACGTTATTTTATTTAAAATAATTTATTAGAAAAAAACAAAGATTCTGCAAAGCAAATTTTAAACATCGTTTTTAAGTGAAAAAAGTCAAGATAAAATATAAACAGCTCTGTATAAGTAAAAGATATATATAAACAAAAACTACTAATGTGCAATATATTATTGACATATTATTCTAATTAATTCTCCCTAATAAATTAAACTACTGAGATCATTAAGTAAAAAGCGCACTCCATTGGCGTTAGAAATGCTTCATTTGATTGACCAATTAGAGCCAAGAAATTTTTCCTCTTTTTGTCCTAATTGATCAACTAATTGTACGTTGGTGCATCCTAAGTAAAATGAAGAAAATTTTATTCTTTTCTAAAAAAAACAAAGCCTTGACTCAAGCTACTGTTAAGTTGCTTCTTATTGCAAGAGTCCTAATTGTATTATGTCCAATGTTTATCTTTTGAATTAATGAACATTTAGAAAATGAGAGGCTTACCATGATATGACTGCATTGGCGGTGGCGGCATTAAGCAACTATTCGGCATTTCAGACTCCATTAGCCTCTCATTCGTGCTCATGCACGGTGTACAGCCCTGCATAAATTTGAATCATGTATTATGTTTGTAAAAAAATATGTAAATTTATAATTTAACAATTTCAAATTTTTCTACAAAAAAATGATTATTAAATCATATAAATTACTGATATAAAAATTTACTATTCAAATAATATTATTAAAGTGTTTTATTATTAAGATTATAAAATTCAGTATATATTAATGAATTAATTCGAGTTGAAGAAGATAATGTATTATATCTCTCTATTTAACAATAGTATCAATAGTTTCTAATTTCTTTTTTAATTAAAATCATTATATTAAAGCATATAAATTAATGATATAAAAATTTACTATTAAATATTACTAAAGTGTAATAAAATAGTGTTTTATCAAAATTATAAAATGCATAATGTATCAATAAATTAATCTGTGTTGAAGAAGATAATGTATTTTACGACTCTGTAACAAAAGTATTCTTTCTCTATTATACTTAACTATAAACCAATGTGTATTACATTAGTCTATAAAATTTTTAAATACAACACAGTGAAAAAAAGAAAAATCATGTTTCTTCGTTAAAAAAAGAAAAGATGAGCTTTACATTACTTGTGTTGGTTTGAAAGAAGAGTTTATCTTTGAAAGATTCAGACGAGCTTCTTCCTCCTGCAGCTTGATGAATATGTTGCCGAAGACGCTCTTCTGCTCGTACGTGAAGGCCGGATGATTCAGTGCCATCGTATACAGCAGCAGCAACTCTTCCAGAGGTTGATCGTCCACGTTGGTATTGAAGGTTCCATTGATCAGACTGGTGATCTCCTGGTGATCAAAGTTGGATAGATTTTTGTACAGGATCACCGCGCAGGGGTAATTGCACGAGTGCAACAGCGCCATGTAAAGAGCCAGTTTTCTTCGTGTACGTTTATCCGTCACGTTGGAGGTCGTCAGTTCGGCCACGTCGGAGGTGTTGTTAGCATGATGCTCCGAGTCGCGCAGGTCATTGTAGTCCCGCTTGCCGATCTCCTCGATGCATGTGCCAAGGTATCGTACTTCGAACGGCAAGCACATGTTCAGTAATGTGCACATCACATCGATGCGTTTATAACTAGACAGATAAAAATGATGGATTAGTATGAAGTACAACAACATTAATCATGCTTTATGTTCTTTATTTTAAAATGACAGCTCTAAACGTTATAATTTCAACTGTCTCTCTCATAATTCTACTTCTAAGTCTTTCTCCTTTTCAGAATGTACTCTTTATCATGTAAATTTGAAGAGCTGTGGATAGACAATTGGATCATACGCATCATTTTCATCAAACATATATGTATATAATTTATTTTAATTTTATCATTAGGAAAATATTAATAGTTAATTCAATAGCCTTAATTTTTTTTAAGCAGAAGAGAAATATACTAAAAAACTTGAATAATATAAATTATCTTTTGAATATTGCTTTTACATTCATTTTGTTAAAATCTGACCTTTTGATTTACTTTATTTTGCTTCAAACTATTATGAAAACAAAAACAAAATAAAAATAAAAGCATGTTGTATCTAAAGATATTTAAATCTATTTTAAGTACACATATACATAAATACAACTTTCTTCAAAATTTAAAGTGTTACAAGAGATAAGAAAGAGAACAATTTTATCAATATATATTACATAATAGCTAAAATTAGAATCTCAAAATATGTTTGAATTTTTTTACAGTTTTTTAAAAACTATAAAAAAGCTATTAAAGAAAAAATATTTATAAAAATTTATAAATAAAACTATATTTAAGCTAAATGAAGCATTTTGTTACACAGATTGTAAACAAATCGTAATTAAAACAAAGATTAAGTTATTTTTTAATTTCTCATTACTTTAAACAGATCATTAGCAAATTATATGTTTTTAGATACAACAGTCTCTCTATTTGTCATATAATTTAACTTTCTGTCACTTAAAAAATTAACTTTCTTACATATTTTATTTCAATATTTTATATAGATATGTTAATTTATATCTACACACACATACACATACACATATATATATTGTATATATAACAATATAGCTGTCTTATGCAATCATTGATAATTATCATATCACGCACTGATGCATTCAAATTTAAATATAGATCATTATTCACAGAAATACTGAAATAATGTATTATTTCGACATTTATATAGAAAGTTGCATCAAATAGTGTTATAAAAAAATAATAAAAAATCAAACTGCATTTTGTCAAAGTGCTGGAGAAACTGGAAGATTCTTGCGATATAGCTTAGCAATCTTATTTTTATTTTATCAAGATATTTTTTAATTAAATTGTTTCACTTTTTATAAATCTGAATATGTAATTTAATTGTATGTAAATATATTAATGTAATATATATATAGTTGATATATAATATATAAAATCTATTTATATAATATATATTGTATATATAAAAATGCAATAATTCAATAAAGAAATATATTTCTTTATCGAAATTGTAGAACAAGCACAGAGATGCATTCAGATGCATCTAATGAAGAGAATAAAAAAAAGAGAAACACTTTTCACCAGATCAAGAGTCGCTTCGTACAAAAACCATAGACCTTACGAGACGACAAGGACACATGTCCCATTCGTATGAACCGTATCAAGGAACATCAGTTGACAAGTGACATTAACAGTAGCATAATATTTAATTCTTTATACAAGCTACCAGAAACTTTTCTAAAGACTCACAATGACAAAGCAACAGGACAAAATGCAATTTCAAGAAATGTGATACAAAACAGACGCAAGAACCGAAGAGGATCCGGGGTATCGCGAATACCACACCGGGGTAACGCGGCGTCGACGACGGTTACGCGAAAAATAAAAAAAAATAAAAAAAAAAATAAAAAATCACACTCCTGAAATATCTCAGAGGAAGAACAAGAAATCATGACGCGACGCGACGACGCGACGCTTTTGATCGCGACTTCATCATCCGCTCGCACGTTACCTGGACAGATTCCCAAACCATGATACCACGTTCTCCTTACACACCATCGCCAGACAACATTGATACCACTTGGGTGGGAGGAAAGTGTAGAGCAACGGAGCGGACAGTCAGCGGGCGGACTCTCTCTCTCTCTCTCTCTCTTCTCTCTCTCTCTCTTCTTCTGCTCTGTCTCGCTCCCTCCTTCTCTCTCTCTCTCTCTCTCTCTTCTTCTCACTCTGGCAGCGCGCGATCGGACAATCGACTTGACAATCGGATCTCCTGTTCGGAGAGGATCTCCTCTCGCAGGCGTGCGATGACACTCGTTGCAGGACGACGAAGCACCGAAGGTGCAAAGTGGCGGCAACAATCTCGGCAGCAGGCGGATGTGTCCTCGTGCACGTCAGAGTCGTACGTCGACGATGATGCGCGCACCAGGTGCGCCACTTCCTGGGAAGGGAAAGGAACGACGAGGGTACTTCCGGAGAAGGTCGACGATGACAGGGTCGACGCAAGGGTCTTCGACGAAAACGGAGTCGCGCGACTCGAGACGAGCCTCTCGTCCCTTCCTTCCTTCTCTCGCGAGGAGACGAAGGAACGCGTCGCTCCGGATTCCTCTTGTACGCCTTCTTCGGGGTAGCAGTCCTCCCTGCTGGCCGGGTGTCTCTCCCTGGGAGCGAAATAACACGTCTCTTTCCTTCTCGCACGAGATACGGGGATTGTATTTTATATGTTACTTCGCCGCCGTACGTTCGTTTCGTGCACTTCTTCGCTACGATACTCGCGAATTCGCTCTCTCTCTCTCCCTCTTCTATCTCTCGCGCGCGTACGAGATGCTAGAAGTGTCGGGCAATCAAGTTGCGAGACCGTTCATATGCTCGCGTTCGAAAAGCCATCGACGATGAAACCTGTCGCTTTTGAATCAAGTGATGTTTCCATGTGGCGACGACAGCGAGAGTCTAGTAACGTTACTAGAGACGCGTCGCTAGGTATTCGCGCGCATCGTGACAGTTGACAGTTGGCGCGCCAAATGTCACGTGTTACCTGTCACGTGCTCGGCCGAGAAAACACCTTGTTGCTAGCGGCCACTACCACGATCATATAAATATAATAAAAATAATATATATATATATATATATATATATATATATATATTGAATAAAATATAATATATGTAATACATAATATATAATTATATAAATAATATATAAATATATATACAATATATGATCGTGGCCTTGCATTGTTTTACGATATCACGAAAAATTGTAGATCGAGGATACTTTAACACGTTTATGTTAACAAATTATCATGATTATCAATTAAGAAATTATCTTTAAATATATAAAACATATATGACATTACAAAAAAATCTGCGTAATAAATTTGTTTTGGGATAGGCTTATGAAAATTATTCTAACAATTATCTAATGTATATTAAAATATGCATATGAGTAAAATTTCATTGAAATTGAGGAAATGGATAATCTGCGCATTTATCTAATTAAAAATTATTTAAAAATTTTGATAAGTTTGTATGCTAAAGAAACCAAAATTAATCATAAATATATGAAAATGTATAACAGAAAAACTTGCATAATAAATTTGTATCAAGGAATAAACTGGTGAACATTATTATTCTAATTGTCTAATGTGTATTCAAGTATGCATGTAAAGAAAATTTCATTGAAATTGATAAGGAAATGGATAGTTTATGCATTTATATCTGATAAAAAAAAATGAAAATTTTTGATAAGTCTATATATTAAGGAAACAAATTACTATAATCTTAAATATATAAAATTATGGAAAACCTGCGTAAATTTCTATTCAAGCAATAAACTTGTGAGAATAATTCAAATTTGATTGTTTCTCGAGTTATACATTATCCTATATTCTTTGCATATTTATTTTCATGAACATATTATGAAGAATCCTCATTTGTTAATCACTTTCTGATTCCTTAATTAATAACTATCACTTTCCTTCTTATGCTATTCTTTCACATTTGCCACGTAATTACATAAACACACTTTAAAGTTAAAAGTGAATAAAAGAAAAATATAGACATGAGCAGCTTCCATATTCACAATACTTTGATGAAGAGAGAAAAATATACATAGTTCCTTTTTCTCTCTCACTTGTTATCTGTGCAATGACATTCTTTAAACAATTTAACTACTTTCTTTTTATAGAAAGAGAGAGAGAGATACAAAGAAACTAAATATATCTTCTTCATCTTGTTTAGATCTTTATATTCAATTCTTATTATGTCTACGAAAGATATGCTCTGAATGCATAGTATCTTTTGTTTTTCTCAATTTAACATACTTGCAAATATAAAAAAAAATATTGCAAAAGGGAAAGTAATTATTAGAGAATCCAAAAGTAATTAATACAAAGGTTCTTCCAATTATATATATATGCGCGTATATCGTTAATATAAAAGCTAATTAGTGTAAAGTTTCGGTATTGGATCTGGCTACATCGGAGACAGTCTGATTATTGTCCATCTGCTCCGCTATTACATTAAACTGTTCTCCATTAACATATTGTCCCTCTTGGTACTGCGAGGGATAATCACTATATTGATTATGTGCTTGTTCCATCATATAAGTATCCATGTTTGGATCGTTCGCTGCATACTCTTCATTATTACCACCTGCTTCTTCTTGTTGCTGATACATATGCTGATCCATAGTTTCCATTACAAAATTGTCTTGTCTCTGGTCACCGGATAAATCGTACAAACCGTTTGGCGATTGTTCGTTTCCCTTTGACGCGTTCGAATACATTTCTGATGATCCTTCGGGGGCTATTGAATCCATTGCAGTGTCATAATGAAAAGCTCCAGTATCGTCGTTAGTTTCCATAAGAGCTCCTCCTAGAAAGTGATCGTTGTTATATTCAACGTGTATTTTGTGTCGTCTCGATTATAAGTAAATTGTACGAATTATAAATCAAAGTCCACTACCTTCATGACTTACAAGACTGCCTTGTATCTTATTTGACAAATGTTCTATGTTGCTTTGTAGGTCGGCCATTTCTTCCCTGAGATAAACGTGTAAATGGATTAAAAAAAGAGCGAGAGCGATGAGATACTATAGATTAAAACTATTACTTTTAGCTACGAACGAAAAATCAAAGCGTCACATCGAGCGTAGTATATAATTCTCATTTCGTTCTAGGATACAGGGTCGCTATTACTGTGCTGATAGAGTCGTTTTGGAAGCATCTGACTTCTTTTTCGGAATTACTTTTACTTTTAGATCGACCTTAACGGTACGTTTCTTGCTCGAATCCGAAGCGGTTCGCCCAACTGTTGTCACGTCTCTCTCAACGATCCCCTCTGTCAACACAGAATAGCCCCAGATATATATCGTGTGAAAAATAAGGTGCATCCTTATCTAATTAGCATGTAGAGTGTTCCTTCAAAAGTTCTGCAACAGTCAAATATATCGAAAACGAAGGTTTTTTGAGAAAAATATTTTAAATAAAAGTTGTAGGGCTTTAAGTAATGTATTAAATAGCAATGTAGTTGATTAGAAATAGCATTGTTAAGATCATGCAAAATTTACTTTAAAATTTTTTTAATTTGCTTGAAATTTTTAAATAAAAACCCTTATTTTTGATTGTACATTAATTCTTGTAGCTTATCTCCAGAACTTTTCAAAACACTATTATAATAAAATTTTTTCATTCGGTTTTCGAATAATAATGCTTGAAATTTACGGTATTTTGATATAAAATACAAAATGTTTTGTAAAATATTTAGTTTTCGATAATTTTATCTTAATACTTTTATGCATAAAATAATTAGACAAATCAATTAGTGTATAGAAAACGCAGTTATTTTTAAGAAGATATATACAACAATTTGCAACATATTTTTTTCTTAAAAATAATATATATTATATATAAGGTAAAATTATTGAGAACAAAATATTTTGTATTTTATATCAAAATATTAAACTTTGAAAGCTTATAATTCGAAAAGTAATAAATAAAAACTAAAAATATTGTAATGTTTTAAAAAACTCTGAAAATAAGCTACATGAATATGTAATCAAAAATACATTTTCATTTAAAAATATCAAAGTGAATTTTGTGGCCTTAACAATGTTATTATAGTCACACTAATACTGTTACTTAATGCCCTTAATGCCATTTAAAGCCCTTACAACTTTAACTTGAAACATTTTTTGCAAAAAACCTTTGTTTTCGAGATATTTAAAAGGTGCAGAACTCTTGAGACATCCTGTATAATATTTACACGCGTTCGCGTAAGAATGAGCTACGGATCAACATATCATACATATGTCTTTTCATGGAGGTCGGTTAAATTAATCGTGAAACCAAATAAATGATTCGAAGCTGAAGTGATAGTTATATATATCTTTGAGTTCCGCAAGTCGAACTGAGAATATACTTGTGTTTAAGATTGTTAGCTTCCAAACGCTGTGTGAGAGATTGGCATTCGGCAGTCAGTCTCGAGACGAGCGTGGCTTGACTATTCAAGGCGTCTTCTAGGCCCGCCACCGTGGCAGCTGCGAAATTTGCGTTGCCTGATCAACCTATGTTGCGATGTTTAATCTCGACTAATCTCAATCTCCGCCTATGCTAGGCATAGTGTCAGCATGCCGATTTCTCACACACATAGAGAGAGAGAGAGTCCTCTTACATCAAAATGTCATGTCAACACACAATAACACCCTTCACGGACAATATACCTAACATAGGCATATCTAGGGCGATATCTTACCATGCTTAGTCTCCATGTCCATTATCATGGAAGTCAATTCCTTTTCATTTTCCAATCTGGGCGTAATCTCTTTACGATTATCCTCCGGATGCGCAATCTTATTCATATTAATCTAAAAATAAAGAATTTATAATCAATCATTTTTAATTTTTTTGTCATCACTGACTTTTTGTCTAATCTGAAAAAAATATTCACCTCCTTCTCCAAAGATGATATTTGTTCAGCCAGTCTTAGATTTTCTCGTCTGCAATGTACCAGATCGGCGTCCCCTCTTTCCAGACGTTGCTTGTACGAATTTATCTCTGTCTGCAATCTACTCTGCTCTTGTCGAGCTTGTCTTTCGTTTCGTTCGGCTGTCAATTTGGCAGTTAACACTTCCTGTTCCGCCGCGTCTTTCTCGCTCAATGCCTGATTGAGATCACTCTGCAAGGTAGCTGAACAAGATAAAATAATAAAATATTACACATGTAAAAGTGCTCTTCCAACACTTATTTACATAGTGATCTATAAATGAAACTGCGTAAAGCTTACATATCTTATTCTGCAACTCTTTCTTCAGATTATCAATGGTGGTTTGCTTCTGAGATAATTCTCGCTTCAACTCGTTAATCTCTCGTCGCTGTTTCTCGGATTCCAACTGCGACTTATTGGCAGTTTCCCAGTGGGACGCTATATCAGCAGTACATTGCTCAATTTGCTGATTGTATCGACGCTCTATTTGCTGCCTCTCCTCGGTTATACGTCTATTGGCTTCCTGAGCAGCCTCCCGTAGCTTCTCGTGTTGCCTCTCCAACTCGTCCTTCAGCCTCCGAATCTCCATATCGCTCTGAGTCCTTTCGAACTCGAACTGCTGCTTGTCGTCCATGGTTCGCTTCGCTTTCTGCATCGCCTCGGTTTCTTTGTCCCTCGCACTCGACAACAACTTCTGCAACTCCTCCAGCTTCATCTCGGCCTCGTATCTGGCGCGCAGAGCCTTGTCTAATTCGGCCTTCAACTCGACATTGCCCTCGTTCGAGCTCTCGGACATACGTTTCAAGTTCGCCTGATTCTCCTCCTGCACCTTCCGCAATTCTAGCCTAGCCTGCGTTAGCTGCGCCTCCAACTCGCTGATTCTCGACTCGAACATTATGCTGGGACCTTCCAGAAACTTTTCTCGCCTGCCTTCCAAGTTGCCGACGTGATGATCGCTCGCGTCCTGCTTGCGACACTCTTGATCCGTCCCGGTACAGTGATCCTTGTGATTTTGTAGAGCGCACTTGGACAACGAGGTTTGATTCCTGTTGTGCAATGCCTCGTTTTCGGCCACGACCTACGAAAAATCATCGTCATCAATTAAGTTTTGCCACAGTTATTTCTTTAATTTTACTTTAATTGTCATTAAATAGCGATAAGAAGAGAAAAGAGCTATTTACTTCGCGAACTTTGCTCAGCAAATTGATTAATTCGTCTCTGCAATATTGAGATTCTCGTTCCAGCTGCTCGATGTAGTCCTCTTGACGTTCGATGAACGACGTTAATTCTGGAGGAATGGATTGGAGATCGCCTCTTGACAAGGCTATATTGCTATACGTCTTCGACTGAATAGTCTTCGAAAGAGGAGGATAGGTATTTGAAACCGCATTTCTACGGAGATCCTTCCTCGGAAAACTATCGCTGATCATACTTTGATCATCCGTGTCTTCTCCGGACTCGCTAATTCGCGGGTTACTCTTATATATGCTCCGAATACTTTGCGGCTTTCTGTAGAAAAATTATGTTTTTTCTTTATTGTATCTTATATTATTTATATAAAATATAATTACAAATATGTAAAAAAATTGTAGTGTAATTTTTAAAAGTTTTCAAAAATATTATATATATATATATAGAAGTACAAATTTTATTATGACGGATTCTTCAATTTTTTATAAAATTTAATTTAATTTATATTTTTATATATAAAATACATTATATAAAACATTTACATAAATATATACAATATGTCAATTATTACAATCTGATTTTCGAATTTTATTTCATGCAAAACTCTATGTATAAACTTATTATCGTCTTGGTCAAATTTAACCGTTTGGCTTGTTTATTATTTTTTTCAACTCACATTATTCCAGATATTCCTGTCGGCGTGTAAGATTCAGCCAACAGATACTTCAATTTCGAGATAGCTTCCCTATATGCAAACTCCATGTAATCCGCAGGCTTCCTTTTATTTAGATCAATCTTTGAAGCTCCATTTGTCTTTCTATAAAATAATGTTTCTATTCTCAATTGATCAAAAATATAAAAAATTGTTTTCGCATAAAATAAATTTTAAATAAAAATAATTGGCAATCAAAAATTATTAATAAGAATAATAAAAATAATATTTTAATAGATATTTATAATAATTCTTTTTAAATAAAAATAATTATTCTAATCGATCAATTGGTCAAATACAAAAAAAAATTGTATCGCTATAAATTAAATAAATTTTAAATAAAAATAATTTATTAATTGGCAATCAAGAGTTTAAATAATCTTTCATAAGGTTACAATACATAATGTCTAATAACTTTAATGTCCTGATTTTGATCTCGATTTCTTGAAAGTTCAATAAAAAAATCAGCATTGTTTATTATTTAAATTATTCGATCATAGCTTTATAAAAAAAACTTTTTTTCCTGATTTTTTTTTCATTTTGCTCTATTGTATAAATTTTCATTCATAAATGTATTCTTGTTCTTACATATTTAAATTAATAATTTTTAAATTAATTATATATATATATATATACACTTAAATTAATAAAATTATTAATATATTTAAATTAATAAATTTGTTTTCATTTATTTACATATTTAAAACTATTATCATTATCCATAATTTACACAATTTTGCTTTCTTTTCTTTAACTCTCTTCCTATTTAAAAAAAATACACTAAAAATACATAAATGAATAAATTAATTAGTATATAAATAAATAAATAAATTCCAATTTCACCTATTCTTCAATCGCTTCATCCGTGCGGCGCTCGCCGGATCCGCGTAGTTGCTTATGTCGGGTGACGTTTTCAACCTGGTGGTGATCCTCGGGAAGAACCTTGGCCGGCCCAAGTTGCCAAAAGTCGCGATACTTGCCGTACTGCCGAAGGGATGATGATGTTCACGTCGTCCGTAAGCGGTGTTTGCCGCCAGCATTCTGAGCGCGTTCTACCTTGAGGCGGCACTTCCGGCTCCCCGGCTTCAAGAACCGCCTCGCCAATCGATGATACGCCTCCTCCTCGGGTCGGGAGAGGAAAATCGAACGGGCGGGCCTGAACATTGTAATTGAAAAAGCCTGGCGGTGGCTCGCGTGCGATGGTACCGTTCGACCTTCCCTGGGGAAGAGGGGCAAGGTGGATATGTGTAGGAGGTGGTACCACCGTCCTCGTACCACCATCAATAAGTACGTTTCGTGACTTGTATTATTAGCCAGGATCAAGCATACCTTTGGCGATGAAGCATACCTTCGCTAGACCGGGATTGGAGCTATCGCCTCCTGACATTTTTCATGTCTCGTGCCCTGTAGAATTCCTATGGAAACAGAATGATCAAACAGTGCGCAATCACCGCAACCACTTCGACGACGCTGGTGGAAATCGAGTCTTCATTTAGAACTCACATTTAGAATGAGATTTTTAGCTGAAATAAAAGAAAAACATTTAAACATTTAACCAGAGACTTCTGTCTATCAAATTATATATATTGCAATTTTTTTTTTTAATTAAAAATCTTTTTATAAAAAATGTGATTAATATGCAAAACGTATACATTTATTGAAAAAATGCACATATATACATGCAATATATATTATATAATTATAAAATATTCTTATAATTCTATTATAATTAAAAGTTTAAAGATGATTACATTTTACGGTACATCTCATTAATATAAAATAATTTCAATAGCGTGGATGGCTCTCTTTTTGTGCTCTCTGCTAATTTTGAGCTTTATTACTGTAAAAATTGTAATGCTTTCAAGACCTTCAACGACGTATCCGAGAAGTCCCTGTGCTTTCACTATCACCAATAAAATACAATTGTTAATCACCAGACTCTCGTTTTCGCAATTTTTCTTGTAGCCCTCGACACAGATGCTAATGACTTGGGGGGTTTTTCTTGATTAATTGCATCCAGAAGCATCTCTGGTAGAACTTCTAGATACAATTGTAAACCCTTCCACCATCAAGATAGAAATTTATTCGGAGGAAAAAATTGGTAGCAAATTCGAGAAAAAATTGCAGTAGCAAGAATTATGTATTCATTTTCAATAAATACCACATTTCGTAACTTGCTGACCAATTTGCGATTAGACGGTAGAAATTGATTGCAGAATCGATCAAACATAGATTCTGTTCAGTGTTGTCGCGTCCGAATGTATTGCAAGTGTCTCACTTCTCTACTTTGTTGAATTGTGCTATATTTTGGTAAGCATAAAATCTTAATTATTTCATTTTTTTTTATTTTTGAGTTATACAACATACTAATTTGTTTTCATGATAAAATTAAATAACTAATTGCGAACTAAAATACAAAAATACAAGACAAAAAGAAATAAGAAAACGAGAGAGATTCATTCATTTCAAATTGAAGTAATCGATGAAAAATAATAACTGGGATTACTTCAGTGTGCTTTTGTTTTACGAGGAAATATAATATACATAAATAATGAATGCACAGTGCATTTTAAATGCAATATATATTCATAGACAACTGTGTTAGAGTTGAAAGTAATACTGATATTTACACGATGCTTCATATAAAATATAGTATAAATGCATTAAAAATTAAAAATATTTAATTTAAAAAGTTGCATTAATAAATTTCGCATTATAATAAATACGATAAAAAAATATATTACGATAACATCATTAAAATATATAAATTGTATTAATATCAATATAGTAAATCTCTCGAGTAAAAAAAATAATAGTTCTCAATATCTATCACATATAGTGTGCGCATAACAACACACATACATTGCTTATTTTCTTCTTTTTTTTAAATAAATATATCAATATATCTTTGTATCTTACATATTTTGTGCTAAAATATTTGCTCTATATCAGCATACATAATGTATCAGTTTGCGATTATTGGTCCATTGAATTTCCATCGATCCGATTTGGAGTTTCTATAAAACCCTCGTCGTCATCATTATGTAAAGTATCGAAGACTGAAATAATTTTTCACGTTTACTTAGTTAATGAAATTGTAATTGAAACTTGTAATTATCATTTCTCAGGGTATCTACTCAAATTTTGTAAAAAAATTCCTTAATCTTCCCGGTATTTTCGTTTAATATTTCAAGCAAAATAAGAAAATTTGTAGATTCAGCTTTTTAAAAGTTTCTTTGCTTTTATGTTTTCTATTCATACTTTAAAGTTTATATTGAAAAGTTAATTCAGTTTTTTTAGCATTTAATATTGATTTATTAATTGTAAAATTAATTTGAACAATAATAAAATGCGATATATCATGATATCTAAACGCTAAAAATATACGTAAGAATATAAAATAAAAATAGAGAACAAAATAATTTATTATAAACGTCTTACAAAATATTAATTTATTTAAATTAATTATATATTATATTATTATTTATTTGTTTAATTAATTTATTAAATAAATAAAGAGTACTAATTTATTTAAATATTATCCATTAGAAAATTGAACAATTTTTCATGAAAGTTATACAAGATCTTGATACCAAAATAGATTGTCAATAAAAAATCACATAAACTTTTAATAAAAATATTGCAAAGATATGTTAGACATGTTTCTTAAGTGCTAAATAAATTTATCAAAAAGGCAATTTTTTTAATTCCTTATAAGAATACCAGGTTTTCAAGAATTTTTTCTGAGTATACACCCTGTTACTACATGATAATTACGAGAGTATGCGCATTTTTTTAAACGTACCCGTAACACGTTCGAACGGTTTGATATATAGAATCATCAGCATAGCGAAGACCGCGGACACGCCGCAAACATATGTGAGAATATTCTTATAATAATAGCTAGCATAACCGGACGACAAGTGTCTAAAAGACAAGAGCAAAGTGATGCATCTTTCGACTTGCGATTTCTTTGGGTATAATAAAATCGAGAAAAAATATTCTCGAATCTTGTACATATTAAAACATTCTTACTTACTTCACCAAGTACTGAATGAGCATAACTACCAAACCATTACTTAGTTTGTCCGTAAAACTCATCATTCCGTATGCAAAAGCACCACTCTCGGTATTTTTCCCTATCAGATCCGAAGTGATACCGAGACTGGTCACCAGCATTATTGCACCAGCAGAACCTGGAACAGATGACAAGAAATTACAAATTAATAAATTTTGCTAAGTTTCTTAAACTGATGAGATTTAATGTCGTTACTAATATAAATCAAGCTTATGCCTTATTTACCTAACAATACAGCAACAGCATAGATCTGATACTTGATATACGTATCATCATTACCGAATTGTATCCATATGCAACCGCATATCGCGAGCACAGCGCCAATAGAATACGCAATCTTTCGACCCCATTTCGTATTGAGTCTCTCTATGATTAAAGCCGTCAAAAAGCTACTCAGATACATGGTCAATGGTATATAAGCCAAAGAAGTCGCAGGCATATTTAGTGACTCGTGTAAATACAGAGGCATATAAATCTGGCACAAATTAATGAATAGTCGCGTAAGCATATACACAAAAGCTACCTGATACAATCTCACATCTCGCAATAGTACTAGTGCTGTCCTACCGTTTCTATGTAAGAAACTACCTAAAAATTTCAAAAGTTGTTACAAAAACTTCTTAAATATATATTTCTCAAAATTGAAACAATTCAAATAATTGCCAGTTTTCATTACCATTAGAATCGCCATTAGCACCTTCCTTAACAACAACGTGAAATATAATGGACGCTACGAGTCCAACTGCTATTCCAATTAGAACAACTTTTTGAAACTTATGAATGTCATCAGGTCCAATCTGAGAGTTGTATTCGTCGCTTGTTACGTGTAACACGCCCCACATTATACAATAAACGAGAACATTGGAGAAGACGGTAAACGTGAATCTACATACAATTGATAGAAATAAGGATTTTATTTATATATGTATATTTAATGTTTCTTCAACTGATCATTTCTATATATTTCATTTCTTTGCTAATTCTTCTGTGATTACCTTATAGCTATGAGTTCAGTCCTCTCGTGTTCAGCAGGTGTTAGCTCAGGGACTAAGGCCAAGTGTGATATCTGCACCGCAGCCCAACCAAATTGAAAGATTACTACAAAAGCAGCGTAATAAACCAGCTGCGCATACTGGTGCGAGTATTCACAGCCGATGCATTGGGAAAATATAAAAGGGAATCCTAGTAGGACGCAAATGGTGCCTGCAAATTAATCTGGCTATTATGATACTGCAAAACAGAAGCATAAAATGTAATAAGGAGATACAAGTTATACCTATCAAGTGCCAAGTTTTCCTCCTGCCATACCGGCACAGCCAGAAATTGTCATTTCTGTCAGACTGAAAGCCGACAAATGGAGTGACTAGGGCGTCAGCTATCTGTCCAATGAGCAGCACAACACCAGCTAAAGTCGGATCAAATCCGAGAACCAGATGAAAGAACACCAGCAGATACGTGAACCACATGGAAGCACAAATGTCATTCAATACATGACCTGTGCCATAGGCTAATTTCAGATAGACTGGAAGTTTTCGTATTATCTCCGTATAATCGTCTGTCGGGCTGCTTGTACCGGGCTCCATTGTGCGGAATCGTTACTAGGCATAAATAACTCTGGCTTCCCTGTAACAAAAAACATTTTACGTTATTTAGGATAGGAAAGAAGCAACAGTATTATAGATGATTCATATCGGTGATTCTAACGCGATTAGAAACTGTCATACTGTTATTTTCTTTTACTTTCCTTTATTTTATTGCAGTAAACGCGTAGTTTGATCTGCTTCGCTCAATTAAATTTCAATAAAAGTATATTCGCTCGATGTCAAGAGATCAAAGAAACAAGTGGTCCTAACCTTATCAAATTAACCACTCCCCCGTGGCAAACCATGCGTTGTCAGTTGTGTATATCTGTTATCAGCTGACTTCAGTAGCGCATATAGAATTTGTTGCGACAAGAAATAAATAATGGAGAATATTGAAAGAAATTGATATGTATAAATTTTCATTAAATCAGAACAATAGGTTCACTCACATTTGTCGAGTCTGTAGCCGACTTGTTAACATTAATAACAACAGAAAAAAAATGCTAAACAATATACTTATATGATTCAATTTATACGACCTTTTAGAAGTATTATATCGCATTCGCGGATACGAGCCTGTCATGTCGCAGTCACGTGACGACGATGTCATTTACGCACGCGCAGGTGTCTCCTGTCGTGTGACCTCATTCGCGCAAACATGGGAAGTCACGTGATTCTTATCTTGACATTTGCCTTTTTTATCGATAACAGCGATAATATAATCAAAGGTGTATATTTTCAATTATGCTCTTCTTTTAATATAACAGCCTTTTTTTAAATTCGATGAAAAATGAAACATTGTTTATTTTTTTCTTTTTGAAGAATAAAAAATGAGAAAAACAATGTAAAATATAGAATAAAAGCAAACCTCAGGCGAATTTCAAGATATTTTCAGATACTGCAAATGTTTCCAATGATGTTTTTTTTGTTTTCAAGGAGAGAACCAAATTTTAAGGAAACATTTGCAAAGTTTTTTCAAGAGAACATTTTTGTTATTCAGCGAACAATTTATTAAATATATATTAATAATGTATGTAATATAAGTAGAATTAAAATTTAACTATTTAAATATATATTACTTCTACACTCTTCTGAAAAAAAGCTATTAATTTCAATAGTGCCATTAACACCATTTGTTTGAAACAAATGAACATTTATCTGTTTTAAAGAATTTCTTATATCAAATAAGTAGTTGACAAATCAATATTAATAGTTTTAAACAAATGGTGTTAATGGCATTATTAAAATAAATATTTATTTGAAATCAATAGCTTTTCTTCAGTGATAAATAAAACAAATAATGAAACTCCTACGAATTGTATAATTTGTGTCTACTTCATACTTCGATTATATTTTGATATACAATATTGTATACTGAATATTGTATACTGAAATATTGTATACCTGGAAAAATATCACTAATATACATACGCGATGAATGTACTCCTTATACTTGTAGAAACAGCTCGAGATCCGAGTCTGTTTTGGTCCACAAGTAAATATTGCATTTGAATTCAATTATTCAACTCATTTGCATAGCTGAACAATGTAACGACAATTAACGTGTAGCTATATAATTAAAATTAATGTACTTGATGTACTTATTTCTCAGCTGTACAGAATTACAAATTGGACGCCCTGCAGCATCCACAAACATCCATCGATATATTCTATAACTTATACACTAAGCGATGATCTGGAATTGAGGTAGAACTGATGGCCCGAGAAGAGAAAGGTAAGAACGTAGATGCATGCTGCGATCCAGCAGTTGTACGCATTTTGCGTGTAACCGCGATCCACTTCATCATAAAAATTCTGCAGCGAGGTAAACTTCTTCTCTCCCAGAGGGAGGTCTTCCACCAATGCTACGCTTCGGACATAGAAGAATACTCCCATAAGAAGCTAAGGAAGAGAAAGAATTAAATTAATTTGATTATTTGAGATATCTCTGGTGTTAAAAAAGAAAGTAATTATAATTTCTTTTTCTCTATCTTTCTCTCTTTATCTTACCAGTTGAAATATGCCCCAAACGGACAGTACTAGACCGCACAAGGCGTACTTGGGTCCGCAGATCTTCATCCTGACCGATAAGCTCGTCCGTGCAAAAGAATTGGATTAAGTCTAATCGCGACGCATCCGCTTCTCTCTCGAAGATTCGCCGAATTCACGTTCCCTTTGACGCCTGTCAAACAATCTCAGCCGACCGTCCGTAATGATCCGTCACAGCAACGGGAGGGTTTGTAATCATGTGACGTTCGAGCGATAACGATACCGATACATCGCACTTTACTTCGAGCGGTATCGATAGATCGTTTCTTTTAAACCATAAACATAAAAATAGATAGATTCGCGTACTTGCGAGTAAGGCTTAGGGTTTACTTACTACACCTATTGTAGACCCGGTCTGATGAACATGATTCATGCTTCCTGCTGTTGCCAGCCCTGATTCAGAGGATCATGGTCGACCGATTGGGTTAGTTCGTGCTCCGCTTATTAGCATTTAATTATTATCGCGTATTTTGCAAGAAATCCAGGCCGCCGTGGCCTGCGAAAGGATCCCCGAAGAATTCCGCGTTTCTTGATGACAATCCCCTCTTCATTTTCTTCCTGCATCCTTTCCTGTAACCTTTACACGATTCGGGGATAACGGTTCCACAGCTATCATCAAGTGGGCTGTGTGTTTTTGACAGCTTCGACAAGCGTTGACGTTTAGCTCGCTCTCTCTCTCTCTTTCTCTCGCGTTACTTTTCTTGTGTTCCTGAAAAAGAGATACATGTATGCATATTTCGTTAAAAAAAAAAAAAATTAAGGATGCTAAAAAACGGAGTTGATGCTTCGCTAGAATAATTCTTATATATATATATATATATATATATATATATATATATATGGGTGTGTTCGACATTTGTGTTCACCTCCCCGCTTTTTGACTTGACATGTTCCAGTAAACAGCGAGGCCAATGCCAGGCGTATCGCGATGGTCGAAAACTGCTTTGGCAGTTCGGGTCAGGTGAGAAAAGCTCGAGAAGCATGAATCTAAATCTGATACCTAGTTGTTTGAATGAATCGTGATTGGCCAGAGGGACGTCGAGGTATAATTCACTTATGAATATTTCTCTTTTGACAGCCGCTCGCGGTACCTGGCCGAGTTTTGGTGGGAGAAGGTGTCCTGACAAAGATGTGCAGGAAGAAGCCCAAGCCCAGGCAATTCTTTCTCTTCAATGACATATTGGTCTATGGAAATATTGTGATTAATAAAAAAAGGTGTGTACGATAGAATGCAAGAAGTAAGCTATGTATACGTAACAATCTTTGCAAAATGACAATAACATTAATGGTAATAACAATTTGTTCACAGTACAATAAGCAACATATAATACCACTGGAGGAGGTAAAATTAGAGTCTCTAGCTGATGAGGGTCGTAAGTATAATTGTCATTTTGCTTGATGTAATAGCTGTTTTTATAGTAACATTTCTGTTTTTGCTCTGTTATATACTTTAAACATGTGTTTCTAATATGTCTTGATAGCATGTGCAAAAATATATATATTTGTGTGCATCTATTGATATAATTTAACAATATATACAAGTCTTTTCCAATCAAAACATGAGAAAAGTGACTTCAAGTTTGGTTCAATTTTATACTTGCTCTATTAATACACATACATAAATTATTGAAAATAATAACTTGTTCATTAAAATGTGTAACACTGTTCTTTTATGTGTGGATAAACTTTTGCTTGAAATGTTTTCCAATACTAAAATGTTTTCTCTTAAGTGGATAATTTCATAATAAAGTAAAACTATGTAAAGCTTTTATATGGTCTCAAAAGTAAGAGTTCAAGAATTTAATTTAAAAAATGTGAACTATACTAACATGACTGGAAATAGTAATAATCTTATGAAGTTCATCAAACTATACATAAATATCTCATACAGATATGATACATTGATCCCCAAATTCTCAAAATCATTTTTCTCAAGAAAGTAGTCTTACACATAAAAAAATTTATTTAAATTTATTTTTAATGAGGAATCCTGTATCCATTTATGTATATTATATTTTTATCTTTATAATAAATTTCTATTTGTTACAAAGAGTATATTTTATACATAGAAAATTATCATCTAATTATATTCTTATCATAGATATATTTGTTTTCTGATTTCCCCTTTGCACTCTTATCATTATAAATAGAACTCTTCAATTATTGTATACACAGTGTATGGATCAATAATCAAATACGGTCATACTTAGAACATGTTAGTATAGTATTGGATCATTATTTATAGAATATCGTAATGGGTGGCTCATTAAAACAGTAACAAAGTCGTTTGCTGTTTATGCTGCTACCGCAACAGAGAAGCAAGAATGGATGGCACATATCACAAAATGTATTGAAGATTTATTAAGAAAGAGTAAGTAAAAGTTAGTCACAAATATTTTTGTAATATAAATTTTGTAATTCATAAAAATAGATATTGCAATTGATTCTTTTTATACTTTTTAATCCTTCTTCTTATATATTTACAGGTGGCAAAAAGCCTGTCGAAATTCATGCAGCGGTCTGGGTACCAGATAATGAAGCTACAATTTGCATGCACTGCAATAAGACACAGTTCACAGTATTAAACAGACGGGTAATTATGAAACTCTTTTATTAATTTAATCAATTTAAATGATCGAAAGTCTACTGAAATTAATTGTGCTCTCCATTTCAGCATCACTGTAGGCAATGTGGAGCAGTAGTTTGCGGTCCCTGCAGTAATAAAAAATTATTGTTACCTGGACAAGGAAACGGGAAGGCCGTCAGAGTGTGTTTACAATGTTACGATGCCGCTAGTAAAATCAAAGCTATACCCACAACTGCTGTGAATAGCTTAAATAACAAAGATCAGCAACGTAATTCCGCCGATAGCTCAGGAGGGGACAGCTCTGGAGACGACGATGAAGGAAATAAAGAAGAGAATCATGATGAGGTAATTGAGATAATTAGGTTCCCTCTTATTTTTGATAAAAACCCTTTGCACACAATATGTGCATCACTTATCTGAAACTAAAAATGATTAAAATACATTTAATTATTTTTTTCGTCTGTTTTATAATTAACTTTTTATATTATTATACTGTGCATACAATCTATTATAAGTATCTATTATAAGTGTTGATTTTATTATAAAACATACATAAAATCAACACTTATATAATAGAAAGAGTATATATAGAATCTTCTGAAATAATTCATATATATTTTATATCACAAAATAATTATATAATAACAGTCCTTTTTCTTTTGCAGCCTAAATTCTATTCGACACTCGGCCGATGAAGATGATTGCACACAGCAAACAATATCACAGAATATAAAAATTTTACAGATATTTTTAAAAAAAGCCAATGATATTAAACTATTATACAGTTAAAAAAAAAGAAAAGAATCAAGAAAAAAGATAATTATTTCTTATAATTTTTATAGTGCACAACAATTTTATAAATGCTCTATTGCATCACAATTTTAATTAATTTAAGATTAAAATTGTAAAAAAAAAGATTATTTTTTAGTTGCTTTAACATTAATAGATCTGTATTTAGTAAATCAAGAACTTAAGTTTAAATAAATAATTGAAAAATGTTTGGTAGAGTGTTTACAATCCTTAATAGCTTAATGTATAACTTTCCTATAACAGATTTGATATTTAATTACAAAAATCTTACTAACTTTAATCTTTGTAACAAATTTCTTTTGAAAATAAAAACTTTTCTAACACATTATGTAATAATAGTAGCATGATAAAGTATATAAAAAAAGTTTTTCTTTTCAAGACTTGAATCTCAAATCTTGAATAATAGTACTTAATAGAGCATTTTAAAAATTGTGATCAGCTTAAAAACTAAAGGAATAATTACTCTCTTGGATTTAAAAATTAGTTTTTGTCAAACCATGTTATCTTGAGATCGAAAAGTTAATGAAATATTCTTATAAATATTTCTAAACAAAATGTTTATAACCACTGATATTTATGTACAAATATGAAATGGATTTATGCTAAAATTATCAAAACATATCATTATATATATCTGATTCATATTATGAATCTTCGCCGTTTTTATTAATAGAAGATATTGCGCGATTCATATTAATGAAGAATAAGAAATACTATATTAAAAATTATATATATATATATATATATATATATATATATATATATAAAATTACAAAAACCCAAAAAAGAAAAAATATCAATAAAGCATCAAAAATGCGCTGTTAGAATCAGCAAAAGTTTGTAATTGATCAATATTATTACATTGGTCAAATTCAATTGTAATTAGATAAATTTTTTTCATCGTTATGCGTAATATTAAGAATACATGCCACATTGTGCCTTTTACATTATTGATCAATGTCGGATATAAGTAGATGACGTAACACCTACTGCACAACATGCAGAATGCATTTTTGAAATGCAATGTCTAATTTTTATTGTATAGATTTTTACTTATCATTGCAAATACATTATAACTAAATACAGTGCATATACATAGCAATCTAAACATAACAATTGTGAATAAAATGTTATATTATTACAAGTTTAAAAGTGTTATTTGATATAATATTAAACTAAATAATTATTTCATATATTTTTTCATGGCACTAATGACAAAAAGAAATTTTATACATATATAGTTTATAGTTTATCTCATATATCAAGGAATCTCGATACATTTAATTAGCATATGTATGAGCAATAGACAAAATTGAAAAATTTTTAGTTTATGAATAAAAATGTTTAGATTACATTAATCTAGGAAATATGAGATAATTGAAAGAATCAACGAACGTATATCATGCACAAATTTTTTTTTTAATTTTATACAGCAAAATTACTTTGTAACAATAATTTTAGTCTATAACAAATATAATTTTGCTTTGTGACTATTATATATCTATAACAATATATAAATACAAACATACAACGTATGTTATAAAAAATATATAATAAGCTCTATTACGCGAAATAGAATATATTAGTATTAACTATATGTGTCTGCTGTATGTTCCTATTTAACGTTCCTAGTCCCTCTTTGCAGTTATATTGAATTACAAAGAATCATATAAAAATTCTTCCCTGCATTATATATTAAGATAAATTGATTTTTTAGTACCATGCACACTTGATAATATATTTTTTGAAGGCTTTTTATTATCCTGCATTAGTAAATGCATATGTATAATTTAATCTACATATATTTTACATTTCCAGAAAAAATAGATCTTTAAATCAAAAGGGAGTCTCTTCTTTGATATATTATATCACTTGTGCAAATGCAAATGGTGATATATAAAAAAATTATTTTAAATTACATTTTTTTGCTTTAATAATTAAAAGAATTTATTATAGAGATCTTATAATTCAATATGCAGTAAAAAATAGGAATCTTAAGGAGAAACGATATATGCAGTGTCTATCAAAATAAATTCTAATTTTTTTCTTATTTAAGATTTTTATAGATTTAAAAAAACAATATTAATGGCACATTATATTGTCACTTATCGACTATACTTTATTTAAAAATGACACAACAGGTTTGTATATATTAAGAAAGTATATACATATAAAATTAAATATTTTGATTAAAAATTAAAATTGAAATTTTAACAGCCTATTCTAGCATGATATCTCTACCATCTACTGCACAAACCAGTTCTTCTGTTATTGAAAATACAATAGGAGAAATGAAAAGTACATCAAATCTTAATTTGGATATTATATCAAGGAGTTATCTCAGTCTGAGCAAACAGTCTACAATTTAAAAGATACGATCTAAAAGAGTATTATACTCTTTTAAATTTTAGTAGACTGTTCGCTCAGATTGAGATAACACCTTGCTATAATATCCAAATTAAAATTTGATATACTTTGCATCTTCTATTGTATTTTCAATAATAAAAGAACTGGCTTGTACCGTAGATGGTAGAGATATGCTAGAATAGGCTGCTAAAATGTTAATAATTTTAATTTTTAATCAAATTTAATTTTATATGTATATACTTTTTTAATACATACAAATCTTTTGTATTTTATCCATACATGTAGAAAATAATCGAGAATATTTTCCTGTTGCTTTCTTAAATAATTTACTTTAGGAGTTAGAAAACGTAATAATTGAAAAAGAGTATACTTTTTCAACTATTATATTCTATCAATAATTTTTTATTTGTGAAAATCTCCAACTTTGATTTATTGCAAAAAATTTATAAATAGAAAACTTCAATTTATATAAATGCAGAACTATTAATATATTTTTATCTAATTACCTTTGTTTTTTTTTTCATTATTCAACTTCTTTATACTCATTTTGAAACTTTGTCATAGTAGAATTATTGGTTTCCAACAACTTCTTATAACGTTCCACCAAGTCACTGATAGAACGTCGTCCTCTTGAACTATGTTCATGCTTCTCAGGCTTTATTTCGTTCTCATCATTCACAAACTGTACTTCTGTAATATCATCCAGTTTGACTTTATTTATTTTGAACTCGTGATCGAATTTGTCTCTCGTTTGTTCTTGAGACATATTTCTCGAAATGTTTCGTTTTATCGGAGTAAACTGTGCAGATCCAGATATACAAGGAATTGTAGATGCTTCGCTCAGATTGAGATAACTTCTTGTTATAATATCCGAATCAAGATTTGATGTATTTTGCATTTCTCCTATTGTACTTTCAATAGAAGAATTGACTTCTGCAGTAGATGGTAGAGATATCATGGTAGAATTGGCTGTTAAAATGTTAATAATTTTAATTTTTAATCAAAATATTTAATTTTATATGTATATATTTTTTTAATATATACAAACCTTTTGTATTTCTATCCATACAAGTAGAAAATAATCGAGAATATTTTCCTGTTGCTTTCTTGGATAATTTTTTCACTTTAGGCGTTAGAAAACGTAAATTCAAGTTTTTTTTAACATTATTGTCTAATGACATTAGGCGATCGCGATCAATACGTGATACAAATAAATTTGTTCGCAAATCTGGCGTATGAATGCATTTCTGCCGCACATATCTCGAGAATAATGATTTATGCGCAACTACAAAGAATAAATAAACTGTATTAAATACCGATAATTTGTTTACGTAATTGCAAAGCATAATTTTTTTACACCATAAACTTACTTTCACCTGGGGTAAGTTGCAATAATCTCTGCAAGTCATTCGTTTCATCTGCATAGTTAGTGTTAATTTTGACAAGAGGTGACGGCATGAAAAGTACATTATTTATAAAGGGTAACATATTCCTGGATGTGTACTCCATATTTGTTTGACAAAAAACATTTTGTGTCTCTTCTATAGAACTTTTCATATTTGTCAAGATAACTTCGAATATATTATACATGGACTTCATATCTTCTACACTCCCTTCCACTTGCAATTGACACTGAGTTAAGTCTGCTAACTCATTTTTCCTAAGGCACTGATACACTTGACAGAGTATCAAAGTGTGTAGATTAATAAAATTGTTGTATACCAATTGATTATCATTATATAAATGATAAAGAAAATGCTGAAAAAAATAAAATGTGATACATTAGTGTAAATATTAATTTTTTTTTATTAATTGATATATAGAATTATAGAGAAGAAATTATTTTTTAATTATTCTTACTTGAATATCAGGTGGAAATGGCAGTTCTGATATAAGAAAACAATTGATTTTTCCAATTGTTTTCCATCTAGTACTTTTGCATCGCTTGTTAGATTCGTTATTATGCCACTTATATTCTTACATATTATTTCTATATTTTTTAAAACTCTATTCTTTTTTCGTATGTAACATATGTTTTCATCTAAACTACTTTTCCACACTAAACAGAAAAAAATCAATGTATATTTATTATCATTATTATCAGTTTTGCATATGCAATAAAATAAATTGATCCTCAACACACAAAGTATATGCTAAAAACAAAATATGTTTCTTACTTTGTATAATCTCCAAATCTTCAACAATTTTTAAACGTTGTTTTATGGAGGCAGCAACAGGTGCTATAGTTATGGAGTTCATCACAGACTGTTTCATGTCAAAAAGTTGTGTCTTAATTTTAGTCAGTTGTTCCTGTTCTTCTCTAAAATAAAAGTAAGAAAAAATAAATAACTTTGAAATATTTATAACAGACTAACTTAGTACAAAATATATACAATATATTAGAAATAAAAATTATTACTCTGATGCTAAATTCACTGCCTTTTCCATTTGCATACAACTTCTATGATAATTCAATGTATTATAAACGACACTCGCTTTGGACTGTTGTAGGAAAGTTCTAATTAAATCACTTGTAGGACCTCGTTTTGGTGTGGATATTACTCTATATTCACCTAAAATAATAAGTGATAATTTAATCATCAAGATTAATATGCAATTTTATATATATATATATATATATATATATATATGGAAGATTGACAAAAATAAAATAATTTTTTTCTATTATGAAAATACCTACCATTACGTATAAGATATCTCTTGAGTCCAAGTTGTGATAATTTCCACATTATAAGCATAAACTTTGTACCACTTGCATGATGCAGGTATGTAGCGACAATATGCGGAAATCCTACATCAGAATTCTCACTAGCAATTACATTTAGATAATCCTTGACATCATTACGATACTTTGCTTCCGTCTTCTTACACAATACTGGCCATTCAACTTGCTTTTTGAAACGCTCAGCATCATATACCATTAATAAATAATGAGAAACTTGTACAAATCCCGCAACATTTGGTTTATCAAACATTCCCTGTAACATGTAATTATTATTTGTCACTGGTAAAGGCCTATAAAACAATTTAATACAAATAAATATATATTTATATGTATGTACACATATATTATGAGTGAATCTTTCCATAAAATATAGAATGAAATATATAAATATAGATATATATAATAAATATATAAAGAAAAGTTCTTACCTCGCGAAAAACTTTCTTGAAATCATCACTCGGTGGAACTAATTGAGTTAATAAAGACACATTTTTGTAAAAGGACGCGCTAACAGCCATCTTTCTGCGATGCTACAATTGTACGTGTGAGAAATAAATTGTATAAATCATCCAACTAATATGAAGATAAAACTTTCTCACTTATGACGAAAATGTGAATCGTTCGCTTTCCATAAAAAATAACTAAGCACGTAAATGCGTTACAGAACCACCTTCTTCTATGTTTTTGCTTGGCCTGTGTTGACGTTACTATAGATCTTGTCTTGCCGGCTACCGTCTAATATATGTAAACACTTGACTTACAATCATACAACTCGCTGTTTTGTTTAAATTTAGAAATTCAAGAACAGAGAAACAAGCAAAGCAGAAATAAAACCTGTCAAAAAATAAACTAAAGAAAATAAAAACACAAAAATACACGTATTAGCAGTTGCTCCTTTATCGTGTCATATTGCCTCGCTTATTGCTTATTGGTTGGCTGCTCGCTACTTGATGCGGCCTATCTGCATTGACCAATCACAGTCGATTATTTCAAAAATAATCAATTGTAATTGGTCAATTTCTTATGACTCCATTGTAGATAGTCCTTTACGCTACTCCGCTGCATGAGTTTTCATCTTCAGAGAGAATTCATAATTCATGTTGTACAGTTTGAATTTTAAGCGGAGAGCACACACTCTATGTTGATTGGAGTTAAAAAACTAAAAATTAATTAAACGACTTAGACTTAGATGATAATAATAATGAAACATTTATTAAAAAAAGATTTAATAACTATAATAGGTCAGGTTAATTTTTTATTTATTTATTTATTTATAACATCATAAAATTCTGTCCTTTTCGAAATACGCGAACGCTACGAAAAGATAAAATCTCGTACATGCCGCCGGACGAGTTCATGAGCATGAGACGCTCTTTTCTTATCGTTAGGAACGTATTAATAGTTACTGCATTGACCACTACTACGATATGGCGCTGAAATCAGTGAGAAATGCCGGTCTCTCCTTCATCCAGACTTTTGGCGATCTATCTATTAATCTGTGCTAATGCTGAAATCCGAATTTTCTCACTCGACGTACCATCTAGGGTTGCGTTCGGGAATCACATTGGATACGTCGGAGTGTCATTCTATCACGTCACGAAGATAAAATTATTTATATATTAATTATATTAAATAATAATATTAATTAATTAATATATATATATATTTATTAATATATTATATTAATTTATTAATTAATTATATTAAATAAATTATATTTATTTAATTATTTATTTATTATTTAATTATTATTCATCTGTGATTTAGACAGATGGGCTCTGATTGGTTGCCTCTGGAAAATCCCTATCCAACAGCCAATCGGATGCTCGCACTTCCTAGAATTTTCTGCACTCAAGATCAAAATGTTGCACTTTATTTACTATGCTCGAGATAAATAAATAAATAATAATATAAAAAATAATATAATAATAATAACAACAATAAAAATCTATAATAAAATATAAAGAGCGAAGTGTAGAAGAATCCGAGTGTAGAAAGGAGGCTAGAAAGTGCAGAAAGTGCACTTGGGGACGACTCGACGAATGTCGGATGCTGCTGGGCTCCGGCGACCATTTTTCGCGATATTTCCTCCGTCTCTCGCTTCCCGAAGACGTTTCGCGTGTCGCGAGTGGAAGCCTCGGTGCGGAGTTTCGCGACGACGGGAATCCTTAGGGGAATCGATCTCGTCGCTCGACGAAAGAGCCGGAAACGTGCGCGACACTCTCTCCCAACATGTCGTCGGCGATGTCCAGGATCTCGCACCGCTGCGCGTGGAACTCGACGGAGCGGCGATAATAATTTCATTCGTCTTGGAAGAGGAGCTCCGGACAAAATATTTCCCGATATAGAAACCAATTTTCCTCGATATATATCCATAATTAATCAACCACTTAACTGCGTCGTGAGAGCATCTGTCCGCGTGCATCATGGCTCTTTACTATGCGGGAGCTTAATCGAGGTGCCACTCTCTGTCTCTTTCTCTCTCTGGCTCTCTCTCCTTCTCTCGGTGTCCCCCGGCGATATATTAATTGATAATTGACGAAGGAAGAAGTTATCGTTTCGTTCTCTCGGACTAATCGGGACTACAGGATATATAACGTAATACACGATGGCTGCAACCTTCGATCAGTACGACAAGTCGAGGTAAGGGAGAGTATTCTCGGTGTTTTGATTCAGCCTCCGCAAAATCAGTGTCATGCTCGTAATGTCATGTGTATACGCTGTCGTGAAATGCCTGTTTAAAATTGCGCCTCTGTAATTTGCGTCGTGCCGACAAACGCGCTTCTTCACGCCTCTGAAGTTTCACGATATAATTGTTATCTCGTTGAGATGCGTATTTTTGTTTGTTCTTTTGAGCACCGGATAAATCATCCTTAGTCCGTGCGAGATGAATTGTAATTGTTTGCTTTGAAGTATCGGTTTTTTTTACATGCCTTTTCTTCAAATGTTATCAAGTTGACCTCGTAAATGTTTCTGTTTCTCTTGTATCATTTTCGCAAGCAATTAATTAGATTTTGTTAATCTCCTTTATTCTTGTTATGGAAAAGAAAGAAATCATTTCTTACGTTTATTAGCAAATAAATTTCCTATGTATTATTTTTTAAATTTATCCTTTATTCTAATATATATTTCTATAATTATGATCCCATTTTTATTCATGATAGATGGTTGCATGATTTTATTACACTAAAGATTTCTTTTTTTATTTGAATAAATAACTAAATTAATATAGAATTGGTTAAAACTTTGTTAACTTAGACTAACATTTGTAGGAACATGTGACAAGTTTGTTATACATTTTTTCACTTATTTTAAGAACAATTTTCCCCCTTTAGGTTTAACTGAAATATATGCAACTAGTTATGATAGATTTAATTTATATATATCATATTTATGTGATCTGATTCTCTTTTAGCTGGTACTTTGGTGCTATGTCACGGCAGGATGCTTCCGATCTATTAATGGGTGAAAAGGAAGGTGGAGTATTCTTAGTACGAGATAGCACTTCCATACATGGCGATTTTGTATTATGCGTAAGAGAGGACAGTAAAGTTAGCCATTATATCATCAATAAAATCCAACAAGGAGATCAAATTCGATATCGGATTGGAGATCAGGTGTTTCCAGATATTCCTAATCTTCTAGCTTTTTACAAACTGCACTATTTGGATACTACACCATTAATTAGGCCTGCTCCGAAGAAAATACAGAGGGTAATTGCCAAATATGACTTTGATGGCAATGATTCTGATGATTTACCCTTCAGAAAAGGTATAGTTGTTTTTCTTTTTATATTATACATAATTTATCCCAATTTGATAAAATTAACGAAATGATTGTAATAACAGGTGATATACTCACTGTAATATCCAAGGACGAAGAACAGTGGTGGACAGCTAGGAATAGCATTGGCCAAACTGGTTCAATACCGGTTCCATATGTTCAGAAATACGACGAGGACGGTCCCATGATAATAGAAAATAATTCACGACCTGAGAGTGGGGGCAGTTCCGGCTCGAACTCAAACTCAAACTCAGGACCTACAACACAGGTACCTCATGCCGAAATTACGGGACAAGGGACTGTAACGCGAAGATCGAACATACAGAGAACGTTACCGGCTTTCGCAAAAGTGAAACAGGCGAGGGTGCCGAACGCGTATGACAAGACTGCGTTAAAATTGGAAGTAGGTGACATGATAAAAGTGACAAAGACTAATATCAATGGACAGTGGGAGGGCGAGTTACACGGCAAGGTCGGACACTTCCCATTTACGCATGTAGAATTTGTGGATAACGAGACTGGTGAGGACAATCAGGAGATTTAACAGAAAATCTCCGAGTGTGATGCATCACATGTGTGACAATGGGAAGAAAGAGAGACTCCTATATTATCAAAATTTAGGTTACTACTAATAACATCTATTATATGTACCATTGCATAGATGTGCTTATATAAACTCCAAGATAGTAAACGTATGTCATGTCAAATGATGTCATAGATGTCATTTTGGCATTTAATGACATCAGTTTGCTACTTGGACTTAAGTCTGAATTGAATTACATTTACATTCGAATGTGCCGCGTGTTAAGTGCTACATAAGAAGAAACCCCAGATTTTTGTGCAATACGTCGAAACATAAGAAATGTTCAAAGATTTATGTTAATATCTCTACAGTGTGTTAATACTTTAGTCACATGTACATCCGTAATTTCTTTTGTAACATTGCTAATTGTCCAAAGCACAAGCATAATTTTATAAAATTATTAGATATAGATATGTAAAATACAACTTTGTCTCTATATATTAGATAATAAGGTCCTATTATTTCATTAAAAAGGAATTGAAACGTTTCAATGAAATAATAAATGAAACAATTTTTGTAAAAGATATATTTATAAGATGTATCCTAATAATTTTTTTACATAGGATATGTCCTAATGGTTCTAATTTATATGCAGCTAATCATGCTATACATTTTATATTTTTTTCTCTTCCATAGATGTTAATATAGATGCACTAGTTTAAAACATTCACGTAAATGTAAGATTTTATTGTTTATCCTAGGAATTAGTGTTTCAAAATGAATGATTCAGCACAAGGTTCTTTACTCAACGAATACCCATCACAGATTTGTTGATTTTAAAATATTATATTGATTATAACATATATATGTTATATTACTTTTATTGATGAATCTTACAATAAATCATATTTATAAAGTATGCTTCTCTTTAAAAAAAATATTACTACAATAATATTCCTACAAAGTTGGAATGATATATTCTATATTGAATATATGGTCATATTTTCTAGTCATGCAGTGACTATGATAAAAATATACTATGTATATATTACTGCTAACATTTTCATCTGAAATAATGAAATATAAGCGAGAAATATATACGGCTGTTCTACAGGATAGAATCTATCTTTGTCATGGTACATATAATATCTGTTAGCCATATAGAGGTTGTGTCACACAATTGAAGCAACTCACATTGTGCTAGAAATTTGTATTTATATATAATAATATGTGTGCAAAAGTTAATTGTATTTAAAAAATTATATATATATATATAAATTTATATATACTATACATAAATTTTTTACATATATATATATGTATGTATGTATATATGTGTATATATATATATATATAAATTTTATATATACAATAAATTTATGTAATATATATATAATAAAAATTTATGTATTATATATACATACATTTTTACATATATATAATATATATAAATTTTATATGTATAATAAATTTATGTATATATATATATATTATATACACACATATACATGTACCTATACCACGGTCTTGTATACAAGACCGTGACCTATACACATTTTATTTTAATTATGTGCATTTGACATTTCCATCATTACATTAGTATCGAATTGTGTAAGTTTTCCATAATCTTCCTAAAATTGCACAGTATTAAGATAGATAAACTGTGGAGTATTCCATATCAATAAATCTATATCTAAGCAACATTTTCTTCCGCTTATATATTTAAGAAAAAGATAAAATATAAAATAGTCCAATTTGTATTTTTTACATCCATTTTCATATTTAATATGCAAACAAGGCAAGCTGGATAATGTATATGGGGCAGTTTTTGGCAGCATTAGCAGAATTGGACTGCATTTGTATAAAATAAGATAGTGTGTGGAATGTGCCATTATATATATTTTATCATTAATTATCCATTAATTCCAATGATAAAATGGTGCTTAAATTGTCATCATCATATAAAGTTGAGTTTAAGACATATATAGTTGATATCAACACAAATATTTAAATAATTTCAATAATTCCCACATATATATAATAGTAATTTGATCATTATGAATACTGATTTTAAAAATTCTACTGTAAATTTAATAATCAAACGTAGCAATTATAATGAAATCAAGATTATATTATATAAATTGCTTCCATCATTTCAACATGTGTTAATCTTCTATTAAAATAACTTTATTTATAACTATAACATGTATGTGTGAGATAGATTTAAATACAACAAGGTAAAAATATATAATGTATATTTTTCTAAGCATATGCACATATTTGGTTTTTCTGATAGTAAACCAATTTTATAGATATACAATATGATAGAATTAATAATCATTTAGATAAATATATATTTGTGTTGTAATTTATAATAGTTGTAATAATGTAACATTCAATTATAGCATTTAATAATAAATGATAATATATGTAGCTATTGTGCTGTTTTTAATTTATTAATTTTTTTTGTTATATTAGGTGCGTTTTATGCGATGTTATTTTCTTGCTTCAAAGTTCAAGTTTCTTCGTCCTGTCTATCAAATGCTTCAAAATGAAAATAACGTTATATGGAGTGCATTATATATTTTTTACGCACAATTATGTATTGAGTTTTTAATTTAAAAATTAATGACTTGAAAAATGTATGTTAAATTAATTTGCAAATAGAGAACAAAATTTACATTAATTTGTTTTACCTTAGTCTGCATTTATTTCATACTATACACCTTTAAAAGCACAAAAACGGAATTTAATTTTTAAAAACCAGGCACGCTATCGCGCCAATTGTGTAATTAATGCTGCACACATTTCGAAAAATTCCATTGTGTGATGACCTGTCGCTTGCGGAGGTGGCAATGTTGGATCTATAAAAGAATGTGCATGTAATTTTTTATACATATAAATTATACTTGTATCATCTCGATAATTTTGTTTTAAATTACTTACCTCGTCCAATGTCATCCTCTTCGGTCGACAAGGACTTGAAGTCTAATAAATAACTCTTGTAATCAACTTGATATAACTGTAATGACATTTTGCTGTATCTGTCAGTCAAATTGTTTTTATGTCGTACTCTAACACTGTAAGCATTTATTATCTTCCATTCCTGAAAAGACAACATTCATTATAATGTCATGCATAAGCAAATAATTTTTGTAATATATATATATATATATATATATAAAATCCAGTACAATGAATCTTACAAAGTTAAGTGCTTTCATAGCACGATAAACTTCATTCATAATGTCGTTTGGCTTTGACTGCGATCTGATACCTAAATGCCATTTTGCTCTTTTCACTGGTGTACCGCGATTGCCTTGCATTTGTGCGGATGTACTACCTTGTGAACCTTGACGTTCACGATATGCTACAATAAAAATAATTATTATATAATTATTTTCGAAGAGATTGGCTAAGATACACCTTTTATTTTTAGATTTAGTTTTGTGGATTAAGATCAAAAGTAATAATAAAATATAATTGTCCAAGACACAATACTTAATATTTACTAATATGATAGTGCATTTGCATCTCACAATTCTTTTCTCACAGTAACACGGTTTAAATATTTATAAAACAAAATTTATTATAAACTTCTCAGGAAATACACCCTGTTTATTCATATATTTCAAATACTTACGTGCAATTCTTTCAGGATGAGGCCTCAAGGGGCTGCTGCTGGCGTCGTTTGGACTAAACGCTACCGGTGGTGGGCTAGATGCCACATAAAAGTCTTTTAATTCAGCCTTAGCCGCTTCATCTGCGATTCTTTTATTGTCGATTATTAAATGATAAGCGATCGCCAACTGATCATGCGGATCACCGCCCAATAACGCGGAGTGTACTTCCGGTTCTTTGACGTTAAATTTCTCGCACACTTCATTCACGGCATCTATGTCGATGACGGATGAATCTTGTTCGACGGGTGACGGAAACAAGTACGATGGTAAATCCTTCTGGAACCACTCATGTTTTCTAAAATTGAATATAAATGTTAGATATATTATAATAGTATTTTCTATTTTAATTATATATAAAATATATATATATATATATATATATATATATATTATATATATAATAATTTTATATAAAATATACTCTTGCATTTATTTAACATACTTAATGTCTTCAATAGTTGCTCTCTTCATCGGGTCGACTTGCAACATGTGACACAAGAGGCTAACAACAGTCTTGTTCAAATATTCCGGAATGGGAAAAACACCAGCTAAAATTAAAGGCGAGTTATATAGTTGTTGCGATATTTAATATGTATTCAGATATTTAAGATGCATACAGAAAATGATTATTGATATTCGCACATTTTCTTTCAGAGCAAAAACTTACATTTAATCTTACGGAAGAGGGTAGGAACGTGCTCGTCGTCAAATGGTAAGGTACCGCAGAGTAGCGCATACAATATAACACCGCACGACCAAATATCTACCTCGGGACCGGCGTACAATTTGCCAGATATTACTTCTGGTGCGGCATAATTCGGAGAACCGCAGGAAGTACGCAAGAACTCACCATCCATCATCATATTCGATAGACCTGCAAAGTTTTGCATTGAAGAAGACTACTGTTACTAGTTACGTATAATAAAGTGTTAATGTATGCCAACTAATATCCATGTACCAAAGTCTGCGATCTTCACATGCAGATTGTGATCTAAGAGAAGATTTTCCGGCTTTAAATCGCGATGGACTATCATATGCCGATGACAATAATCGACGCCCGATATAATTTGTTGGAAAAATCGTCGCGCTTCGTACTCCTTAAGTTTACCATGTTTAACAATATAATCAAACAGCTCTCCACCTGAGACATATTCCATTATCATGAATATGTCTGTAGGAGTACTTATAACCTGGTATCTGTGTATGTGAAATGTATGTTAAGACTAATATAGTTGGGGATTGTAAGAGTTATTTATTTATTTAAAAACTCGTATATCGTAAAAATTGTCAAATAAAAAAAATTATTTTGTTTTCCAATTAGAACTTTCTCAATTAATTTTTATAAAATTTATCTCATTACTTCCCCAAGAGATTAGTTTCTTCTTTCTCATTTATATCAGATATTTATAAATATATCACTAAGATTCTTAAATGATTAATTAACACTTACAATTTGATGATGTGAGGATGCCTGAAGAGTTTAAGATTCTGTATTTCTCTGCGAATTTTGCCTACAACATCTAGGCTTTTAATTTTTTGACGATTCAGAATCTTCACAGCAACTTTATGTTTTGTTAAAACGTGTTCTCCAACTGTAAGTAAGAAGTAATATTATATGAAAAAACATATACATGTATTTTAAAGTTTTTATATATTGTATATGTATATACATACTTTTTACTTTACCAAATGTGCCAACACCTAAAGTCTGGCCTAATGTATAATGGCCTATTTTAACAATAGGTTGTGGTTGACTGCTTGGAATTTTTTCGGACATCTTTAATTTGTTGCTGTATAAAAAAAAATTCTTTATACAATATATAACAAAATTTATTATCAACTTCAAAATTATATCAGCACTTTTAGAATGCTACTATCTCATACATAGACACACACAACTGTAAAATTACATGAAGAACATTTTAAATATTAAATTTGAAGAACATTTGAAACAATTCAAAGTTTGAAAATTTCTACATTGTTTTTTTTTGTTTCATGATTTCACATAATATTTGATTAACAATTATTAATATTATTATTCCCAAGTTTATCAAATAAATAAAATATGTAGATATACATATATGTTTGTAAATATCCAATTTCACAAACAATTCTATTGTTAACTTAATTATCTATATACATCACATTAAGAAAAGCATAGGAACAAAAATTAAACTGTATTGTTAATTATGATACAATTTAACTTATTAGTTATTATCTTCGCACAATGATTTCAAATGATCCAAGTAGCAAAACAATATATAAAAAATATAAATATTTATTTAATAAAATATAAATAAAATAAATATTTAATAAACATTAAATAAATATTTATATTATATTAACGTTAAAATAAACGTGTTTTAATTAACAAAAGAGACTGATCCACACATTTTAACGTTTTCAAAATATATCTTCAAAAATGGGTTTTAAACATTTTTTATACGTTTCTTTTGCCACTTGGGGAGTAGATACTAACAGGAAGAAGATTACTCGTCACAACAATAAAATGTCACTCACCACTGTATCTGTACCAGGAGAGTGAGAAATAATTGTGCGAGATGAATCTCCAGTGGGAGAAGTACTGATTGTGAGTGAGGTCGGACGAGAAGAGAAACGTCAAAATTCCGATGACAGAAAAGTGCGCAGCCAAAATGGCACAAATAGTCCCGATCACCTGACACTATTTACATGCTTGCTAGGTGGACTTCTTATCGCGTGGATATTGTGCGATGAATTTTATCGGATGGTAACGCTAAAACGAGACATATCTCTTTCTTGCATCAAACACAGCTGCGTAAAAACTGTTGGCGCTGAAAAAAATTAATCACGTTGACGATTCAAGATTGTTCGCATTATTAATTTGATAAAATCTTACGCCTTACGATTATATAAACTATAATTTCAATACTGTGTGTTGTGTATATATTTATATATATTTTATATATATATATATATATATAATACACTATAGACAAACTTGCCTATTCCTATTCTTAACATATCCTTATTCTCAATATTTGATATGCGATTGAAAATCTCTCGTATTTTTTAGGTTACTCTTAAACCGTAGATATAAGAAAGCAACTAGAGAGGTAACATGCGTCAAAAATAAGGACGTTTTTTAAATAGCGAGATGGCAAACGTGATTGGCTGCGCCATATTGTTACTCGCGATGTCGTAATCAAATTTAATTTTGTTTTGCTGGCATCTTCTCATTCAGATTTTTTCCCACTTCCTTTTTAATGTGCTCGATATTCTTACTTGCAGACTTTTATCGCTTTCCTTTTTATACCGATTTTGCATTATCTCATATACATGTGTCTAGTTGTTGTTGAAAGAATGACAGCGACTCTGTTTGATCTATTTATAGACATTCTAATAAACTCATGTATATATGGATCCATGATCCAATTCTACGTGTAATCTGTGAAGTATATGTGAATGTTTACGCATCGTATTTCTATTTTTACATTATAACGTTTCAAGAAATCATACATCAAGTAAAAATATATTTGACGGAAATATATATATAGGTATATATATATGATGAGCAATTTTTATTTTCAAAGAAAATTTCAAGTTTTAATTACTTCAAAAGATTTCTCAAATTTTATAACCAAAAAAAAACTTTTGTTTTAATTTTTATTAATTCTAAACATATATATATTTAATATTTTGTGCGTATTTGTTCTCGTAATATTATCTTTTTGGAGTATATATATATATATATATATATATATATATATATATATATATATATATATATATATATATATATATGTATGTGTATGTGTGTATAATAAATATATATTGTTTGAAAGTTTTAGGACATACGCACAGTTAAGATATTCAATATATTTATATAAATAAATAAGAATATTTGTTATATGGAAAATTAGAATAGAATTTTATTTACAATATATATTTCTTCTACAAGTGTTAAAGGAAAATTGATTCTAAAAATTCTAAATTGTAAAAATATATTGATTTTTTAACAATACTACATACTAAAAATAAATTTTAATTCTGTTTTTCAAAATGGATAAAAACAGGAAGGCTTCAAGTACGATTCTTGCGTGCAAGAGCTATCTATTGAACAAATTAATGCTTGCTTTTAAGAAGCTTACGAGATTAAACTACATATATGATATTATTTTGACTCATCTTGGTGGATTGATACTGCGTATAATTTGCAAGTCATGTGCAAGGAAGTTTACATGGAATTTTTTTGCACCTTGTTTTTACTGTCATCTTATATCATGATCTACATTATAGTGTTATATATTTATGATCTTTTATCGCATATTTATTTATATAAAAACAACAATAAATTTTTAACCAAATGATTGTTACAACTACAGGATCTTTAATCAATTGCTGATTATAAAGTTTCTGTTTTTCTTCAATTAATTAATTAATTTTATTTAATTCTTTATTTTGTTAAATGTTTACTCTCGCATATTTCACATTTCATATCTTAAACGACGTATAAATAAAATTTAGGTCAAAGTTTCAAATTTTTTAAGAGAAAGAAAAGAGCTAGAAAATCATTATCTATTCTCAAAAATAAGTAATTATTTCGTAAAGAAAATTGTGTGGTCATAAATATACGGTATATATGCAGACTTCAATGAATATTTCCGGTATGCAAAAGAGATTACATATGATTGCACATATCTGCAGCGATATAACGAGCATGTTTGTATAAAATGCAAAGATGGCAGTAAAATATTTAAGAAGACTTGCACAGAATTGTTACAAAATTTATTTTTCTTTATACACATATATTTTTTCTTGAATTATTTAAATATCTTATAGCAAAGAAGACAAACTTATCGGAGAAATAATTGACAAGTTGAATATTTATTGCGGCCTCGCTATAATGTACGTATGACTTATATAATGATAACATACGTATATGATGATTTCGTTAGAAAAACCAAATCTGTATTATTTAATCACTTTTTTATAAAATAAAAAATTATATCATTTTTGTTAAGGGATGAGTAATGTGCATCGACTAAAATTTTGATAAATATTAATAAGAAGTCAAAAATTAAATCTTTTTAATTTGCTGAATGCACAAAATCGATATGCAAAGCAAGAATTCGTTTAGCATTAAAATATAGCCGAAGAACGAAGGTCAATGTGATTGCAAAAATATGCATAAGAAATTAATTAATTATTAGAAATACATTTAAAAACAGGTTCAAAGTTGAAAAACTCAAATAATTATATATGATTGCTTTACGATAATGTGAGCTATAAATAATAACGCTATAATAAGAACGCTTTAAATCTAATACGCAATAGTGTTTGTTCACAAAAGAAGTTTGAGCTAGATTATATTTTCGAATTAATAAGTTAACAATTCGAATCTAGATTCTTTTGTTTAAAAAAATTCTTGTTAAAGTAGAAAATAATATAAACTTTAACTGCGTTTTACTCGGTTTTTCTACAAAACTACGCACTTTTTAAGCAATGATTCATGAATTATGTATCTTTCAAGAAGAGATAAAATTCATGAGAGCATGTGATATGTCTTTCTTATCTAATACATTAAATCGTGATCATATGGAACTGATACGAATCGATTTAACATATCTGTTATACTTTACAATCGCACGGATTTTTAACTTTTACATAACATACATCTTATCACATTTTCATAAATCCATCGATTATATTTCAAGTTATATAGTTACACAGTGAATCGCAAAACTTTTCGTATTAAATTATTTGTTCACTTTAAACAATCAATATTTTTTCAGGAGAAATGCCGTTTAACACGTGTATTTTATTTTTTAACAAGAATAAACGATAAGTCTTTATTATTCTTTTAATTACTCATGGTCTATCATAATCCATTAAAGAGGACATGAGTAGATAAGAATGAAAAATACAATCTATATGTATACATATATACTTTTTATCTAAGTCATTCGATAATTTTAAAGTCTAAATTGTTTCAATTTTTAAGATTAGGAAATTGCTATATAATATCCAAAATTAGAAACTATTACGTAAAATCAATCATGTTAATTATTTTTGACTCATTGTTTATAAGAATAATTTATTCTTTTGATTGCTACAGAAACTAAAATTCATATGCATATATAGATAAAAATATGAAAGAATATTTAAGCTCTATCTATTATAATAATAAACCATTATAATTTATTCATATCAATATGTTCAATATCGCAAAAATTAGAATAAATTGCTACGTAATTTTCAAGACTTAAAATATTGTTAAAAATATAGTTACAGAAAAATTCAAGTGTTAATATTACTTTTAACTCATTTATTTTATATCAATAATTTAATTATTCTTTTGTTATATAAATATATATAAAATATATGTATATATATTGTATAGTATTTTTGAACGATTTTTCAAAAGCAGAAATTCAATTGTGATACAATAAGTAACATTATTAATGAACACACGTGAGTGTAATATATGATTTATATAAAGGTATTTTTTTTCAATTATTTTTCATATCGATTATCTGTTATATCGATTATATCTTTATTGCATATCGATTATAAATATATTATTTAATTCCAAAATATATTATGCTAATTACACGAGTCGATGTAAAAATAATATTTAAAAGTACATCTAACTAAGCAAGAGTCGAGGATTCTTAAATGTTTTCTTCCGACAGATAAAGAAAAACAAAACGTCAACAGTCGAATATCGTTCCGTCTCTTTTCTCGCATTACTCTTTCCTTCTTCGATGCTCTATGGTTGATTAGTTCGGGCGAGCGCCGCCGAGTGGCGTCGCGGTCGCGCTTGCCGCTGACGTGCGCGAGTTCGGCCGTCACATACGTCAGTCGCAGGCGGGACGGCGGTGAGGTTGGACGTGGTTTCATGGTGCGTTGCGCGGAAGAGGAAAAAGTTCGCGCGCAAGTGTAGGTTACGCGAGACAGAAGGAGCTCGAGAGAGATATCAACATTGTGGTGTCTGGCGGCGATGATCGTTTCGCGATCGACGTGACACCCCGGGTCGTCGCTACGTCGCCACGTCATCCGATCGGAGGGTTAAGTGCGAAGTATTCCGTGCAGTTATTATCGAAGGAGAGCGAATCCCGGGCGGGTGACAGTGCGATCGCCCCCGCGATGCACAGGACTAGTGTGGTAACGGCCACACCGCGTCGCCGGACTTTGACAGGTGCGGTCGCGATCATGTACGACGGCGGTGTACTTCGACCCCTGTTGCTGCTGCTGACCTTGTCCAGTCTCGCTAGTCTGGTGAGTAATAAAAATATATATCTTGTATGTATGTAGAATGGGACACGGCGCGGCCAAATATGTGCGCCGCTGCGTCCTTTTTGCGACGTTTCTGCCCCATCCTCTACGCGCCTGCGTCAAACCTCTCTCCCACCGTATGTTTTTCTCTCTCTATCTCCCTTTTCCTCATTGCACGCACACGTGCGCACACGTACGGATGCATACATATACGCGTGATATACATGACTACGTAGTACAATTACAATTGTCCACACCCTGACATAGCCAAGACTCGAGCGAGCGCGCGCGCGCGCCTCGTGACGTCACATCGGCTGATCGTCGAGAAAGCTGTTCTCTTATGTATGCATGTATGTCCGTAGGATTTATTAAATTTAATTAATGGCCACTTTCGTGCGGCGAAATCTCTTTTATTCGCCGTTTCGATGATACACGTCGATTATTTACTGGGTCAAGGTCAGCGGGAAACGCTTTTTATTTAATTTTTTTATTGACTCATTGTTAATCTCTCTCAGACATCGATGACTCACACACATACATACACAATCATCGGTTACGAGAAGTCGGCGCGTCCTCGAGTCTGAATTCTTTTACCTTGGGGCGACGCGGAAAAATGTGGAATTCTGGAACGTCTTGATTCATTTTAGCACATATTTGCAGCCTCCTTCGACTAGTTTGCACCTCTTCTTCCTTCTCGAATTTTTTTATGACTAATGCATGTAATCGTAAACACGAATGTAACGTGAATCAACCATTAGCTGTCAAGCATTAAACAATACGAGCGATGATTGACCATTTGATATCGGGCAAAGAACGCGAGAGACCTCGATTCGAAGTTTATTCAATAACTTGCAATTTGTTTTGTATTTTCGATAATATAAAACAAATATATATATTTTTTTCTCTTAAAAAGATAATAAACTAATTAAAAAATTAATGAAAGAAAATTGTTGCAAATTAACGTATAATAAGAAGAACAATTATACTGATAATGAGCTTGAATATACATTTTTTAAAAAATAGATCTATTCTTTTTAATGCATTTTAAAATATGAGGGGTTTGATCTTTTAAATATTTTGCATTTTATTGAAATAAATCTTTTTTACTCCAAAAAAATGCATATATTTTTTCTCTTTAAAAAATATTTAAAAAATTAATGGAAAAAATTATTTACAAATTATGATAAAAAGAACAATTATACTGATAATGAGCCTGTATATACATTTTTTTAAGAAATAGATTTATTACTTTTTAATGTATTTTAAATTATTTTTAATATTAATAAAAGTGATTTTAGATTACTTTTTATAGTGTTTTAAAATATGAGAGCTTTGATCTTTTTTTAAGTCAAATATTTTACATTTGATTAAAATAAATGTTCCTTTTTTTATTCTAAAAAAATTGTGAAATAAATTCATTAATATCTTCTTTGTTCTTGTTAAACGTTTAATGAAATCAAAATTCCAACTACAATAGAATTTATTTTGAAAGTTATATCTATCTTTTATATTTTAGAAATTGAATTCTTTCTCAAGAGATAATATACATTACGATATCATTTATCAATATTTAATTAACAAGATCAAATAATTGAAATATCTGATCAGTGGATATCAGATGTATCATGAGTTTATCATGAAATATTCATATCGTCTCATTATTCACTTGAATGATTATTCATTGAATAATTAATTGAACGATTATTTATTTACGTTCATATTTTGACAAGGAAGAAAGGAAGGAAAACAAACGATCGTGCGAGAAATGTTAAAAATAGAGCTGTGTTGTCAATAATTCTGTTCAGACAAACATGAAAGAAGATATATACATATATACACATACAACATAGAATCATTTATGAAAATTTGTCCAAACGAATTTGCACCAATCAATACATGTGAAATTGATTGAGAAATAATACATAAATTTTTCTATGCATTATACATATATGCAAGTTATGCAAGTCTAATTATTCAACATGCAATTTTTAGGCAATAAATTTTTCTTGAATCGTTCAAGCTTGATAAGACTAATTTATGCCTTCTTTTTGTACGTATCATCACGTATAGACGATCCAAGACTGTTTATAGAGACACTTTCCTCGGGTTCGTGCTGGACATAATACAAAGTACGCCCATTGCGTGACTTATTCGATTATTACGATTCCTTATAAACGCATGACTCACACGAAGCTGATATGGAGTGTCATTTTATCATGTAATGTAATATATAAGAGGACAAGTGCCTCTCTCTTTTATACTTTTATTTTTCATATACTTATACACATTTTCTTTTCTTCTTTTTCTGAATTTACATAAACATTTGTTCCAAAAATGCGAGAAATAGATCAAACGTATAATAATTAGATGCATATATTAAAATAAAATTTTATATATTAAAACTCATATTAAGATAAAAATTAATAAGTATATACATTATTATTTATACGAAAATGTTACGAGACATGTTGCTATAAAGTTGTTATTACAACTTTTAATTGAAATTACGATAACTGGTTTTAAAAATTTTTGAGTATAATAAATATAGTTTCTTCAAGTAATAATTATCTCACGGATAAATTTGGTACAGAAAAATATTTGCGAAATATTAAATATTTGTCTATAATTCTGATTCTTTTATATCTAATAAATATTATAAATTATATATATATATATATATATATATATATATATATATATATTTTTTATTGTATCTTATAAAAAACATGAAATATGTGTTATTCCTTTGTTGAACGTTTTATGAAATGCTCTACTTTATAATCATTACTAGTTGCATCATTGTATAGAAATATAAAAAGTATGAAATGTTATTCCTTTATAGAGTTCTTCGTGCAATGCTCTGCTTTAAATTAAGTGAATTAAATCATTAATTCAGCTCATTGCCTCAAATAAATCCCATATCAAGCTTTAATACACAGGTCATGAAGAACTCAATTAGGAGATACTTCATGCATTATTCTATATATATACATATATATCTTTATATTCGCCTTGTGAGAACGCGACTTGTGAAACTTATTGCACATCAAGTGACAATATTAATATTTAGTAAGGAATACTTTAAGTATGTGTATAGATGTATATGATTTTAAAAAAATAGTATAATATAACAAATTTTGTAAGATTTTAATTATTTTTTCTAATATATTTATATTTTATATATTTATATATTTTTTATATATTTATATTTTTATATTTTCTAATAAGTATTCTTTCTAATATATGTAAATTTACACGAAGTGAAAGTTTAAAGGTATTTTTTATCATTTCCAAACAGGTCGCCAGTGATGAAAATGGTCATTGTATATGGTATGGAGAATGTTATAAGGACTCTGTCCATAAGAAGAATTGTATTTACGATGGGCCGCCAAAACCATTGAGTTCCGATGGACAGAAATTGTTGGCTAAGAATTGTCCGCACTTGTTGGTGGACGATGGCAAAGGAATTAATACCTGCTGCAATGCGAGTCAACTTGTAACACTAGATACGAATATTAACCTTGCGGCCAACTTTTTAAAAAGATGCCCTAGTTGTTTAGATAATTTAGTGAAGCACTTTTGCGATTTCACTTGCGCTGTTAACCAAAGCAAATTTATCAATATTACGGAGATAAACGAGAAGAATGGTAATTATACATTTGTTTTATTTAACGACAAGGCTCCTGGTTAGATTGTCAGAGTGCGAGAAAATAAACGCTAAAATTTTTTGATGCCGTTTTTAAATGAAAGGATATTTCAATGAAACAGCACTTCAGATAGCTTTAACATCTCGTAAACTATCATTTTCCCTTTATAATCAATCCACAGTTGTAAAATGTGTGTAATGTGAGGTTCAGTCCTGACATCACAATTCCAACATGGTTGATGAAGATCCAGCAGCCTTAAAATTTAATAATGTTTTCTGTCGACATTTATCTTGATATGCAATTTTATGATTTTTAAATTTTTTTTCAGGTACAAAATACATTAATAAAATAGACGTATACATAACGAATAAGTATCTTGAAGGAACGTTTAACTCGTGTAATAAGGTATCAGTGCCGAGCACAGGCCAGTTAGCGCTGGATATAATGTGCGGAGAATGGGGTGCGAGTAGATGTACTCCTTTAAAATGGTTCTTCTACATGGGCGATGCCGAGAATAATGCCTACGTACCTTTCCAAATCACATATAAGAACACCGATGAACCTGTTGGTCCGTTTACACCACTAGATCCTTTAATTACGCCATGCAATAAGGCGCTAAACGTTAGTATTATTTTCACAAAGATATACAGTATATTTTAAAAGCTATATATAAAAGCATTTCGAATGCTCTTTGGAGCATGTTAGATTTATTAACAGTGCAAAGGTCTAAACATGCTAATAAGCAAGGTGTACAATGCATTCGCTTATTACCATGCTTTCCTTTCATAAACATTTTTTAAATACAGCAGCTAGTTACTTTTTTGTTAGTATTACACGTGAGTTTTATAAATAATTATTACACTAATTATCAACTTTATGTCTTTATAAATGCAAGTAAAAAAATAAATAGAAATCTATATACCAAAGAAAAAAAAGAATGATTTGATTGGACTTTTTGCTGAATAGTAAAAGTCGTAGGTTACTTACGCTTTATTATCATTTTGTTATTCAACATTGGAAGCATGACAAGTTCTTAATTGCACATATAATTTATAGTAGTTAGGAAGAAAACAAGCTAGCATAATTTTATGCCGATTTCATGACATACACTTTTAATGCATACTTTTTAATGAAGTGTATGTGCATGAAAATTTATTGCATTTTTCATAATCCAAAAACACTTTGTAAAATTTTTAAAGAGTTAAATATTACACAGAAAGAATTTTTTTTGAAGTTATATTTTTGGAATTTTTAAACATATATATTTCTATTTTCTATATACGATAACTGACCAACATATAAAATATATAAAATGTATAAAGTTTTTACATATTATTTTATATAAAAAACATATTGTATTTAAAATGAACATATTTTATTATATAAACACATACTCTTATATTAGAATATTAAATATATTTAAATTATTTAGATTTTTATACATTTTTAATAAAAATTTATAAAAGTTGCATTTAAATATTCTCTTTCTGATTGATTACTTCTATATTATTTGATAAATAAAGTGCTAAAAACACATTTAACTAAATTATTTTTACGAGACAAATAAAATGTCAAAAAAGATATAGCATAATAAGAAACCTACATTTAACTTTTTCTTTTGTAGAAAAACACTCCAGCTTGCAGTTGTGTTGATTGTGAACAAAGTTGTCCAGTACCACCACCGGTGCCTCCACTTCCAAAACCATTCTCAATATTCGGTTACGATGGTTACGAAGTTATAATGACAATTATTTTTGTATGCGGCACCTGCCTTTTCCTTCTATTAATGATGTGTTTCAGCCATAGGAAACGTATAGGTAAGAAACTCGATTTTATTTTGAAAAGGTATATATATTTATAAAAGAGTTGCTGGATTTTTATTGTAGTGCAAATTATGTAAATAAAAAATGGAGTGTGCCTTTTTCAATTTTGAAAGCTATCTTTTTTTTAAACTATATTTTGCACATAATTTATCTTTGATAATTTATGAAATATATTAATGGCTAATTGTAATTAATTTATATTATTTTTTATTATTAATTACAATACTAAATAATTAGGTAAAATAAGTGAGGAGATAAGAGAGTAATCGATAAGTTTATTGTGTGATTAATTTTTTCTGTAATGATTACATTTAGATATATTCTGTTGTTGCTATTTATATTTTAATTGTGGGTTTTTCTCTGCACTTGTTTTACTTTATTCAAATCTTAAGAAAAAGCATGTATAATGTCTCATTCTCAATTTCTTTTTTTTTCTTTTGCAATTATTAAAAAAATGAACATTATTTTTGTGAGAATTATTAAGACAATTCAAAATCATATACATATAGTCATTACTTATAATTATGAATCATACTGATAATAATATATTAAATTCTTATATTAAATTATTATCAATTTTGGCTTATTTAACATTTAATATTGTAATTTGTAAAGCATGATACACATGAGAATTTGTTTAGAAATATTAAATCATGATACATGGGAATTTTAAAAAAGAAATGTTAACATCTATGCACATACTAACTGTAATTTGTTTACTACTTCCCTGAGCTAATATGAAATAATTCTATTGTTCAGATTCTAATAAATGACTCGTCAATTTTTTTTTGTATTGTTTTTGTGTGAATGGAATATTTTCTCATATTGATTAGTTAATGTGCATAAATGATACTACTTATGCATATGAAAAAATGTACAGACTATTATACAAGTTGTGTATGTATGGTGTGCGCGTATGTATAGTTGCACGAGGGGAGGAAGTAGGAAGACAGGTGGGTAGACGGCTAGCTGCCGGATTACACCACCCAGGAGATGGTGCTCGTATTGCCCTTGCCGCTGACCAAGAAGACAGCCCACTTCAGTCTAAGCGTTCTAGTAGGTTTTTTCGATTCTAAAAGCATCTTCGATGTTCGCAATTGTAATCGTGGTTGCGTTTTTTCTTTTGTTTTGTATCTTTCTTTTTTTTTCGTTGCTTGGATCGCTTCGTTTATTTCTTTGTTCTTTTTCTTTCGCTTCCTTTATTTTTTAGCCCTGCAGATTATTCCTGCCAATGGATGTCAATTGTGTATTAGATAATTTTCTTACAAATACATTAGCATTTTGATTTTATCAAACTTGATTTTATCTATATAGTGTTAAGCTTTTTAATTTGCGTATCTTTTTTCATGTGATAATATACAATATTGTACACACAGACACAACACATTATAGCGAATTTCTACTAATTAACTGCACGATTGCATTAAAATCAAATGCTTAAAAATAAAATGATTGTATTTGAATAAGTTTGAAGCATAGTTAGAAAAAAATTTTGTAAAAAGCATGTGATGAGATCATATTTTAATGATGTTGCATTGCATTGCATAATAATATTTTATTAAAGTTTAAAATCGATGCTTACTTTGATAACCCAGCAAACACCAAGTAACTATTATATAACTATTAATTATAATTTCCTAACACACATGTTATATTGCATTTACATTGTTGAGTGGGAAATTATAACTAACATATAGTTATATAATTGTTACTGGTGTTTGCTGGGGTCAACAGTCATAAGACCTAACCGATCAAGTGCACTCTCGTACGAGAGATCGTTAAAAAAAAAGATGTTTGCTGGGAAATATAATTTTATCGAGAATAAGTAATTTTAAATTTAAAAAATAAAAGATATATATGGAAGGAAAATATATACAATTTTTAAACACTTAAACTAGAAATATTTATATAAATATTTCTTACTCACAAAAATTGTGTTGTGTAATATTTTGTATTTCTTTTATATATATTAAGTTAGATCTTCTACTTAGTATTTTGCATGTTTAATGTACTAAGTCTTCTGCAAGACTTACTATTTTGCATGTTTAATATAATAGGGCGATAGATACTGCTTTAAATAATAAATTAAGAAGATAGAGGATGTGCCGTTCAAGTAGATAAGCTTATTATAGAACGTTTTCCCATAACAGCATTGGAAAATAATTTTTAAAAAATGAATTATAAATAAATATAAATTTTTTATGTCCAATATGCGACACAAATAAAAGATATTGTTTCTGTAATAATGTAAACTTACAAGTACATTGCACAGAATTATTTCATTATTTATTCTATATTTTTTGCAAAGTTAAAAAATGCAATTTATCCTTAATGTTAAGGAAACTTTGTTAAATTTTTATACTTAGTAACAAAAATTCTATATAAGTCTTATATTGTTCTATTATATTATTTTTTCTAAGTATTATTTGATATTGTAATTTAAATTGTAAAAACAAAATATATTAGTTCTAATCATTAAAAAATATTAATTCTTTATATTTTTAAGTTTATTTTAATTAAAGCAATGTATTTTAAGTGATTTTATTTTCTTCTAACATATATATGACATAATATGACTAAAGTATTATCCAGTACTGTTTATTATATTTAAGACATTTTATTTATTTTATGGTTCAATTTTTTATATATATATTATTTATTTTAGGAATTATGAGTTTTCTCTACATTTACTGTTTTATGAAACTGCATTGCAATATTGTATTATAAGTTACGAAATACTAGTTGGTATATACAGCACACAATGCTCGAAATTGTTGAAACTATATAATTGTGCTTTTAATTGAATGTTAACTTGTAAATAGGGATTTATTATATGATATAAATGTTTTTAGGTGTCATATCATCCGATGAATTACCAAGTGGATTTGACCAAGAAGAACAATCCACTTTCATCGAGAAGCTTGGAGCAAATACGGACAAATTTTTACAAGAATTCTTCTGCAAATGGGGAACATGTAAGCAAAATTTTAAAAAAAATTTCTTTTGATAATTTGATTCTTATTTAGCGCTTAAAAAATATACGCCTAACACATGTTTGGAATATTTAAGTTTTTATTTGTGTTTTTTTATTGATGATCTATTTTAGTATCAAAATTTTGTTTAAGTTTAATAAAAATTGTTAAATTTTTTAATAGATAATATTTAAATAAATTAGTACTTATTTATTTAACAACTAATTAAATAAATAATAATTTAATAAACAAATAAATAATTTAATAAATAATTAATTTAAATAAATTACTTCTTTAAGACGTTTATAATAAATTTTGTGTCTTCTGTTTTTATTTTATATTACTATATATTTTAGCGTTTAGCTCTATAATGATATATCGTACTTTGTTATTGTGTGTTCAAATTAGTTTTTTTCAATTAATAAATGCTATATTAAATGCTACAAAAACCATTTTTGAGAACTTTTCAATCGTATGAATAGAAAATATTCAAAGGCATATACAATATAAAGGAACTTTTAAAAAGCTGCATCTACAAATTTTCTGGTTTTACCTGAAATTTTAAATGAAAATACCGGGAAAAATTCTCAAGCAATTTTTTTTACAAAATTCAAGTAGACGCCTTGAATATTACATTATAATGACTAATGATTCTGTTGCAGTCTGCGCCTCTCGACCTTGGTTAATACTTTTCCTTGGCTTCCTATTGATCGTTGCTTTGGCACACGGTATAAAGTATATGCAAGTTACTACAGATCCTGTGGAACTGTGGGCATCCCCACATTCTCGATCACGTGTCGAAAGAGAATATTTCGATAAACACTTTGAGCCCTTTTATCGAAACGAACAGATTATTATCACTTCCATCGGCTTACCGAACGTATGTACTATTAAAAAATATGTTGTATTTTTACACAAAACTATTTCTATTTATATTATCATGTATTGGTCTAAACAAAAAAATTATGTAATTATTAATTATAGCGTGAAATTAAAATGAATTATATATGTTGTTGAATTATATAATTATATATTGGCATTGATTTGAGACTACATATAATTATTTAACGTTAATTACAGATCGTGCACAACACCACTAATGGACCTATCGTATTTGGACCTGTATTTAACGATACTTTCCTAAAAACAGTCTTTGAATTGCAAGAAGGAATCAAAGGTATAATTACTTCCAATAACTACACACTAGCGAATATATGTTTCGCTCCTCTAACTGGACCGTTTACCGGGCCAACAACGGTGTCGCAATGTGTTATTCAAAGTATTTGGGGTTATTGGCAAGACAGTTTAGAAAAGTTTGAGAGTTCGGAAGACGAAGGCAATTATACAGTCAACTATTTGGATCACTTTAGAGTTTGTTCGCAGTAAGTGATTAATGTGACAAAAATATTTTTATATATTTTACATGTATACATCTATTACATTACATTAATATAGTCCATTTATATTTAATATATTATATTTATATTTTATTTAGATTATATTTATATTTATATTTTTATACGCGTCTTTCACAGGAATGCGTATAATCCTGAATGTCTCGCACTTTACGGTGGTCCTGTGGAGCCGGCAATCGCAGTAGGCGGATTTTTGTCTCCAGGACATGATCTTCATAATCCACCATATGAAAAGGCAACCGCTATAATCCTTACTATTCTTGTAAACAATTATCACAATAAAGCCAAGTTGCGTCCTGCTATGGAATGGGAAGAAAGGTAAAATTTCATTATTTTTCGAGTGCTAAATTCAACTGAGAGTAAGATTACGTCATTGATATATCTTTCTTTTGACTTTAGTTTTATTAACTTTATGAAAAATTGGACTGCAACGAGAAAGCCGGCCTTTATGGACATTGCGTACACGTCCGAGCGCTCTATCGAGGATGAATTGAATCGAGAATCACAATCGGACATTGTAACCATTCTGGTATCGTATATCATCATGTTTGGATACATTGCGGTATCACTCGGCCAAATTAAATCATGCTCTCGTCTCTTGGTAAGGATCTACATCATGCGATTCTCGTTTTTTGTTTCGCACAATTTTATATATAATCGATATTTATTATGTTTCTTCAGCTCGATTCCAAGATTACTCTTGGACTTGGAGGTGTGCTCATAGTGCTGGCGTCTGTGGTTTGCTCAGTCGGACTGTTCGGCTTCATTGGTTTACCAGCTACGCTGATTATCATCGAGGTCATTCCGTTCTTAGTACTGGCGGTCGGAGTAGACAATATTTTTATTCTCGTTCAAACTCATCAGAGAGAGGGCAGACGGCCGAACGAGTCGATTCCGGAACATATAGGACGTACCCTGGGTCAAGTCGGCCCTAGTATGTTACTCACAAGTGTATCGGAAAGCTGTTGCTTCTTCCTAGGTACGTGTTAATGCAATTATATAGTGAATCGTATATATAAATTGAAAAACAAGAGGACGAGATATTATTTTCGTATACTCGAACAAGTTGTTATAATTAATTTTCTTTTTCTATTGATTTATAGGCGGTCTCTCTGATATGCCTGCTGTGAAGGCGTTTGCTCTTTATGCTGGAATGGCTTTATTGGTGGATTTCATATTGCAAATTACATGTTTCGTCAGTCTCTTAGCACTTGACACAATTCGGCATGCGGTATGTATTTAATAAAATGGAAAAAATTTACCTTAAACATTGAATTTACTTTAAATGTATTAGAAATTTTTATGTAATTATATATTTAATATTTTGTGTGTGTAAATATTTATTTTATAAAATAACAGAATATAAAGATGTAAAGTAAAAAAATAGAATATAAAATATTTCATATATTTAATTTTTTTTTAATTTTTATAAAAATTAATTTTTATTTCAATGCATTTTTACTAATTATACGTTGTAATATGGTTAATGCATAAAATGATTTTTTTATAATTTTAGAACAACAGGCTGGATGTATGTTGCTTTATTCGTTCCAAGCGTGATGATGGAGAAGAAGTGGTAGATGGAGTATTGTATAAAATTTTCAAAGTTGCATATGTTCCATTATTATTGCAAAAATGGGTTCGTGCGACTGTGATGATTGTGTTCTTTGGTTGGCTCTGCAGCAGCATCGCTGTAATACCACACATCGAAATTGGCCTAGATCAAGAGCTCTCTATGCCCGAAGACAGTTTTGTACTCAAGTATTTCAAGGTATGTCTAATGATCAATTTAGAGTTAACATGTCGCGTTAAATATGAATCACAAAAAAATACTAAAGTTCTTTACACCTTCTTTTTGCAGTTCTTGAATAATTATTTATCCATTGGACCGCCGATGTATTTCGTTGTTAAAGATGGCCTAAATTATTCGGATACCAGAGTGCAAAATTTAGTCTGTGGTGGGCAATATTGTAACAGCGATTCGGTGTCGACTCAAATATTTACAGCGTCCAAACAATCAAATAGGTATATTACAACGTGAAAGGTTTCATAAATAAATGTGATTTATTGTCTTCTTTGTTTTTGAATTTTATATCAAAATGGTTCCTTTTGTTTTTAGAACTTATATAGCTAAACCTGCTTCATCTTGGATGGATGATTATATGGATTGGTCGGGATTAAACGAGTGTTGCAAATATTTTCCTACAAACAATTCATTCTGTCCACATACTTATGGTACATACATTTTTTGTATAAAAATGTTCAGGGATGTATATGAAAATCTGGTATTCTCAGAAAACTTTGTTCAACTTTGAAAAATTAGGGAATAAAATTAATATTCCTTATTTATTTTATAAATAAATAATTATATAATTTTAATAAATTAGTATTCCCTGAGATTACATTTATAATAAATTATTTTTTATTTTATATATTTATTTTTATCGGGGAATTTTTTTACGAAATTTGAGTAGACACCCTGAATGTTGTATAATCTCGTACATATACTTAGCTATTTTAACTCGAAATTTGTATGTATTTTATGTATTTTTATGTGATTTTATGTATTTTTTGCAGGCCGTCCAAAATGTTCTAGTTGCAATATCACTTTGAATAAATACAACAGGCCGGTGCCTAGCGACTTCGACAAATACGTATCGTTCTTCTTGCAAGACAATCCGGACGAGAATTGCGCTAAAGGAGGTCATGCGGCTTACGGACACGGTGTAAATTACGTGACCGATCCTAACACAGGCATGTCGACCGTTGGCGCTTCGTATTTCATGGCTTATCACACCATTCTCAAGACCTCGGCCGATTATTACGAGTCGATGAGAGCGGCCAGAGTCGTAGCAGCTAACATTACAGACATGATTAACTGTAATCTGAGACGTCTCAGTGGAAACACCACTGTGGAAGTTTTTCCGTATAGCGTTTTCTACGTATTTTACGAGCAATACCTGACCATGTGGCCTGACACATTGCAAAGTATAGGGATCTCGTTGCTCGCTATATTTATGGTTACCTTCTTACTGATGGGTCTGGACATTTTCTCATCGTTAGTTGTTCTAATTACAATCACGATGATCGTCGTCAATATCGGTGGCTTAATGTATTGGTGGCATATAACTTTGAACGCAGTGTCTCTAGTGAATCTTGTCATGGTAAGTCAATTATTAGAAACATTTATATTTATGTTGTTATTATAAATTTATAATAATTTTTCTTCCATTATAATAATCTGTCCTTAAATTTCAATTATTTATTATCGTCACGCTTTTATAACAAATATTTTATTTTTGTGTTAGTATGTGAATAACAAAAACTAAATATATTATAATCAGTTTTTTTTTTATTTATTGAGAATTGTAAGAATGTAATGCAGAATATATTTCCGGGAAAAAGCTTTCTGTTAATAAAAAATCAGGGAATTCTCATAGAATTTAATTGACATTCACAATCAGAGAATTTTTTAAAAATTGCCTCTTTGATAATCTTATTCTTATTTAATATATAGCTTAAGAAGCATTTGTTTAACATATCTTTGTAATATTTAAGTTTTTATTAAAATTTTATGTAACTTTTTTTATTGACAATCTATTTTTAATATCAAGATCTTATATAAATTTCATAGAACTGTTCAATTTTTTAATAGATAATGTTTAAATAAATTAGTGTTCCTTATTTATTTAATAAATAAATAAATAATTAATAATAATTAAATAAATAATTTAATAAATAATTTATTTAAATTAGTATTTCTTAATTATTTTTATTTTATATTTTTGTATGTATTTTTAGTGTTTAGATATGACGATATATCATACATTATTATTTAAATCATAGTTATTGTCCAACTTAATATTGTATAATAAAATCACTATTAAATGTTAGGAAAACTTTACTCTTGATAATTTTGCAATCGTATGTATATATAGAAAATATTAGAAATTTATATATAAATACATTTACATATTTTCTTAATTTGAAAATCAGAGAATTCTCAAGAAATTTTTTACAAAATTTAAGTCAGACATCCTGTAATGAAAGTGTTGTATTAATTGTTGTTTGTTGCTATTGCAGGCAGTTGGTATAGCCGTCGAATTTTGCAGTCATCTAGTGCATTCTTTCTCTGTGTCAGTCCAACCAACTAGAGTGGACAGAGTCGCAGATGCGTTGACGAATATGGGTAGTTCGGTATTTAGCGGTATTACATTGACAAAGTTTGGTGGTATCATAGTCTTGGGCTTTGCAAAAAGCCAAATTTTCCAGGTATGTTTTTAGTTACTAATTTTTAGTTAATATAACATTAATTTACTTTTGAAATTCTATTATCAAAATTTGTAATTTATCCATTTTTTATTTGTTGTGAAAAGAAATTGTGTGAAAAGTTTTTTAATGTTTATTATCAATTATAAATCAATCTTAATTTAAATAATTGGCGAGTATGTTTTATAATATTTTATAATTGCATCATTACTTAGTCAAAAAATGTTTACAGGTCTTTTACTTCAGAATGTATCTGGGTATTGTACTATTTGGAGCAGCGCATGGTCTCATCTTTTTGCCAGTATTATTAAGTTATATAGGTGAGAAAACACTGTCATATATATATATATATATATATATATGTATATATAATTGACATATATAATTTTTTCGATATATCTAAAAATATGCAGAAATTATTTTGAGTTATGTCTCTAATAACTCAGGTCTTTTCTGATTTGCATTTATCACTTCCGCTTATATTCTATTTCACTTATAGCTTCGTATATACATATAATAAAAAAAAGAAATGACAATGCAGCAGAGATATAACGTCATTTCAGCTACTTTTTCAGATTTCAAATTATTATTTATATTAAAATTTATGTTGTTTATCCACACAAAATGTTTTATCATTGCTTATACATTGCATGAAACATATCTCACACAAATGTGGAGTTTATACTGAATAGTGGAGGCACACTTGATAGTACAATGATTGTACTCTTTCAGATTTGTTGCAAGCATGTTAATGCTTGGGAAAAAAAGGGACAAATAATTTTTTTTTATGGGGACACCAGTGTTACGTTAAAATTTTATTTTCATATCCCTACACGTATATCGCGAACGTGTAGAAAACTCTTTCTCGCGTTCGATATGAGCAGCTTTGCGAATTCGACAGAGATTATATGTACAGTGAATAGGAAATTACAGTGAGATATTTTTTCGTCAAATCTATCTTTGCCTTAACTATGCCTGTGCTTAGTCTTCTTTACCAAAAAGAATTGACTCTTTAAATACATGTAATTCTGAGTAATATCGACTGGCATCATGGCTCCTGGTGGTTCTAGGCTCACCTATGAATAGGGAGAAGTTGGCCAATCACAAAAGAGCAATGCATGGGAACCTGGACAACGTGCAAGAGACGTCTCTGAATCATCGTGTAAGCATACACAATTCTCCTACACCCACTACAACTACACCTACGTTCAAAGTGCTCGAATGCGAGAGATAGGTATGCAGAATTGGCTATCTGAGTAAAAAAAAGAAAAGAAAAAAAAGAACATCTGCACTGTGACACGTGATAAAGTCTTCTGGCATTTCTGTCCTGTTTCCAAAATGTGTCGCACATATGCTACTTATTTCACGCAATGTAGATAGAATTATGTTGTAGATATTATTCAATATTGTTGATTCACTTTATTATATTTTTAATTAATTCAGGAAATGCAATTTTCTCTATATAAAAAATAGCAGATCTTTCATATTTCTTATTTATTTTTTATTAAAATTTTATTTTTTATATATAATAGATTTGCATAATAAATTAGTAAAATCTCTTTAACTTGCGTTTTTTTATTACTATTTATATTATTATTTATATTTATTATCTATTTTCAAATTGCAAAGAAACTCGCGAGCACATTAATTTATTTTCTTAAAAAGTTATCAACTGATACATGTTAAAATTCTAGGCATTATTTAACACATTAATTTTTGTCCTTATTATATTCTATTTTTATATAAGAAAGCACAAATATAATTAAAAAATTTTTTTTATATAAACAAGCAAAGTATAATTTTTTTAATTTGAAGAAATTAAAGTTTAAAGAATTTAAAATTAAAAATTGCAATATATAAGATTGATTAGGGCAAATATTGCATTGGTACACTTTTATGCAAATATAATATTTTTTTATGATAAAAAATTATATATATACATATACAATTTTGTGTAAATTGCTATGGAAACTATTAACACATACCTTGACACATTAAATTATAAGATGTTTTATATATAAATTTCAATTAGTAGTTGAGAAATTATATAAAGAAATAGTAATTAGGCTTCATGATTTAACAATGCACAACACTATTTGTATATGCTATTTATATGCACATATATGTATTACATACTACTATACTACATATTACACATTATATCGCTTTAAATGTGCATTTTAGCTTGTATATAATTTAAAAATATACTTCTATATTTATATTTTTTAAAATAATTATATTTAAAATTTATATTTGAAATTTTTTAATTATTTTGATTAGTTATTAAGAAAAGCTTTTTAGAAATATGATTTTTTAATTTTCTGTTTTATAGTGTGGTGTATGTTATTTCTTTTTGTATGACATTTGTATATAATTTATACATTATTTGTTTAATGCTTTTGTGCATTGCATTTTTATATTAACGTTCCTGTCACTAATTGATAGATATGTCATGCACATCTAATATATATTTCATAGCATACAATATGCATATATTTTGCATATTGCAAGATGTAAAACATTTCCCAACAGATTTTATATATCATTTGATGATCAAACATTTCTTTGTCGAATCCTATGATTAAATTCCTTGATTTTAAGCTGCTATAAATTATAACAGGGATATGGAAACATAAAAGTTATCACTGGTGAAGAGAAATATATCGAATAAGATCATTTTAAGCGATGCTTATTTCATTGCACTCATCTTTTGTCATCTTTTTTCTTTATATCATATACAAGATGTTTTTAAAATTACATTGAATTTTTTTATCTCTTTAGAATTTTAAGATAGTGATGCAATTTTTCGACAATTTTTACTATCAAGATATTTATTGTTTAATTTGTATCATATTTGCCAATATATTTATCAGTTATAATAATTACAAAATGAGAAATAGAATAATTTGATATAAATGATAAATTCTTCCTCAGATTGTGTTCAAATAAAGTTTGCAATATAAATAAATTGAAAAGACATGTCATTTATATAAGATTTTTACATGTGTAAATGTTATAACAATAATGAAAATTTTTATAAATTCTTAAATTATATTATTGTGTGGGAATCATTTTATATTAGCAAATAAAGTGTATATCTTGATTGTAAATCAAAATGGTTATATGCGCTCGTATAATCACACTGTATCATCGCTCTTGTTATTTAAAGAAAATTTTGAAAATGTATTTTTTTATACGATGATAGAATCATGTAGCGTTGCATGAAAATTGTATTTGACTTGGCTTATGCATTGCTTTCTATATATAGAAACAGAAATATTACATACGCAAGATAAATTAATTGCTAGAAAGAGTAGTGGTTTGTTATACGGTGTGATAGAAGAAGATTTAGAGTATTTCAATTTATATTTTTTTGTTAATTATATTTAACTTGGCTTATGAATTGCTTTCTACGTATAGAAACAGAAATATTACATACATACACAAGATAAATTAATCATATACAAGAAGGAGTAGTAGTTTATTATGCGGTGTGATAGAAGAAGAATAGAATACTTTAATTTATATTACTTTATTTCTTTTTTTTTAGGCGTGATGTCGCGCCGGGGGCGTAGAAAAGACAGCGAACTCGCGAGCGAAAGTGAAGCTAGACGTCACCAACGTGACCAGCAGGACTCTCCTCTACTCCAAAACGACAACCATCAATGCGCGACCACTTCCTACGCCAGTATGAACTCCACTGATGTGACTGATCACCACGTAACGTTCTAATCAATCCTCGCCAATTTAATCGAATATACATATAATTTTTGTACTTAGAGGGACATGATAATATAAAGGGAGTAATCCACTTAGTGGAGGATCCATTAGGCGAGCGTCAATAATGTCCTTTGACTTTGACCTGACTTGCGAGCTGAGAAAGAGAGACAAAGAGTCGCACGCGCGCTCTTATCTCTGAAATGTAGAAAATTTCATATGAATCATCCTCAACGAAATCCTCCGTGATTGGTGAAAATATGTCCATCTACGTTCATATCTGGCATCTTCTTAGCGACAAAGAAATTTGTATAGTTCTAGGTTTTCGTCATTTTTTAGCATATTTATTTTTTTCTGGGCAAGGCTCTTTTTTAATTTAATATATTATTAGATCGTCACAGAGACTGTGTATTCTAAATTAAAAAGAAAAAAATGATCAATTGCAAATGATCGTTACGATCGATTTTAGATAAAATAATCTAGAATGAAGAATTTGTTTCCTTACTATATATTCATTGTTAAGTAAATCTAGTGAGAATAATAATAAATGTGACGGATACAAAATGCATTTCCCTTTTTTTAACGCGAATGCATTTCTCAATTGTGAGATGAATCCTTTTTTCTCTGATATTGATATCCAATTATTACTTTAAAAAAGTTACATTAAAATGTCGATAGTTAAAAGAGTATTAAAACGAAATGTTGATCCTGATACTAAATTAAATTAAAAAAATAAATTATTTAAGAAATTAATAAAATATATATTATAGACAGAGAAAGAGAAAGTCTATTTCTCTCTCAACAATACAATCGATTTTCTTTATTCTAGATTTATCAGAAGCGTTTCCTCTATCCTCTTAATTTTTTTAATGCACAGAATAAAAATATCACTCTGTCTTTTATATAGTTTTTTATATAGTTTTCTCTATTATGATACATATGAAAAGAAGAATTTTAATTTAAAAAAATAGTTGAATTGGAAAATTTGAAATAGAAGGAAGAGCATCGATTGTAATATATATATATATATATAAAACCACTTATATTTTAAGATTTCACTTATGATACGCAATTTCGAAGTTGTGCAACTAAATATATAATTGTTTTTTACTTATGCCGTCCACAGCTGAGAAAAATATGATGCATATGAGACATGTAGAATCAATAGATGATTATTTAGCAATTTAATTAAATGATGGTTAATCGATCTATTCTCGCAAGTAAAAATGATATCTATATCAGGATTCAAGTTTTCAAGATACTCTCATTAAAACCCACAAGTTCCATGGTGTGAGATCGCACACGCGATCTTAGGTCTAACCGTTCTGAATATAAATATTACTAGATATGTTGTTATTAATTTTTGATATATACATATATATACATATACAATATATATATATATATATATTTTCGCTATATAAATGCATCTAAAATTGCTTTAAACTTTTTATACAATTAACTTTGGATGCAAAAATAATAGAATAAAAATTCCGTTTAATGAACGTTCATAATAAGAAATTGGAACTCTCGTTATAATATTGATTAATTTCGACAAACTTTCGCAACCATGATTCTTAAGTATCAAGTTTCCGTCGTGAAATGTAAAAAAAATATCAGTATTGTTGATTAGATATGTGTACGCTTTGTCTTTAAGTGAAAGCTCTGTTCCTTAAGTGAACTTTGTCTTACAAGTTATGAATTTATATTTTGCAACTTAAAATTAATTAATTAAGGCCAGACAAAGAAATGATTTGTTCTCTTGTCGCGCTGGCTTACTATGGATCAATGAGGAACATTATATCTCTGTCAGATTTAAGTATTTTTTATTATTTTTTTTATCATATGGTCGAGACCATTTTTTTCAAAGCTTCTTACAATCTGTAAATTGTAATATCTGATTTCTTCAGCTTTAAATATGATTATAAATCAACATGTGAATGTGAAGTTTCATTTTGAAATGGAAGAAAACATTCACCTTTGATGATTGGGGATTTTGTTGCGGAAAGAAATCGCGACCTAAATTATTATGATTATTATTTATACTATATCTGCTTGAAATTGAGTATGAAAATATTAACGATGCTAAATTGAGACGTAACTTTAAAATCAAACTAAGCACATGTATTATTCTCTAATTTTATAAGAACAAATATCGCTCAGAATCTCATAATTTATAAAAATGACGCGTGAAGTAGTTTAGAAAATATTCTTACACACATCGCATTTTAATATACTATGTCAGAGATTAGAGGCACTGTAAAAACTAATTATTTTATTTTTATAGATTAGATATTATTTGCACGTTATCTACAAATCTCTGTAAATTATATGTGCAAGAATGTGACTTTGCGATCCTTAGTAAGCGAAAATTTCAAAGTAAAATGGAGCTTTCTTTATTAAATTTCAACCATTGATTAGTTAAAAAAATATACTTATTACATGTTAGATTCGAATAGTTAAAATCGAGTTGCAAGAGACACAACATTATTTTTTTTTCTTAGAATAAAAAGCTTCGCAATCTCATGCGTAAGACTCAAACAATAATGTATCTTCTATATGATGACAAGCGAAAACTTTTATCACCGGTTGATCATTATTCATCTCGTGTGAATTTCTTACGATCTGGCCGAACATTTAGATAAAGCTAATTTGGGATAGTTTATATTATAATTAATTATTAATTAGGTTTTCTTAGAGTGAGATTCGTCAACTTTATTTACTCGTGCGCTTTGTCGATGTGAAAGGTCTCTGTGAAAAAAGTACGACGCTTTTGTTGTATGTATGTGTGTAATACGAATTTAGAACTATCTTTAATCCTTTGTTCTCGTGTATGATATACACAAACTACCCGAATTAATTTCTAACAACGTCAAAGGCGTTCCTTAACGTGCTCGATACTTATTTCCCGATTTAGGGGAATTTGCTCGTGGTCAGATTTGAACATGAAAAACCATTTTCTAATGAAGTGCATAACTTTTATATACAATCGTCAAAAGCGATTACGCAGAGATTAACAAAAGAAAGAAACTCCGCTAGATGAAAATTGTTGATATATCTCGAATTGTTATTCTGCGATGTACTTGTGTGCAGATGAATGTTTTAGAGACGAAGAGGAGAGAAATGACTGCGTTAAATGTTATAACTGTATAAAAGTATATCGTGTAAAATGTATAAGTATACAGTATATGTATATCGGCTGGCGAAAATGTGTATGTATGTGTGCACACGTATGAAATACGCGATATAAATTTTCTGTTCAATCTAATAACGCGTATTATTCACTTGAGAGGGTAATATAGTGATTGATCTTCTTCGATTTATACTGCACCGTGTATATGGCGAATTGCATATCAATAGACGCTTCGGATATAAATATGAAGTAAAAGAAAGTGTAAGAGCATTAAATTATATAAGTTAATGTAATGACGGATAAATGAAAACAAACAAAAAAAAGAAGTTAACTCAGAGAAGCATCCAAAATAAGCGTGCAAAGCGTACTGTGTTGTCACGTAAATACAAATAAATTTTCTCCTATTTGTACCATACAATTAAGCGTGTCACATATTGTTCCATTTAATTATATTTTTAAAAAATTGATATCAATAGCAGACGCATGTGCCTGTAGTAAATATTTGCATGTTTATATTTTATATAATTATGTTTATATGTCGATTATTTAAAGATTTAATTTTATAATTATGATTGACATATTCATTGATAGAGAAATGTATATCAAATTATTGGAGAATTTTTTAAAAAGAAATTATAGTTTGTGAGAAAGGATAAATCATACATTTTATTTATAATTATCTATTTTTATTAATTTATTAAGGAATGTCAATTCTTAAATCAAAATATTTTTTATGAGTCTAGTGGAATTTCTTTTTAAAATTTTCAAAAAAATAGATTTGTCTCATGCGATTTTCTGTTTTATATACTATGATAATCTGTCATTATCGCATAAAATATAGAGCGTAGAGAAATATAGAGAGAGAAAGCGAACATCTAAATTTATTTATTTTTGTATATATATATATTTATACATTTAAGTTTTTTAAAATCTAAAATACATAAAATTAAAGTCCTTTTTCTGTTTATTTAAATCTTACTATATTGAAATGACACCAGATGTCGCTATTTCTTTCGGATCGCGTTTGAAGCATCGGAGCTCCCTTCTATGAAGTTTTAGTTCATGACATTATTAACTCGCGCGCAGGCAGGACGCAGGAACGTTTGGCGGTAAAAAGCGACGCAATGTTTCTCTTTAATCTTTGGATTTCCTTTCTCTAGGACGCAGGTATTACATTTTTTCCTTCAATTTTTCGTTTCTAGATCGCAACGCGATGATTAAATTGTCTTGTCGCGTCTTCATAAGAGTCAAAAATTGCTCGAGTATCGTGTCGCTTTTTTCGCCACTGCGCATCTTGTCTGCGCAGAAGTTTTACAGTGCACATATATATATTTTACTTGCATCTAATCGTTTCAAATTGTGCGTATTAAGCGTTGAAAAAATGATAAATTCGGTTCTATCTGATTGTACAGTCGTTTTTATTGTCATCTTATTATCAGCATCAGTCATCTGGAATCTGGAAGATTGTTTATGGACAATAAACAAACATCGCTTTTTCATCATATATATCATCTCACAATTCGATTTCGTCGACTACATCACATGAAACGAGGAAATCTTGGACGTGTTTCTGAAATGATTTTCTTTTCTGTTGCCTCAGGTATGTAATTGACAAATTTTTCTGACAGATTAATCTAATCTGTCGAGAGAAATAAATATATATTTATTGCACATGATTTATGAATTGAGTAGGAGGATATGAAATATTATATACATATATACTTTTTAGGCTTTCTAAATCCGAAAATAATATATATATATATATTTTGTTTGATTTTTATCGTTTGACTCTTTTCAATGATTTATATATATTTAGATTAAAAACGCACAGTAAAACAATCGAATCTATATCTTATCTATATCTATATCATCATAAAATATTTAACATATTACAAAATAAAATATACTTTTTCTTGAATTTTAAATTAATAATTATTAATAAAAAATTGCATTGTATCGCTTTTTATTATACTTAAATTACTCGATCCTAATGAGATTTATATATATTGTATATTGTGTTAGAGAGAGAGACTTGCTAGAGTTTTATTTTAAAATATTTAAAATATATATGTGTTATATATATAAATATTTTAATACATATATTTTAAGTATTTTAAAATAAAATTTAGTAAGTCTAACAATATATAAACCTCATTATTATTTTTAAATGCATTATGGCTTATTTTGATATTATATATATACTTTAATTACTTGATCCAATGCTTGATCCAATTTTTTAATACTTTTTAGGCTTTCTAAATCCGAAAATAATTAGTAAATAATTAAATTTAAATGTGATTAATTGTATTGATTAATACATGCATAATCGACTAATCGATGATTATTTGTTTTAGTGAATAAGTGTCATATTTTCATAAATAAATGCCACGAAGGAGTGACAGAAAACAAACAGGAGAGCAGGAGCATCGTGTTATACACGTGAGTTTTAAATTATTTTATACCTAATCTCTCTCTTACGATAATTTTGCAATGATGCATAGTAAGTAAATTTTGGTCAAACTATTTATTTTTATAAATGGCTTGAATATATTATAAACATATAGGATATTTCATAATTCGCGAAAAAAAATGTAAGAAAGTTCCCAAGAAATTAAATAACATTAGTATTGGAGATTTTTTAAATTTAATTTTTGTAATATATTTTAAATTGAGATGACGAAATTATGACGAATAATGATAAAAATTCAAGATAGAAAAAAATTTTAATATAAAAATATAAAAGTCTGTTGTTTACGATAAAATATCTGATTTATTATAATAATTTTTACAAACTTTTCACAATAAGTTTATTAATATAGGCCTTAAATATATTTTGTGCAAGTATGTCTTTTTGTACATATAAGTATTGTATAAGGATTTATATTCCTTCGAAAAATAACGCGTCAAGTTACGATTTTTGAAATATCGGTCCAAAGAGGTAGATTGCCTGGCAATTGTCGTCGGGATTACCGAGAAATTGAGCGTATAATTCCTGATAACGTGATAAAATCAATCCGCCGCGCCTTCTATCATCATCCTATCAACGTAATGATTACAAGTTATTAGTTTTGATATTTAAAGTAATTATTTTTGATGAGATATGCATGCATTCTTTGAAAACATGCGTTTCCTTCGAACAAACTTGAAATATTTCATTAAATTTTTTAAATAGTTTTTTTTAATAGCAATGAAAAATACAATAAAGTTAAATTAGACGAAATAATAATAATTGATTTGATTGACTTGTATAAACCATAAAATAAAATTAATAACTTACATTCAAAAGGCTTTGATAAGCTTTATCGAGATCATCTATGCTATCCACTGCGATCCTTAACGAAACGCAGCCATATCGAAATTCTTCGGCGCCGATTACACCATCCTCTAAAACAGGCATTACAAAATTCAATAATTTTTTTATTGGAAATTATAATTAAATTGTGTGAGTACTTATCTCTTCTACTAGAGAACTTAATATTATATAAACACGCTGAAGAAAAATTTATTAACTTGACTAAACCGTCCAACTAAATTATTATTATGTTAATTGACTATATATTGGCATTTAAGTCAAATACACATGTTTTGTTAAATTTAATGTTATATTTAATTTAAATATTTTTATATGTTTAATTAACAAAATAATATTTAGTTGAACGATTCAGTCAAGTTAACAACTTTTTTTAATGCAAATGATTTTTTTAAATTCTATTTTGACTGAATAAAATAACATTTATGTTCTTTAATTATTAGAAATATATTTTACACGCAAATGGATCTGTTATATGAAAATTTCTGACAATGCGAGACATTGCTTGAAATCTTTCTTACAATTAGAAACAGTCTTTAAAAAGATAATCTGCTGAACGTCCTTATTATGAAAATGTCAATAGTACAATAAGTTTGGACATAAGCCATTTGATATAGCTGATATTTTATAATTATTTCTTATGTCCAAAATTAAAATTGAAAATAGAAAACTTTTGTCTTGATGATATTCAGCAGATTTGGCTTTTTTAAAATTATTTTTAAAAAAAAGATTTTAATTTTATTTAATACGTTTAAAATAAGAGAATTCAATAACTGTAAAATCAATTACTTAATTTTGAGAATGAGAAAATCATCTACTTTAGAAAATAATATCCAATTTTGCAATTTTTAAAAATTGATTTTAGTTTATAATTAGCAAGAATAAGTAATAATTTATTTATTACTGTCCGCATAATATGTTTGTCGTTTCGTATAATTGTGAATATTATACGATACCATTCATGTCAAGAATTTTGAAATGGCTATCGATGAACATCTTCATAGCTTGGGGAAAATCATTATAAGAACGTCCAACGCAGCTACTTTGGACGGCTTTTTTAAATTCTTCTATCGTTACAAGGCCATCCTAGACAAAAAATATTGCACCCAAACTATTATTATTTCATTGGCATATATATGTATATAATATTTTTTATTAATTTAATTTAATAAAAGAATTGAACTTAAAACTGAGAAAAAATAGTAAATATAGTAATTAATTCTAAATTAATAAAATAATTTTTTAAATTGATTTTAAACTGTATCAAAAGAATTATTTTATTAATGTAGAATAATTACAAGATTTTCTTAGATATTTTTTCTCTTAAATTCTCAGGATCTTTACATTAAATTAAATTTATTAAATCTATAACGTGTAGGAAATTCAATTGGATCAATTATTTACCTAAATATTTAGATTTACAAAATATAATGTTTTCGTTCATGTTTTAAAATAACTTTGCACGAAAATGTTGAAATAAACTGAATTTATAGTTGTCCAATTAAATTATAAAACAAAAAACATAAGTAACACACGTATTTGCCAAAAAATTGAGAACAATTCCGCATTGTCGAAGAAAGATCATTAAAGATAATTGTTTGGAAACTCGTAAAGAAGATTGCAACAAATGTAATAAAATATATACATAGACACATATACATCACAAAGATGGTCTCGAGTTACAGTCTCGAGCTCAAATATTTGAAGAATTTAAAGTGCAAGATGTAAATTGTGCCAGGAGAGATAGCCATCTATCATAGAAACAATGTCTAATTGTAAGCATACCTTATCGAAATCCGCCAAATCAGCTATCTCTTCCCACAGGGACATCATGATATGGAGATTTTCTTGATATCGACTGTAATTGAAATCGCCCTTGCCTTCGATCAGCGTCATTCTCAATGCCATGCATTCGAAATCGTGCTTGTCCAAATATCCATTGTCATCTATATCTGCAGGATGATGTTCGTCTAAGTGCACTTCTTTTGAACTATGGATTCTTTCGTGTTTTTATTTACAACTATGTCGAGACATCAATATCTTTTAAGCAATTAAAACAAATAATTTTTTCAAAATTAATTTTTTAAAGAAAGAAATAGATCTTAATAATAAATAGAATAAGAAAAATAGATATAATAATAAATAAAAATCTTTTTTTAGATGATTTCAGGTAGATTTTACTTTAATAAAAAATTTGGAGTTTTTAATTAGTTATAATCATTAATATATAATATATATAATCATAATTAAAAAAATGTTACGCTAAAGTAATTTTTTGTTGACATTTTCGCTAAACGAAGATTTCGAATTAGTCGAAGAATCTACAATTCAAAGAGAATATGTTAATAAGTATCCTGTATAGTCGATTTCACTCTTATTTTGCATCCCTTGACATACTAACAATAAGATACATATAATGAAAAGATTAAATGAGAGAGGAAGAAACAAAGTGTCAGATATATTTTTTGAGAAGCATTGAATAATTTTTACATATTAATCTTTTCAATTATTGTTCCAATAAATTTACTTACCTATTAATGAATATCCCTTTGCCTGTCAAAATTTCATCATAATAGCAAGAATAATAATAATTATAAATCAGTTTTTTTAATAGAGAATGAGACTGTTCTGCAAAAGTAAATTCTAAATTGAAATATTTCTTATTACGAGAAAATAATAAAGAAGAGTTTAAATTTCTGAAAGCTATCATATTATGCTTTTATTGTATAATTTTTGAGTAGTATATATACATTCTTTAGCAAAGATTTTTTTATTCTTTTTTTTACTTTTAAACCCTTCTTTTATACTTTTTCAGATCTTTTAATCTTAAAATTAGATTATCGACTTGTTTTATGCATAATCACAGAAGATAGTTCACTCTCTATTTTTTATTAGAGATTCATTAAATTGAATTCTCCAGACGATCATTAATCTTTCATTGCTGCATTTTTTACAATGTTTTATTCAGGTATAAAATGATTTAAATGATACATTTTTGCTGTATCTAAATTTTCTATCTACTTTTTCTAATATTTTTGCACTATAATTCGAATATTTTATAACCGTTTGACTAATATAGCCATATAAAATAATTTCCAAACAGTAGAAGATAAAAGAAAATGTGATTTCTTTGTCATTTTTAATAAGGAATAATAAATGAGGAAGAATCATCAAGAAATATCAAGAGACAAGATTCTGAACACAATTTTTCAAAATTAGTTAAAGCTTATTTTACATTTTTGAAATAAACACATGATTTTTTTTTAATATTGATCAATTTTTTAATATTCATTTTTTTTTAGTTTTCTCTATAAAAATATTTAAATTTACAACATTTTTTTAAAACATTTAACTATCTAAATAAATTCTTATTTCTATATAGAACTATGTAATATTTTCAATAGAATTAATTCCTTTCGTTACTATGTGTATAAAAATACACTATAATAATCAAGTTACAGAAAGAATTATATGTATTTCTACTTACTCATAAACGTAAAATTTTGTATTTAAAAATTGAGACAAATGTTTTTTTAATTATTATTAGATTCCATTTAAAAAATGACAGAGATAAGTCCTGTTATTCTTGTACTTTCTATCGTTTTTTAGCACTTATTTTATATGGAACTTTAATTGAGAAATCTATAATCAATTGCCACGATATTGTCATACCACGTGGTCTACATATACACACGAAGGAAAAGCACATATGAGAAATGCAAGATAATGCAAGAAGATGTATTTGCACGATAATACATATTCGACAGAGGAGAAAAATATTGTATTTTAATTAATAGATGGAGAAAAGAAAAATATTGCGCGTGCACGTTTCATAAATGAAAATTGTACGGAACAATCTATTGTAGACGCAAATTTTATTATGCTTTTGTGTCACAAAACAAGTTCATTTATCTTACACTTTTAATTTGTACATTTACAGAAAATTCTCCAATTTTTGCTCATCAGTATCGCGATTTTGATACATTTTTTTCGTACAATCACAGTTTTTTTTTTTAATAATTGTCCTCTGTCGCAAATCTATATCGACTCTTGCAATATCTTTCGCATCTACTAACCATACAGAAACTTCACTATGAAATTAACGCGGTTATCCCAGCTGTACGCCATCCCTCTGTTTTTTCTCTTTTAAAAAAAAACTCTTAGGCGCGAAATATCAAGAATTTCTTCCGGATCGCGACGAGCTCGGATCGAAATGCTTCGCGGATCCACGCTCGGAAATCGAAAGCACGTGAGGAAATTTAAGTGATTCGAGAGGATGGTGGTTTCGCACTGAACTCGGCCGGAGTGTCGCCGGCTCTAAACTTAGGCTATCCCCTCTGAGCGAGGGATACAAAGATCGGGGAAGGAACTCAGGTGATGGTGGAGGCAAAACAACGCGTCTATATCGAATTTATCCCTTTGACATCCATGAAACGTTTTATAGATCTCGTCCCACCCTTACGAAAATTCTTCTTTATCCGAGCACTATTTCGTACTATCGACTTGCAGCACTTTTCAACCATTTTCTCAGCAATTTTTATAGCACAATCTTTATATAAAACTTTCCTCTAGAGTTTTTCAAAATTAAAGATGATGTGCTTATTAAAAAAATTTTTTTTCAACAATCTATTACAATTTTAATATTTAATTAATTTATTTATTTTATATATTATATATCTTTTAAAAAATATATAATATATATATATATATATATATATATATTTTATAGCAAACGTGTACATCATTTTGACGTCAAATGATGTCACATATAAAAATCATGTATAAAAAAATAGAGATGTATAATATAAAAAATAAATTAATTAATCAAATATTAAAAATGTAGAATTATATTTAAAAAATTTACTTGGATATACATCTAAAATTGAATGCTTATTTTTCTCTTTCTCTATATCATGTATAGTTTATATATATCTTTATCTTGAAATTTTTAAATGAATACTTGTATTGAATCTTTGCTCGAAGTTATATAAAAAAATTTAATTATTAAACCGCTATTACCATATATTATTTATTTTTTAATGCGCAATGTAAAATACGTTTCTCATAAAATTTGAAAAAAGTCGAGAGCACTTTATATATGCATATATTAATGATGTGTGACTTCTGGAAGTAAGTCCCAGTCAACGCATAACAGGAAATTATCAATTATCTGCTTGCATTCGTACAGATCGCGCGGAATGAAGTATGCAAAATCGAGATATCTCCATTTCCGCCTTTCTAATTCTTGTTGACGGGAACGGATCTAAATTCTAATTGAGCCGACTTACGTTGAAGCAGATCGGAGCAGTCCGAATTTAACTGAGACCCTGCTGAAATCAGACTCTCGACCGAGAACTTTCCTCATGCTGTGTCTTGCACGTATTTAAGGAAATACTCGAACCCATATTTTCTTTCGTTATTTGAACATTATTTTTCGCAAGACAGCAGGTCAAATATTTTCAAAAGGAAATGCACGCGTCATCAAAGACAAAGTCTTAATTTAAAGATAAAAGAAAAATAAAATATATAAAATTTTATATTACTATTTGAGTACCAAGTTTTATAAAAGTTTTGTTGAATACGATTTTAGATAGAAAGGCACTGAAAAAAAATTTGTTGTCAAGTTAATCGTTGCAATATTTTTTAAACACTGATTGTTGTATGAATCTGTGGATAGGAATATAAAATTTATTTCGAAAAAAATAAGTCGTATTAAGAAATTTAAATATTTATGATATGTATATTGCATTTTTGATATATTGAGCTTATAATTCTTAAATAAATGGAGCCGTGCATAAGATTAATATACATTATATATATATATATATATATATATATATATATATATATATAAAATTAAACATCTCTTACAATTTATTTAAATTTCTTCTTATTCTGAAGCGGATTTAAATTTCTTATTTAAAGTTTACTAAATTAAATTTCTTCATATTTAGAAGCAGATTTTTTCATGCGAAAATAATTTTCATTTATTATTAATAATTATATATATAAATATATTAAAATATATTAGCTAAGTATATATATAAAATGAATAAAAATTTATAAATTAATAAAATAATTATATATACATATATATAATTATTTATTTTGACATTTGTACAAATAACTACTAATTAATAAATTTGTATTTATTTTATATATATAATTATTTATTTTGACAATTGCATAAATGAATTATTAATTCAATCATTAAATTAAAAAATGTTTAAATTACATATATAATTGTTTATTTTGACAATTGTGGAAATAATGGTTAATCAATAGATTTTTGAGAAAAATGTCCCATATGCGCCGGCCGTTCTTCTTCTCGCAGCATTATTCTAATTTGAACGGAGGTCACGTTCGAAGTAACACGACTGTGCTACCTCGATTTATCTTCTTGCTCCCGCGTGAATGTATTTTCGTACATAGTCCCCGTGTCCTCGGTGGAGACGGTGGACCGTCACGAGACACGCGTGATCACGCTCTTTGTTGCCGATGATGCGGAAATGGGCTCGTGCGTTAATAAATTATAAGTATTTGTCTACTTCGATGACATTTTCAAGCGTCTTCAATCCGCGAGAAACATATCGTGTTAGATCGTAAACTCTATATTCGTTTCATACCGAAACTGAAAAATTATAAGTATTTGTCTACTTCGAATCGATGACATTTTCAAGCGTCTTCAATCCGCGAGAAACATATCGTGTTAGATCGTAAACTCTATATTCGTTTCATACCGAAACTGAAAAACAGATGCGGCATAGATGAAAATTGCGCAAATCGGACATTTTTTAAATTGTAAATCAAAAGACACGGTAGTGTCTTGCGACCAGGGTATCAATTCTGCAACTTTTTCTAAAGTGAAAACATGAAAAGTGATAAATTTCCGCCAATCACGCATTGATTTTAAAATGAAATCGATGTGCGATTGACGGAAATTTTTCACTTTTTACGTTTTTACTTTAGAAAAAGTTACAGAATCGATACGCATTTCCGATGTTCAATTTTATACACACGTGTTCTTTCTAATGTAACATATATATTTACAAAAGAGATTCAATAATCGTTCTTTCGGAAGTCTCTTGGATAACTTCCAAATTTTACATTTAAGATTTACACAATGTGTGTCTATTACACTTCGATTTTATTATCTTTATTTACTACGGGCTCAAAAAAGTCATCAAAAAATGCATTATATGTATTTCTAACTTGTAAATGTCATCTATTAATGACTCGCGAAGAATTAATTTGTTTAATTTATTAGTATAAATTAAAAAAATTAAATTATGAAATTATAAAATATAAAACTTTAATTTGTTAAAAATGTTGTAAATAGAAAAATTAAGGTAGAGAACAATATATTTGTTTGGTTTAATTTTCTTAAGGCTTTTTGGTTCTAAATAAAATAATTTTAGGGTCTAAATATTAATTACTTGTTTTATGTTTATATTACATATTACATTGGATTAAAATATGAAATATATTTTGCAGAGCAGTCTCTATTTTATGATGTTTCTCTCTTTCTTCGTCTTTCTTTTTCTCTTTCTTTCTCATATATAATATGATAGAAAAATCTACTTATGTAAAAGAAATTATATAAAAAAATTATATTTTATTAAAACAAATCGACATTTTAGTTTCGAGAGAAGTGCATAAGTTTCAAGGAAAACTATTTTTCTTCATATTAAGTGATTGTGCACAAAACACAAACTTTAAATTTAACTTGATTAATATAATTAATTAATGTTAAACTTAATAATAATAATAATTAAATTTTTATGAAGCAAAAATTGATTTCTTCTATTAAGGAAAACATACAATTTGGTTACAATTATGTAGTTCTAGTTCTTTAATGAGAAAAAAGAGAAAAAAACAGATTCATACTTTCGCGTAGTCATGATGCACATCAAGATAATTCATCAGAAAAGTGTGTTGCTTCACAGTTGGAAGATTTGCGATTTCTTGTTAAAAACGATCCCCTTTAAAATTTTTGTGTTAAATATTTAACACATTTATTATGTGTTAATTTAAAATATTGCTGTTGTGTTCATTGAACTCAAATGTTAAATTATTAAAACAATTGAAAAAAGTATAAAAATAACATAATTATGCATCTATTTTTAATTTTACACAATAAATATGTTTTATCTTATTAGTAACAAGATTTATCTGTTAAAATTTACAGAAAAAAATGTTGATTTTATTTTATAAAATAAGGAGGGATGATAAAATGTGAAATTAACATTTTTTTCAATTTAATACTATATGTTAATTTTACACACAATTTATTCCAAGTTTACTTGAAGTTTGCATTTCTTTTATTTATTTTATATTAAAATATTAAGTATTTGTGTCACCATTTAATTTAACATATCTCTCTCTCCGTATTATGTTAAATTAACACAAAAATTTCTGTGGACCATTTGGAACATATGCGATATTTGTTAAATTTGACATAAAAAATGGCGATACACTAAAAAAATTATAAAATTAATAAATATTTATTTCAATACTGTCTTAATAAATTATTTATTTGAAAGAAATAAATTTATCTATCTATTGAAAAGGATTTTTTTATATACCTAAAAATACATATTTTTCACATGAAATAAATATTATTTATAGTTTCAAATAAATGATTTATAAGGCACTATTGAAATAAATATTTATTTGAATCAATAAATTTTTTTTTTAGTGTACATTGGGATTATTGCGCGCGCCAAATTAGAGCTAGCTGTTGAATCGAACGTGGTATAGATTCTTCGCGATTATACACAAGCTTGTACTGTTATTTGGCGAATAGCCCAGCCGGGGTAATAATCGCTGTGGATTCGGTTCCAACTGTGTAAACGGTGGGAATGATGGATGCGCGATTAATCTCGCGGAGAGATAATTAATTAGCACGGATAAATCGTCGCCTTTCGCGAAATTGTCGCGCGATATACGATAAGTGATTTAGCTCTCTCCATCCGAGATATTCTGGATGAAAATTATGCAAAAACCTCCTCTTCACAAGCAGTTGGACAGAGTCGAAAGATTATAAAGATTATTCTTGGTAACTATCCATCAGTTAAATCAGCGAACTATTGTTATTTTCACATCATAGCCTGACATTGCTTTTATGAGAGTCTAGAGGAGCTAACAATCGTCCAAAAATAATGTTTAGCCTGGGATATATTACATATGTTATGTCTTCAACATTATTTAGCTTTATAACTAAGTTTGAAATTATAAACTGCTATCAAAGTCTAATATTTTCAAGACTTTTATTATTTACATTAAAGACTTTTATTATTTATTTGAGTTTCTAAAGTTTATTTTTTTTTAATTATTTATATCTAATCAATTTATACGTAATTTTTAATTTACAAAAATTATTGCAAAACCTCGATTTGTATAAAGGAAAAATTTCTTAAAATTATAACTAAGGAATTTGTCTAAAATTCAAAGAAAGTATGCTTGCTTAGAGTTAATATATTTGAGTGAAAGACTTATCGTGTGTTCTAAATTAATAATTAATGGATTAGACCTTATTTGCTCATTCTGTGGGAAATTTCTTACTCTTTAATAATTTATTAATTCTTAATTAAAGAATTAAATTAGATCTAATATAAAACCATATCGCCAAATGAAAATCTAAAACTGCATTTAATACAAATATAATAAACTTTTTTACCATTTTTTGGATTAATAATATTTTTTATGATTTTTTTAAGTTATCAAATAATTATTTGTGCGCAAATTGATAGTATGTTAATAATATCCTCATTTTAAATGAAAGAGAAGCTGATTGACCGCTTCTGATTGAGTGGGTACATTATTAAATGCGAAAATTTCTTCGATCGAAGACAAAGTATCCAAACATTGATAATTTTAAGTAATTAATGGTTAAAAATAAAACATTTTCTCATAGAAAAAATTATTTTAGCGATGAAAATATGCGCAAATATAACAAAACTATACAGAAAAAGTGTCAAATCAAAATTTATATACTTGTATACTCTGTAAAAAATATGTAAATTTACATAAAAGAATATATAATATATTACATATTTTTTTACAGTATGGACGCTCGAATGAAAACATTTTATATAGTTCAATAAAGAAAAATAGTTATTTAAGAATAATTTTTCTTTTGAAAAAAAGTTCAAATTTTATTATATAAAATAACATTTTATTATATTCTTTAGATGACAATATATAATAAAATTTATAAAAATTATTTAGCAAATTCTATTGCGTTATACTTATATTTTTACTTTTTTTCTGTGGATATCGTGGATATCGTATATTTAATAGTAATTAAAGACAGATGAATTTCAAGTAAACTTTTATATACATTGCAGGATTTCACTCTTGAAGCTTATTGTTAGTTATAAAGGCGTGTTGAAGAGAATGGCAAATCGCGAGAAACCGACGACTCTCACGACCTTCTCGACAAAGGAAAAATCAATCCTAAATTGGCCAAAGAGTGTACATGCCATTAAGCGGTATTCGAAGTACCGGTATCGCAATCACCTAACCAGAGACGAGTGAAATAGCCGGCTTGGTGGAGATCCGTACGATATTAAGCGCAGTGTATACTCGTCATATAAGGCGTGCTTTCGTAAGGGGCCGTCAGTTTGAAAGTGCGAGCTGTCGCGCGTGGAACCCGCGTGAAAGATCCGCGCGCGCGAAAGATCGACATGAGAGCGAAGATCCGTTTCCTCGTGCTGATCGCGTTGCTTGCCGTTTCCGGTGAGTTCGCAATTCGCAAAGGAACTCGCGAGTTTTAGATTTCGAAAAGCATTAAACACTTAAGATCCGGTTGTTTCCTCTATTATTATACGAGTCTGTTTATAAATATAATGTCAAAAAGAAATCATATTTTTAGTTCTGTATAGAAAGGGCATTTTTATAATCACATGTTAAACATATTTAAATTTAATTATGCATTTAATTATGCAGTATTTTTAAATATTAATCTATAATATTTATCGTATAGATTTTTAATTGCAATCAGTAATTAATATCGACAGTGCGCGATAATTTCTTATATCCATATTGATTTTAAATGCGAATAACTTTAATTAACTAAAAAATAACAAAACATTTCTTCCACATATTAAAACTTTCTATATAAGAATAATTTTTGATATTGCAAAGAGAAAAGAGAAACTTATTTCTATATTTATATTATATATATATATGAGATAAAACTCTTCGAAAATCCAATGATTTATTAACTTATAAAAAAAATATAATCTTACAAAAGAAACCATTATCTTGACAGATTTATTACTCATTTATTATTTGTATTTTTATATTACTTAACACATAATTAGAGATCGTATTCTTGCAACATTGATCAGTTTCCATTTATCTAAATATCTAATAAAAGAAAAAATAAAATAAAGAGAAATATTTTTACCCAAGTTGTCATTAAATAAATAATATTGTCAAATATATAGTTTACAATATAAGTAAGTAAATCAAAATTTCCTCTCTTTTATTTCATCCTAAAAATAGGATAGATGAAAAGTAAATTTTTGTCTGATGGAAAAGTTTCACCAAAGGATAAAATTTAAAATAATTTTTTGATGCAGCAAAATAGTATTTATATATAATAAAAACTATAATATTTATACATCTATAAATTTGAATTTGATAATCAATGAGAACGAAGATTCTCAATCTAAAAAAACTAAAACAAAAATTGGAAAATTCTTTTACTCTTTTCCGTTTTATTTGCAGCATCAAAAATTGTGATAATTTTATACAAAGTTCTGATTTTATCAGTTTTATAAAATAAAACATACATATAGATATATTTAAAAGAAATATATAGATTAACTCTGGAAATTTGTTTTGTGTGTGAATAATGATGAGCGCCGAAAGTTTCACTTCCGTTTTTGCATTCGGGTGAAAACGATGGCGCTAATCGCGCGAGATTTCTCTTCGAACGAATATACGTCACACGCTACAGATATCCGTTTCCGAACCGGAACGTGAAAGTATCGCGCACTTGAAGATAATCTTACAGCCGTAAGATATCGAAATCGGTTCAATCAGTAATATTTACTTTGTGAAAATCATCTTCTTTTCTTATATATCTATGTAAAATAATTTTTTTATTACGAATCTTATACAAAATGTTTTTTTCTCTTTTTTTTTATACACATTATGTCTTTCTTAATTATAAATTCTTCATTAAATATTATATATATTTTTTTACTTTAAATTTAAAAAAATCTGGAATTGTTTTCCTTCATAGAAAAATAACGAAAAATTAATATTTTATTTACTTTATTTAAAAAAGTAATATAAAATATAAAAGAATATTCTCTCTCCGAATTAAACGTGAAAAGGATTGATTGCATATCTTAAACTTTTGTCTGAGAAAATCGCTAAAGAATTTATTCGAATGTATGAAGAAGTCATTAATATTCTTTGTAAATAAATGAAAGATTAAATTATTACCAAATCAAAAAGTTCTTGTTACAAGCGGATTAATTTTGCAATAAGTGAATAATAGCTTCCTTAGTTGCATCATCAGTTATCAAACATCTTGTATAGGATATATATAAGAAATTATAAGAAATAAGTTATAAAATCTATGAAAATATCATAAATGGAAGTTTTAATGCATACTTTAATTATTATTCATTGAATTCGCAAAAAAATAATTATTGGTTATTAATACTGAAATATTTAGAAGCGTGGTAAATGTGGGTCGGACAACTAACATCTCCGCATCGTGATGTTTTTTTTCAGCAAATATCGCGGCGGAGAAAGGAAAATCCGGAGAAGTCCCTTGCATAGACGACAACAAGTTCTACCGAAATCCTAAAACACCATCACACAATGTCTGGTCACCTACAGAATGTGCCAAATATTTTCTCTGTTTAGGTAATTATAAAATTATACGAAAAAAATTCATATTTAAAGATTGACCGTCCATTTAATCGCTCGTCTCTCTGTCAAAAATTTAGAAACTTGACCATTTTCTTCGAGCAATGTTAATATAAATAATAATATATATGTTTTTAATCAACAATAAATTGTATGAAATAATTAGATCAAAGAATATATTAATTATTAAAATTTAATATTTTAATTACCAGTTTTATTTCTTTTTTAATTAGAAGTTTTTTATTTCATTTTTTTACATGTTTTTAATATATCTATAGGAAGAATTTATGAAAATAATATTTGTAGTCATAGTTTTCAATTATTCAATATATTAACATATTTTTGTTATACTTATATGATATAATTATATACTATATTTTTTCTTGTTATGTTTTTTAATGAGATATTTTTACACACAAGTTTCTGGGTTCAAAAAATATATGTACTTTATAATATTATTTCTTATGTATAATTATGTATTATTTCTTTGATTGAAACAATTTATGTGTGAAGATATAAATAATCATATTGTTTGCTTTGGTATAAAATCTGAAAATATACGATATGTGTAATTAATCCGAAATTACACGTGTCAAATCATCATTTCAGATAATGAAGTATTCGAATTCAAGTGCTCGCAAGGACTCCTTTTTGACGTCTCCAGGCAGATTTGCGACTTTAAGACAAATGTCGATAATTGCGACATAACTTCAGGTATAACTTTAGATTTAGCTTAAAACTAACAATGCTGTATGTACGTAACTATATACATACTGTAAACGGAATAAAGACCGTCTGCGAACCTTACATCGATTTCTACTCGCGTAAGAAAACGATCGAATGTTACACACGTAACTATTACTTTCACTTGAAAAATCATGCGGCGCAGCGATGATGAGTTAATCTTCTTTCTTTGTTTAACAGTTAAATCTTTCATTGATAATTTTAATTTACGTCTATCATATTAATATCGAATGCCCTAACTTTAATTTTTAACTTTAAAACTAAATTTGTTGTCGTAATCTGTCGAATAAAATTGGAATTTTTCGGGAACAAAGATATCCATAAAGTTGATATTTTCAAGAATATAAGCATTATTATTACATGTGTTACCGAATGGTGATGTGAAATTTTAAAAGCTTCTTGTAGATGCTCAACCAGCGAAGCCGTTGCTGAAGAAAGGCGAGTGTGACGAGAAAAGTCTGGCATGCGGAGATGGCACGTGCCTTCCGGCTCTATATTTCTGCGATGGAAGTGTCGATTGTCCTGACGGTTCCGACGAAGGATGGTGCGGTAAGAGATATACCACTTTTACGATTTCATTGAATAATAATTCGATTTTGAATAGGTGAGGTAAGATTCTAAAATCAAAGACTTGATATGCGTATAAAATTTGGTCTAAACAGAAGGGCGCGTAACGCGTTTGAATAATAATTAATAATATAAATAATTGAAAGAAAATTTAATTAACTATAGTTTTTATATTTTATTTTGTGAATCGCTTTCTTCTGTTGTATGAAGGAGAAATTGCGATTTTGTTTTGATTTTACGGTAAAAAAATTATAAAATAAGGATTTTTATGGTACGCGTTAATTATTATTAATATTATTATCATTTATCTGTTATAGATATGCGACATGATACAAATGCTGCGCCGGCGTGTGACACGCAAAAATGCCGATTGCCAAATTGTTGGTGCTCCAAAGATGGCACTCGAATTCCAGGAAATCTCACCGCACTCACTGTTCCACAAATGATAACGATCACTTTCGATGATGCTGTGAATGATGAAAACTTTGAACTTTATTCAAGTAAGAAGCTTATTAATCAAATTAATTTAATAAAAATAAAATAAAAAATTAAAATTAAATTAAAATTAAATTAAAACTACAAATTAAATTAAAATTAAAAATAAAATTAATTTTGTTACCTTGAGATTCTCAAGAGCCAAATTGATCACTTTAATTTTTTGTAAATTTCTTAAAACTGATTAGTTTGGCTTCTGATAAACTCATTTGTAAATACGCACATATTCAGATATTTTAATGTTCAGATATTAATCATTTTTCTTAATAATATGGAAATTTGTTTGAAAATAAAAATAAAAATGTTAAAAATATATAAAAAGGAAAAAATAATAGCAAATAATCACATTTGCAGAAATATTTACGGACGACAGAAAAAATCCCAATGGCTGTCCCTTAAGAGGTACTTTTTATATCAGTCATCAATACACGAATTACAGAGATGTGCAGTATTTATGGAACACCGGCCACGAAATAGCTGCACATTCCGTTACGTGAGTATTTTGAACAAGATCTTGAGAAAGAAAAGAAATTAAGAGATGAGACAATATTGTTTGATTTGCAAAATAAATTAAGGATTATTACTTAGGCATCGCGGACCAGAGGAATGGTGGTCGAAAAACGCAACGATCGAAGATTGGTTCGACGAGATGGTCGGGGTAGCAAACATTATCAAGAAATATGCAGCTGTTCGTCTCGGCGATATCAAAGGTAAAAATCTCAATTTAATATAATTAATGATTAAATAAAAAACGATTTATATATATATATATATATATATATATAAAGATCATTATTGAAAGAAAGTCTTACAAAAAATGTTACATTATTTATATTTATTGTGCAATTGGATATATAAATTTCAATTACAATTCAATTAATTTATTATTTATTATAATGAATTTAATTCAATTAATTACATATAAATTTCAAATATGTCGTTTTTCCTTGAGATGAGATGACAATAAGTGTTTATGTAGCTTATAATGTCGGTAGGGATAAGGGCTCCCTTTCTGCAAGTCGGATGGAATCGTCAGTTCCTGATGATGTCCGAATTTGGCTTCGTTTACGATTCCTCAATCGTAGCACCGTTCTCGGATCCACCTTTGTGGCCCTATACGCTCGATTATAGACTGCCACATGCGTGCGTTCGCGCGGGACAGTTTTGCCCGACTCGTTCCTACCCGAATATCTGGGAGCTACCGCTAAATCAACTTTTGGCAAATGTAAGTAAATGCCACACTCGACAGATTGGAACGTTTCTCGTTTGTTGATAAGTACTAAGTAAAGATGAAAAGCTGAGCTCGTAAAACTTTTAATATAAGATTGTTACGCACGCGCAAAATAAATTGCGCAATTTCCAAAATATATGTATCTTTATAAGAGACACAAATCTTTTCGTTAGACTCATAATCATGATTTATCGAAATATATGAAAACCAATAGAATAAACATTTAAATTTTCATCAAATGATATAAAGATATATAAATGTAAATATCAGAACATTTATTTATGATACAGTTTAAGATGAATATAAGCATTTACAGTAAAATTTCTTATTTTTAACATGTACCAAAGAGAGAGAATTTGGAATTGTTAAAAATATATAGAAATAACTCAAATTAAGGAAATATACAGATACAAGATTTTTGAAATGTGATTTGATTAAAAATTATGACACTTATAAATTATTTTATAAATTATTTTATAAATTATTTATAAATTATTTTTAATATCTATATCAATTTTAATCTTTGTCTGTATTTCTTTTATTATAGAGCGATCTAAAGATAAAAGATCAAAAATAATTCTATATAAAAGTACTAATTATTCCACTAATTTATGTACTTTATTGAAAAATGATTTATGCACTTTATTGAGAAATGATATTTCTTGAATTTTTATTTAGGAATATACTTGCACCACTGTGGACTCGTGTCCTTCCAATTTATCTGGTGAAGAAATTTACAAGATGCTCATGCTAAACTTTAAGAGACATTATCTCACCAATCGCGCGCCTTTTGGTCTACACTTTCATGCATCATGGTTCCAAAATCCAACATATTTTTACGCATTTAATGTAAGTATAATTTTAATAAGTTACTTTTTTTGTATAATTATTATCTAATAAAATCAATGTACTTATCTTACGTTAATTAATGTCATGTTCATCTTTTTAATTAATTTGTTTGCAAAAAATATTTATATTTTTCTTTTATTTTTAAAAAATTATAACATCAAAAATTACAGAAATTACATATATTCAAGATTTTTATAACTATTACATAAAAATTGTCTAATTTTCCTAATTTTGCTCTATTAATATAATTTAGCAAAGATGATTATTTCAATTTAATCAACCAATAATACTTTTTTAATTATTCAATTAACCAATATTTTCTGTAATTAGAAATTCATCGATGATGTACTTCAGCTGGATGATGTATTCTTTGTCACGAGTCATCAGATTGTGGAATGGATGCGCAGGCCAACATCTCTGAATGAAATTGAAAAGTTCAAACCATGGCAGTGTACAAAACGGCATTTTGAACCATTTGAAGTCGCCTGTGATTTGCCAAAGAATTGCAAATTATCCAGTAGAGTGCTCAAGTCGTACAGGTATTTACACACGTGTTTTGAATGTCCGCAACAATATCCGTGGTTAAGAAATGAATTTGGAATCGAGTGAAAACGTGGTAAAAGCAACGTAAAACTTATTCTTCTATGTTGCTTGTACATCGTTAGAAGTTTACGCATAGTACCTTATTTAGATATAAGTGTATTATTTATTTTATTGTAAACAGTTGTAAAACTATGTACTTTTTTTATAAGAAAATTGCATTTATTTTCTAGATACATAGGTAAGCTTCTTTAATTATCAATATGAAGCAAAATAAATTATATTTTCTTTATCATTAGAAAAATGGAAATGGTTCAAGATTTTTAGTTATTAAGATAACTTTCTCTCTTAAGATGTAACATCATATATTGGTTGTGTGAAGACATAATCTTTCCTGTTTATCCTTCCTGTTGTATGAATGGATTTTGAATGGATTCCATGCCATCTACGGGACAAATAAGCACTACCGATGTTCCTCTACACACCACCAATCCCAGCATACGAGTGTCCTGATTTAATTTATATGGGTCATCTGGATCTGTATAATTAAGGAAATTGTATGTGTTTCAAGAAACACTCAAGATATTGAATGAAGATATAAAATAGCAAGAGGATGTAATAGAGGTATAATCTATAATCACATTTATAATAACTTGTTATAAGTTTTATGTACCTCTAAGATACTCCTTTGTGTTGTCCAGTACGAGATTTAGTAAGGGATCGTAACCCTTGAGTATACCTTCAGCTTCTCTGCCTCCGGCGAACTTTACCCTTATGTTCTTTTCAAGGTACTTAGATAAATCGAGAATACTCTCTTTCCTCTTCTTCTCTTTGTGCTCGACATTCTGTTGCTATAAAAATGCAAGTACGCTCAGATTCGTGATCAGTTCAGTAACTATATATGTGATGTATTACCTGTTTTGGTGCCTGTAAGGAAGAATAAAGAGGTTAACTTGAGGGTAAGTCTTAACCTAGATTATAGAAAAATGAGAGGTATACGTAATTTCACATTATATACTTACAGACATCCTTACGAGAAAAAAGATTTAACTGCAAATAGTGAATTACTTTTTATAAAGTCAATAAAAAGACATCACAACTTTAAGTAAACTCAGTCGCGCGCGTAGATACTCCAAATTATGTTTGTCGCTCTCTACTCGAATAAGTCAAGTATCGATTATTAGAATCGATCATTTTTAAATTCGAGATTATCGAGAATCGAGAACTCGATATTTTCCAAGAGAAATTTAAATTTTGCATTTGTATTTTAACAATCGTAGAAGTATTTAGCATTTTTTCAAAATATATTTTATTTTTTGTAAATCGTTAAATCTGGTTTTAGCTTATTGCATGCGCATGTCTTCTTAAATATAACTCAAATTATAAATAATTTCTTGGAGTGAAAGAAATATAAATCAGTTTAAAATGAAACATTCTTATTTGCATAAAGAATTACAAATAATAAATAAAATGAAAAATCTTTTAGACTTTGTACGAAAAACATGCCGTTTTATATATATTTATATTTTTATAAATATATTTATATATGATATGTATTTTATATAAATATATATATGTAATATATATTTTAATATTTATATATAATATAAATGATATATAAATTCGACAAATATACGCAGTAAAATGAATAGAAAAAAGAACACGTCAAGTAAAAGCTTGAATTTATTTATCTGGCTTTATAAAAAAATACATGTCAATGGCATGATGTGTACGTGAACAATGTATGTAATACGATTGAAGTATTATATATATAATATATATGACTTGCTTTTACATCTTAGAATTAAAATTCTATTATTATATTATATTGAGAATATTTTTCAACAACTTCTATATATACGATTATTATTAGTGTCTTGCACGTGTACGGAATCTTTCTTAGGGAACAAGTATAGTTTACAGAGCATATCAGGTGTTTCTTGTCATGTTTCTCTCTTAAAATAAAACAAGGCGCGATAACTCAACAAAAGCCGAGCAGAAAGAAAGAGAAAGTGACACTGCTATTTTCACAATTCGTGCAAATATTTTGCAATCAAATATAAACATATAATATTAATACATAAATATATAATATATAAAATAAATAATTAATAAGCGACAAATCGCTATATTTATGAAACTAAAATATAGTCTAAATTTTTCGACTAGTTTAAATATCTTAGAAAGATACTTTACTTATATATTGTATACACACATATTCATAGACACACGAATAAATAATATTATAATAACATATATAAATAATATTTGACATAAATATGAGGTATCAGGTCGCGGGAAATGAATCATACGATGTTGAGAATTCAAAATATTCGATTATCTTAATTATTGTGCGCGATAACACAGTATATATAGGTATGTATGTACGCTGTGAAATCTAACAATGAGTTTAATTAATTGCGAAAATGTCGCGTAAACTATACTTTAGCCCAGTATCTCTCTTACTGCTACTAGGGCTCGCATGTGATATTTGTTATTACCTCTCGCATGTATCTTCGAAACTAAATGTAATCTCTTTGTATATACACAGGGTGTTTTAGGAGGAATAGCAAAATATTTTGTAAAATTGTGTGTATGAATTTTTTTGTATATTTAGAATAATAATCGGTACTACAATCCTAAAATTTTTATACTAATCCTCCTAAAACACCTCGTATATATACACACTATATGAACTCATGTGTTTGTCTATTAGTCTAGTCTCTGTAGCCTCTGTAACGGAGTTTATTATTTGTTGACGGAATCTGTATATTGTACATCTCGTGTGTCCCATATGTTCAATCATGTCGTTTACAATATTTCTACGCTATTACGCGATATTGTCCAAACTTTTTTTCCCTCTTGATCCGGTTTATTTGGATGGATAATTTCTTTTTACGTATTATTATATCGATAAAACCTATAAGTATGATCATAAAAAGTTCGTCTCCTTATTATATATAACCAGACGGTTACCAAAACTTTCGTAATAATCTATTTCATTCGCGAATAAATTTCGATGTATCGAAATTGCGTTAATTTATATTGACATCTCTTATAGATCAAAAGATTAAAATTATTATCTGTCTTTAACTTGTATACAGTTTCGTAAGTAGAGCTCGAGACGTTCTTTTCGCTGCCGTATATAATTATTCCGACACAAATCAGCTTGTTTATTGTTTCGCTAATTTATGTAAACTAATACACAATCGCGGAAATACGATAAGTCTCCTATATCCTTCCATCCTGATATAATTGGATACGTAAACTTACAATGATTCCGCGTTTGCATGGAAAATGTAATATATATCCCTCGTCATCATCGCGAACTCGAGATGTCTATCGAAAGGAAATAAAGCTGGAGATCTCAAAGTTAGAAGGGATAAGTCTTATAAGACTCATCTCTTTTACATTCTTCAGAAGAGCAAATAGCAATTTTCGTTTGTCGCAATATTCTATTTTTTACTTCTAAGATCCATAAATGATCTTGTAATTTCAGAATCGAATTCTAAAAATGCGCTTACTTGGATAAGGCCTTAACTCATTTCGCCAAAAACGGCTCTAAAATACCTGCAAGTTTCATGAGGATTTTGGTTTGAAAAAGTAGGCGGCACATTAGTGACAATAGATCTGTAGATCTCGTCTGTTCTAGAATCATTTCTCTATTTTGAATTTTTTTCAATACTTATTCTTTGAAAACATCATTGTGCACTTTGTCTTTCACTTTCTCAGTCTAAATTTGATTTAACAATCGTGCGACAAACGTGTGATAGGAGTAAACAGCACAAAAGGAAAATTCTAGTTCAGAAAGAGACAGCTATTTCAAAATAGAAAAAACTCAGGAATAGATGAGATCTACAGTATCTCATTATATCTCGTAGTAAATGTCATGTATGCTTTATCGTACAAGTTAGATACATCCAAAATGTACATTATATATTTGCATATATTTGTGCATCAGACTTACAACTATGCCTGACTATCGTATTTGACTTCAGAATATATTTGATATGTATAAAAAATTAAGCGCACAAATTGGAAAAATTAAATAATCAGTTTTACAATATTAAATTAACAAAATAAAAATGTAATTTAAATTTTTTAAGTATCTAGATTCATCTGGAATGTGCGTAACTTTACGATAAGGTATACATGACAAGTTTCAATACTGGAGCCATATTAAAAAATATTTAGATCATGTGTGTATGTGTGTGTGTAAATGTGTGTATATATGTGTGGATATCGACAACCCAGGTAGCAAGCACACGTCATTTTAACGTCGAATAACGTCATTAGACGTCCTTTTGACGTTTAATGACGTCGGTTTGCTACTTGGGAACCTTCGCGAGGACCTTAGATTCACGCAATGTCGAGTGTGGCACGAATAATTTACACGACCACGTGTCATGTCGACTGTTGATCCTCCTCTTGTTCGGCGAGCAGGGGAACCCCGACGAAGACTGATCCTGATTATTATTGTTCTCGTTCTCGTCTTGCTCATAGAGCAGCGGCACCGCCTGCTGATTGTTGTTGTCGGTCTCCGAGGGCCTCCTGCTCTGCCCCGGCAAGAAGGACATCGGCATCGTTCCCGAGGGTGTCGTCGGCGCGGAACGCGACAACCAGCACCGTTTGGTTTTGCTCCTTTGCGAACTCGGCAAACCCAGCGGCATGTACAGCTTGCCGCGGGTCCTCCTCACCTTGTACGAGCCGACGTCGCCGGGACTCAGAGGCCTTTGTTGTGTAGTACCATCACTGTTGGTTACGTACAGGATCGGGGTCTGGCAATTTGGCTGGAAATTATTCACGGCGGCAGCGTGTCCGTTTGACAAATGGGGAAGTTGCTGTATCTTGTCCAACAATTCTCGCAACTAGAAAACGATAACGTGTTGTGAGGATAAAAATTTGCCAGTAAGACTTTTTAAATATTAAAATTTAATAAAATATTAAATTTATTATTAATATTAAATTTTATATTTTATTTTATTAATATTCAATATTTTATTTTATCAAATTAATTCTATAAAATTTAATATTTTATTACTAAATTTAAATATATAAATATTTAATCATGTCTTATAAGTCTCTAAAGTATTTCTTTACAAAAAAATTGATAAAATTAATGTTAGAATATTTTTGTGCAAGAATATGAGAAAAATATTCTCGTATTTTTAAATATAAATTCGTTCAATTATCATAAAAAATATTCTCGTGATTAATAAAAAAATTTGTGATGATACCTGAATTAATAGTTTCTAAATTAATTTGTTGCAGTGTGGAAGCGTATTTTATACCTCTATTGTCGGGCTGGTAGCCCTCGGGGGAGAGCAAGGCGATTGAGCAGCTAGGCTTGATATGTCAGAGGTTGTTCTGTGATTTGTCAACGAGATGATGGAGCCGACGTCGCCGGTCTCTCTTCTCTCGCACGCCGCTGATAATTCATCGATGCTGTTGTTGCAGGAATACGGCGGCGGAATGATGGTGTTTGCTTCGTTTACGACATTACACATGAAACTGGAGCTCAAGGAATCCAACGTGCTCGCATGAGACAGAGATCTGAAGTAGCGCATCACAAAACCGGAAGTTCCTTTGCCCGTAGTGTCGTCGTAACCGATTACCAGTGGATAAAGGTCTGGTTTCGCCGTCACCTAGACATAAAAAATTTTACAATAAGAGAACCAATAAGCTTAGAATTTATATTGTTGTTTAATTAGTAATTTATTTAGCGAAGCAAAGTAATATAAAAATTTACATATATACATATAGTTACTTGGAAAATTTTATATTTTATACATTTAATAATTTGTAAATATTATATAATATTTTAATTGTATAATATTTTAATATTATATAAATATTACAAATTTATTAAAAAGAATAATTAAAGATTTATTATTATTTAAATATATATTTTATATAATGTAGAAGGAAACGAATGAATTATTTAATAAAGAGGAAACTTTAATTTTTGATATATTTAATATTATAATAATATATGTATATAAATAAATTTGTTGTTGCTTCGCGCAATTTGTGGAAAGAAAGCGAGTGAAAGACAGATGTGCGTGTTCTAAATTAAAATTTATTTGCAGTTACCTCGTTATACGGTGGTGGTAATGCCTGGACGAAAGAACTACATCGACTGTAATGAGGAGGTGGATACCACGGTCCTGTGGAGGTTCTTTCCGAGGACACGGAATCTTCCGACAGCGCTCCACGACGACGTTTCCACAGCCAGAAGCCGCATATTGCAGCTATGGCCAAGGCTGCGAGCACTGCTACCCTGTAAACAAAAAACATTTCGTTATAAATTATTCCATTAATATGATAACAAACGTTATGTAAAATCATATATATATTCTATAAATCATTATATAACAGACTGTTCGAAAACGATGTTACGAAAGTGATCGATTATTGAAAATAAGCGAAAAGGACAAAAGAAATCGTTTCCTTTTCACTTTGCATTCGACGATTTAAATTTTTAATATTATATTATTATAATTTATATAATATTTAATTATTCATATATAATATTATAATATTAAATATGTATACTAACCACAGGTACCAATAAGTCCAAATCAAGAAATTAAACATCTCTGAAACATGAGGATGTACCGGTGTGAAGACACTATAACAACAGCCGAAAGCGCAGCAGTCTTTCGGAGGAGAGCAGCTGAAAAATAACAATTTGCATTTTTTAATTAAAACGTTTCGTCTCGCATATTTTTTATCTTGTTAGATGGGATTTATTACTCTTACTTTTTAGTTGTAAAATAAGGAACTTACACATGCCCTCCATCGCACAGCCTAGAAGACACCTTAAAAAAATAAACAAAAAGTAAAATATAATTATACAATTAATTATATTTTATATTATATTTTTTATAAATAGACAGAATACAAATGTAATATTACTCATAATAAGCACACTAATTATTGAGTTGGGTCTTATAATCTTTTTTATTGAAAATTACAAAATTGTTTAAAGAAAAAAATATCTACTAATTCTAATAAACTTTATTTTTTATTTCAGACAATTATGAGAATAGTTTACGATAGAAATGACGATTTTCGTGATATCTTCTATGAATCGACGAGGATCGCAAAATGATGGACAACCAGTAATGGATAATAGTTAATCTATTAAAGGTCAGAGAGCTACACAATACAAACGCAATTTAATTTATATATACCATATATATATATATATATAAATATCACAATTATGTTCTAAAAGTTTTTAGAATCATTGAATCTCTATTTAATTTTAATTTAAAAAGCTCGCGTTCTATCTTTGGAGATGATTGACTTTAATAAAATTAAATTAATAATAATTAAATGAAAATAATAAATAAATGGAAAAAATAGTCTTTATTTATCGCCGCAAGATCCGTAATTCAATTTTCCGATACATCATTTTTTTCGACAAATAAAAAAATTACCCCTGTACGTAATTTCGTAAAAATTAGACGCACGAGAGTTTGAAGAAAAACGAATTAAAATTTCTCAGTAAAATATTTTCCCGCAATATTTTCACGATCAATGTAACACATAGTTAAAAATGGCATTTTTTCCACAGAATAAATGCGGAATTGCGTTGGCCGATGATGGGTTAAAGGGAGCATGGAAAAGACTTACGCACGAATGACAAGCACAGCGAATGACAATACACGGGCGTGTATTGATCGAGAAGCGCGAGGAGCCGAACGCGGAGACCAGGGGACTCTATAATAAATACAGGAGATGCGAAACGCAAAACATTCATCTCCGACATCGCGTCTTTTTCCTTCCTCTATCGGATCACGTTATCCTAGATGACAAGAGCGTCATCGCGGACCCGATCAGCTCTAAGGAAGTCTTCCTGCGCGTTTTCTTACTTGATCGACGAGCGACAACAGCGTCAACGTCAGCGTGGCCGTCAAGAACGGTGCACCGAGTACCTGAATGCTCCTTGCAGCGATTTGCACCATAATTCTACGTGTCACACGAGTCCACGCGTGTCGTATACGCGTGTACGTACAGCGGAGCTATATATGCGCGTGCACCACCTCCCCGTGCGTGTGTACGACACGCACGTCCAGCACCAGGACGGCACTCGCCGCGTGCTCCTCTCGTCCGTGTGGGTGCGCAGAACCCCTGTCTTCCGCAGCCATCCATGCGCGGCAGAGCGGGTTGCCGCCAGTCGGGCGCAGGCGTGTGACGTAAGTTTCGGAAATATAAATGTCATTCGGTATCTTGTGTATCTGTAGAGAGTCAGTATTTTTCTCTTCTAATGATATTTTCTCGAAATTACGTTTCGATAATAATCTTCTGTTTTGTTTTTATAGGAATAAGTCCGAGGAAGTCAGCTGGGAGATTAAAAATATTGGAATATTCTCTGAAACTGATGGACAAGTGTCAACGAATACGTGCAAGGACGAGCTGGTAGCAGAAATCACAAAACTGCGCGTTGTTGCACGTAAATATATAATATTAATACATAATACTACTAATAATAATAATAATATTAATAATATTAATAATGATGATGATGATTCTAATACATAATACTTTCTCAAAATTACATTTTGATAACTTTTTAATTTTTTTTTAGGAATAAGTCCAAAGAAGTCAGCTGGGAATCTGGAAGATTAAAAGTATTTGAATATTCTCTGGTACTGATTGAACAAAATGTCAACAAACATGTGTGAGGACAAGCTGGTAACAGAAATCGCAGAATTGCGCGCGTTGTTGCACGCAAAGGAAGTCCAACTGGCACGTTTGCGAAACGAAAGACAAGTTACACAGGAGTATGGCTTGAACAATGACGAGATTTGCAGATACAGTCGACAGTTGTTTTTGACAGAGATTGGTGTGCAAGGTGTGCTGTCAAGATTGTTCTTTGTAGCATGATTGTGATGTATAAATAATATTAGGATGTATTGTATGAGAAGAGTGTAATCCTTTTTTTATGATTTTAGGTCAGAAGAAGATAAAAGATAGCTCTGTACTTATTGTAGGAGCTGGTGGTCTTGGTTGTCCAGCAGCGTTCTATCTTGCGTGTGCTGGTATTGGTCACATTGGCATAGTTGATTATGATAATGTTGAGATTAATAATCTTCACAGACAATTATTATATACAGAAGCAAACATTGGTACTGCCAAAGTAATTGCAGCAGCAGAAAGTATTAATCGGTATGGTAAATTCTACTAAGTAAAATTGTGTATTAAAGTTATATTAGTCAAGAATAATTTTGAATAACATTAATTCTAGAATTCTATAAACTTTGCCATCAAGAATTTAAAAATTAAAAAACTAAAAATCAAAGTTTAAAATCAGAGAACATTATTTTACATAAACTAATTGTAAAGTATAAGTTTATTTAAATTGAATTTTTTTTACTAACTTTAAATCAATTCTTTTATTACAAAAACGTTTAAATATTAATAGATTTTGAGAGATTATGAGTTCTTTAAATTAAAAAAATTTTTGAAGAATAAATTTTAGAGACAATTAAATAAATAATAATAAGCAGCAATTCCTCTTTTCCGTCAGTGATTAACAAAATAAATCAAATAATTTTTTAACGACGTTTGACGTAGTTGACGTTTTATTATTTTGTTATAAGGTCGTATTGATACAATTAATTTTATTTGATGTCTAACCAACAATAAAGATATTTTTTATGTCAGTTGAGTCGGTAAAAATTATTTGATTTAAATAAATAATACTTGAAATTGATTTTAAGTAGATCTTTGAAATAGAACTGATTAATGGGAAAGAGAATTATTTCTATTTATTTTTTATTTTTAATCTTGTTTTCAGGTTAAATAGTTATATAAAAGTCACCCCATATGAAATTCAATTAAATAGCAAGAATGCTTTGGATATCATAAAGAATTATGACATTGTAATAGATGGTACGGATAATGTAGCAACTCGTTATCTATTGAATGACGCGTGCGTCTTGAGTGGGAAGCCACTAGTTTCTGGATCAGCATTGAGATTTGAAGGTCACTTGACAGTGTTTAATTACAATGGCCCTTGTTATCGATGCATATTTCCTGAACCACCATCACCAGAAACTGTAACAAATTGTGGAGATGCAGGTGTTCTTGGCGCAGGTAAAGGCTCTTGTAATATCTTTTATACATGGTTCATGATTTAGATTTTAATTTTATCAATTTTTTCATCTATTTTATATTATTGGATATAACAGTTGTAGGAACAATTGGTGTATTGCAAGCGTTAGAAACATTAAAGATAATACTAAATATGCCTGATGTAATTTCTGGACGACTTTTATTATTTGATGGTACGGAAACTAAATTCCACAATGTACGCTTGCGTCCAAAGAACGCGGATTGCGCGATTTGCGGAGAACATCGTGTCATACATGAATTAATAGACTATGAAGAATTTTGTGGTGCGAAAGCAAATGACAAAGAGCCCAATTTGAATTTACTGAGGAAAGAAGAAAGAATATCGGTCGAGGAATATAACGAGATTGTAAAAGTCAATTCAAACCCTCATATACTGATCGACGTACGTTCACCCGAAGAATATGAAATTTGTCGTTTACAAGATTCCATTAACATTCCTTTTACGCAACTCAGCAAGGAGCACAATTTAAATCTAATAAGAAATAATATAGAAAAAGTTCAAGAGGAGCATCGTCCACTAGATAGTAAGATAATCTGATATTTATATTTTTATTTTTAAAATTAGATTATATATATATATATATATATATATATATATATATATATATATATTTTTGTGATTGAGAATTAACTTTTTTCCAGTGTATATTCTGTGCAGACGCGGTAATGATTCGCAAAAGGCTGTACAATACCTGAAAAACTTATTTACCAAAGATACTTTACAAATAAGGGACATAATTGGAGGTATCTATGCTTGGAGCAATAAAATTGATCCAAAGTTTCCTAAATATTAAAAATTACTAAATAAATGTTTATATAAGATATTTATTTTCAATAATATATCTTCATCGAGATGATACAATAATTTATATTACATTTGTACCCAGATTTTTACTTGCAAGTGATTGGAAATATATATTAAATATATATTTTATTTACATATGTACTATACATTTAATTGGAATATATTTCTATTTCTTCAATAGTTAGACTAGTTTCTGGATGTTTATAGTGAGAATCTGGTAAGCTCCTTAATTTTTCTGCTGCCTGTTCCGGCGTTAAATCTCTCTGCGCTTGAGCTAAGAGTTCATAACCGACCATGTGTTTCTTTATCGTAGCAGATCGTAACAAAGGTGGTAGATATATTCCGTGAAAGGTCCAATATGGATAATCGTTATTAAGGTATGGACCCGTTGGAGCGCCTTTAATTACAAATCACTAAATCATTATTTCATAATATATAAATAATGAAAATAATATGTGATAATAGTTATTTTTTACCATGCCATCCCATTGAATATGGAAAAGAACATTGGAAGAGATTGTCATATTTAGTGCATAATCTCTTCATGATAACAGCTAGAAATTCTTGTTGACTGTCCGACAAGTCTTGCATTCTAGTAACTTGCTTCTTTGGTAGTATCATAGTTTCATATGGCCAAACTGCCCAGAAGGGTACTACGACTATCCAATCACGATTCTCAATTACAATCCGATCCTGGGAATAATAATAGTTCATATAATTAGTTACATAAAATAATGCTACATGCATAAGTCGTTGATATTAAATCTTTTACATAAAATATATATTATTTATAATAAATATTATAAATAAATTTGTTTTTTGTTTATTATTAAAATATTATTTATTATAAATTTATAATAATATATTATTTATATAATAATTCTAATACCTTTTTTAGGACCTCCTTTTGCATGTAATCGAAGAGAAGAGGTTTCTTATTACGCTCGTAATAATCACTGAGATATTTATCTTTTATTCTAGCTTCATTTGGTAAAAAGGAACTGGCCCATATCTGACAATGAGGATGTGCGTTGCTACAGCCCATCAAAGCGCCTCTATTTTCAAACACCTGAACCCAAGTCCATTTCTCGCCCAATTCGAGCATCTCAATGATCCACCTGTCACATTCTGCAATGTTCATTTCTCGAAGCAAAACATTCTAGTGCACACCTAGGATGTTATTCATACCGTTTGATTACTTCCTTGATGTCATGAATCTTCATCAACGCTATGGTTACATTCGACTTTGGATGAAAGCACATCACTTTACAGGTACCTTTAGCAGATCCCATTTGAAATAATTCATCCTGCATTTTCGGTGGATCTGGTACTGATTCCAATAAAGCAGGAAAATCATTCACAAACGAAAATGTGTTTTGATACATTGGAGTTATCTGCAACATGAGATAGCAATTCTAAATTATCTGATAGTAATAGGAAGCTAAAATTTATATGGTGTAACTGTAATACTAAAGATTTTGAGGAATTGAGGATTATTAATTTATATTGAAAAAATTATATTGAGCATCTAAAGAACAAAGAATTTTATCAGGAGATTGATAAGATTTCCACTATTATATTACATTGTTAAATTTTAGATTATGAATTAATGAAATCTTTATTCTGTGCCATAAATTTTTTTTAAAGAGTACACTGATATAAATAGAATAGATAACAGCATAATATTGAAATATGAATATAATGAAATATTCTTTTACCAAAAATAAAATCAAAAAGGAATTCTGGTATTTTAATTACGTTCAAAAATCATATAAGGCAGTAAAAAATACATTATTTGTATATTATAAATAAAACATAAATAATTAACTGACCTGTCCACTAGCTCTGACATTCCCCGGGCAAAGTGGATTTTTGGGATCATAATCTGGGAGATCTTCATCTACACTAGGTTCTATCTGTCCTCCCCAAGGTCGCTTCATACGATGTGGAGATACAAGTACCCATTCTCCTCTTAATGGATTATATCTTATATGCTGATGTTCTATAGAGCAATTAATCCTTAATAAAACTTATTTTAAAAATTGCAGGAAAATGCAGTTATATGTATATCTAACCAGTTGGATCAAATGATGTAGGGCATTTTGTCTCCTCTGGATGTATGTTTTCCGCTTCATGTTTGGATTTTTCCAATGATCCTTCACCTATGATATAAATTTACAAATTTATAGGTAATATATTCTTTCAGATTATTATCACAGAATAAACTTGCAAATAAAATGTAACAAATTTGTTAATTTGCATTAAAAGTGCAAAATTATATAACTAGAATGTTATCGTGTGTTTTGATCTGATTACATAATTTTCTTTCTCTGTGTTTTATGGCATTATATATGATATATTATGGATTATAAAATAAAATATTTTTATATTAATTTCAATTTTATCTAAAGAAGGACTAAATTTTTTCAATATAAAATATTCTTTTCTTTCTTTTCAGCAGATTTATGAAATAATTGGACTCAAATTTATCCTTCCTACATAATGCGGCTCACATCATACAGAATAATAGAATGTTATGAAATATTGAGAAACTGACATCAGATTTAAGATTTAAGATTAAGCATTTATTTATTTATTTATATAATAAGCATACTTACCTTTGGCCGACATTTGTGCGCGAAGTCTCGAACGAAGTCTTGACTACTAAATTTGGTTCATACACCGCACAAATAAGTTAAGTGATTTGATAAACTTATGTCGACATCGCGTTTATGTGAGTTGCATCTTCGTGCAGATAACAAGAGATGACCTTCAGTTTCGCTGCCTATGTCAATCTATCAAAAAAATAAAAAATTTGATTCAAATTTATGTATGCATATATACATATGTATATGTATAAATATATATAAACGATATAAACACAAAATAAGTATGATATATACATTTGTTACGTTTCGAGATTTTCTTATTGACTGAAGGAGTGAAGAAAGCGATCATATAATTTATTATTATTGCGTTGAATGATAGAATGATTTGTCAAACATTTTTCGAGGTTAAAAAATTTGTCAAAAAAATTGTTCAAATATATTTCTCGCTTGTTATAATCAACATGGTATTTATTCTGCATGATTGTGTACTTAATTAATGTATGAAAATTTAGTAATTATATATAATATAATATTTTGCTTATTGGCAAAATTATCATTACACAATTGTTTTGTGCGACGCACTAAACAACGATTTTACCAACAAAAAATTTATTTGGCTACGTAATTCCAGCTTTTCAGGTGTAGATGGCGCTATTAAATGAAGTCGGTTGTCAGAAAGAAATAGCAACGCATAAAATCGTTTGATATTCGTATACAATATAATAATTTGGGACTGAAAGTCGAACAAAAAAAGAGTAGAAGTAGCATAATCCGATAACAATTTATACAAAATGTAAGTGTATCTATTTTTATACCTATTTTACTATTTAATTCGAATTCTAATTTATTCTCAACATAATTTATGATATGAAACGTAACCTTAATTATTGCGCAAAGTGTACACATAAATGTGCTTTTTATCGTTTCATTTTATTTATATATATTTAACACAAAAAAAACACTGAAAAAGCTTTTGACACTATTATTTAAATTTAAGAAGTAATATAATTGTTTTTTTGTAACAGGTCTTCTTTAACTAAACCAAAATCCGAAATGACGCCGGAGGAACTGGCAAAAAGGGAGGAGGAAGAATTTAATACTGGACCTCTCTCGGTTCTAACACAGTCTGTGAAGAATAACACTCAAGTGTTGATAAATTGCAGAAATAATAAGAAATTGTTGGGACGAGTAAAGGCATTTGATAGACATTGCAACATGGTTTTGGAAAATGTTAAGGAAATGTGGACGGAACTTCCACGCACAGGAAAAGGCAAGAAAAAGGTACGTCTAACAATCATGAATGTTTTTTTTTAGAAACACTGAGATTTCACGAAATTAACTTTATTATCAAGCAATTTAAGAATATTATAAGAATTTATTTAATAATTAACAATATATTAGATAATTATCAATTATGTTTTATATAATTATGCTTTTTCAATATTTTGAAATTATCAACTTTCAGTATTTAATATTGTAAATAATTAGTTTTTTTGAATTTAAAAGAAAAAATAAATATAATTAAATTCAATAAATAAATTTTAGTGTAATAAAAATAGATATATTTAGGATTTTATTTAATAAATTAATAATTACATGTTTAAACAAAGAAATTGATTGCAAATACATTTAATTAAACTCATTAATTTTTTTATAAAAAATTACATATATTTTATATTTTCTAAATTATTTCTTATTAGGTATGATTAAGAAATCTTTTATATCTATATACTGAATACTAATATCAATATTTGATGTATTATTATTCATCATTTTACTTAGAGTTATATTATTAATGAAAATATCCATAAACAGGCAAAACCGGTAAATAAAGACAGATTTATTCCAAAAATGTTTCTACGTGGAGATTCTGTCATCTTAGTTCTAAGAAATCCATTGGCAACTGCAGCAGGAAAGTAATATATTAAGGGTAATTTTAATATAAATTAATATTAATGCTGTAATAAAAAAAATAAAATTTGTACCAACGCGGAAAGTATGTTATTATTTATTAAAGCGTTTGACATTCTTCTTCTTTGCATAAATCCTTAATATAATTTATAATAGAAAAAAATGTGATAAGCAAACACACTGTTTTATTTGTTAAGAATTGTATACAAGATATTAATCCTTTTCAGCAATTGCAGTTAAATGCTTGTCAATTTCTTGCTCAGTAAGAACACTGTAACAAAAATGATAAAACATGACACAGTAAGAATATATGAAATATTTAACAATGGAAAGCTAAAAATCATATACAAATTACCGGAATTTGGGGTGATCCTTCGATACAACTCCCACTTCAATTTCCGTTGGCTTAAAATCGACAGATAAAACAGTAGATAAACAAGTAATGGCTAGTTGTATAGTTTCATCGTAATCATAACTCTGTTTCTTCTTCAGCTTTTTTTCGAGATAAGAGTTAGCTTCGGTTTGCTTTGCTCCTACGGAGATAGCTCTGTAGCCACAGAAATAACCAGCTGGATCAGCTTTGTAGATGCACGGACCCTTTTCTTTGTCATATGCGATGAGCATCATGGAACATCCAAGGGGTCGCATCTCCGCATTTTGCGTGTAAACTTGACTGATGTCGGCAACACGCTGACACAGAGCGTCCACTGGTATCTCATAGCCGTACTTGTACTTAAAGTGAGCCGCTTCATACCGAGCACGTTGCACTTGGGACTTGCTGTCAGCTGCGGAACAAGAATCAAAGGATGACATGTAGAGTTAAATGTACAGTTGTAGACAAATGATCGAGACTCACCTATCATGCCAGTCATAACACAGCCGATATTCTCTGTCAGTTGGAATACATGAGTGACACTGGAGGCATCGAGTAACTTATCCTACAAGGAAAGAGGCACTGATGAACAACAGTATCGTAAACATGTTTCTCTTAAAATTAGATGATTATTAAAATAATAGAAGAACCATAGAGAATCCGAAGTGTCAACCACGAAGAAATTCTGACAATTCTCAGACCAAAGTGGTCTCTCTTGAAGGTTAACTTACAGGCACTTTCTTCTGTGTCGCGAATACGGCAGTGTTGACTCCTTTAACAGCCACGGACGTCAGGCCACCTTGATTGATAGCTTTAAAAGCGTATTCTGCAAAAATTTCAAAAAAGAATACGTTCATAAACATGAAAATCGTAGATCACGCCGAGTCATCGGAGTGACAGAAAAATAATGAAGCAAACAGACGCTTTATACGATAAAGCCGTGTAATAAATACGATGAGGCATCGTCCAGTGTATCTCTCAGATTCTTACCTACTTGATAAAGCCGACCTTCCGGCGAAAATATTGTTATGTGCCTATCAAAACCAGCACTACTCCCGCGCGCCATGTTCGCTAATACAGGAATCGACGATTACTCCGCAACGCAACGTGAAAACGTCAAATCATGTAAGCAAACCAGGTCTGTTCATTTTAGATGCACTTTTGGACCTGGGTTTTTTTGCGCATGCGCGGCGCTGTGACGTCACGTAGCGCGCAATCAAAAAATATCTTTTATTTTATATTTATTTTTATATCAGATAAGAATATTTTATTTTTATATATTTATTATTTATATTATTTTTTCTTTATTTTTATTTTATATTTTTAATTGTTTTTCTATGTCTCATTATTATATTTTTTTATATATTTATTTTTATCCATTCATTATTTACATTAATTTTTATTTTATTTGTTGATATTATTTTTATTTTTATTTTATTATTTTATTTTATTTTTATTTTATTATTTTTTAACTGTTTCTTATATCATTATTATATTTAATAATAGTAATATATATTATTATTTATATAACTATATTTATATGATTTATTAACTGATTTTCTCTCTTGATTAATTTTTAAAATATATTTTTTTCGAATTAAATAATTTAAATTTACCGCGCATGCGCGGAATCTTGTGCAACCATTCGTCTGAAAATTCTCTAGCCACTAGCCAATCGGTACGTCGGATAAATGAAAGCTCGGCTTTAAAGTACGGCGACCCTGAAGCCACTCATTATTGGTCGGTCTTTTGTATCCGATACATGATTCGTCAAGTAATAAATGAACGTCTCCTCTCATAGGTTTCTCTCATAGGTCGTCAGTTTTCATACACGGTTAAATTCAAGTTTAAACGAGACACATACTGTTTTTTAACCGTCCTTGCGTCGTGACTTCTACGAGAACGAAGCGTTGTACGTTTCTGTTATCGGAGTTTTTGTTCTCTCTGCAACGATATTCCGAATTCCGAGAATATTTAATTCCTCCCTTATTACGAGAAAACACGCATCGTCGATTTGTGCGAAAATAAAACACGACATGTCGCGCACAAATTAGGTAATAATTTGCGTACGGTAAACAGTAGGATTAGTCTTTTTGGAATTGCTGCAATTGTGAAGGAGTGATATTGTGATTTTGTGTTATTGTGAGATATACAAGGTTTGTTTTGTTTTTTTTTTAAATTAGTTATTACATTAAATTTCCATATATATATTTTGCAATATAATATTTAATTTTAATATATAACAATTGTTCTCGACAGATAGAATATAATCACAGCAGATTGAATTTTTTTCTGAAATATAGCTTTCATTTTTTGCATGAAGTAACTCGAATTTTAATGCATGTAATATAAACTCTAGATCTGTGTCAATATATAAGACAAGATATATTTTAATAGTGTGACTAGAAATTTTTTAGAATTCTATAATATGCATGCTTTATTCAGTGTTTGTGTTATAGATTTATTTGAATTAATTATTTTAAAAATACATATAGGTACATGTATTATGTTGAAAATACATTGACATTTTTTTTTAATACTTGAACTTATTTCTATTATGCTTAATAGATGGAATCTCGCTTACCTAGACCAAAATTTACATCGACAAAAGTGATCTCTACGATGGATGCAAATATAAATGCTAAAAGCACCAATGATAAAGTGATTAAAGAGGAAAACAATAATCCATCATCGAAAACACTGACTCTAAAATCAGAAATGGCACCAACAGGCTCTCTCGTTACGAGGACCATAAAGGAGAATAAACCACCAGTTCCTCTACTTCGTGCAAAAACATTATCCACAATTACACGATTGAACGAGATGAAGGGTGTGAAACGAGGAGCCACTACTATGACACATACTGAACTACCAAAGAGACCATTCATTAAACCTTCCGTTACTAAAGCAATAGCAAACAAACCAAGTGCTAAAACATTGACTAGTAATACAGCAAGCAAAGTGAATAAAGTAACACAGAATAATACGGACAACAAACTAAAACCATGGGATCTGCGAGGTCGTTTGGCACACACAAGTGACAAATTATCAGTTGCGCAGCAAAAAAGCAAAGACATGGAATCAAAATATAATGCAATGCAAGAATTGGTAAATACTTTGAAAACTAGCGAGACAGCATGCAGAACTAAAGCAGAAAAGCTTGAAGAGTCGAACAATATTTTAACTAGTGATCTTCAGATTTTAAAAGCAGAAGTATCTACATTACAAAAACAGCAGGAAGATTTGACAAAAGATTTAAAAGAGTCAAAAGAATTGTGTACAAGCATTACTTGCACATTGAACGAATTTCAAGGGAAATGTAAAGCACAAGAGGTAACGATTTCAGAACAAACCATACAATTGACAACTTTGAAAGCTGATTTGGAAGTGGAAAAGAAACAAAATGAGCATCTGAGAACTGTGAACGAACAATTACAAGTATTGACTTACAACATGGACAAAGAATGTCGAATGCTACACAATAATATACAGGAATTAAAAGGAAACATTCGCGTGTTTTGTAGAGTTCGTCCGAGAACTCCAAAAGAAATTGAACAGATGAAAGCGTAAGTAAACTTTTATAAATTTTGCTTTGTAGAGTTAATCTACAACTTGAAATGTGTGAATAAAACTATTATTTGTATAATTGATTGTTTGTAGGTTGTGTAGCATAAACTTTATAGACGAATGTACTATTGAAGTAGGAAAATTGGATGGATCAGACGCTATAAGCTGTAGTGGAAAACTAAGAGGAATAAAACAAGAATTTACATTTGATAAAGTGTTTGCACCAAAAGCATCACAAGAAGATGTATTTGAAGAGTTATCTCTTTTAGTACAATCAGCTCTCGAAGGATATAATGTTTGCGTATTTGCTTATGGTCAGACTGGTTCTGGCAAGACATATACTATGGAAGGACAATGTGAATTGCAGACTGAAGGCATGATTCCTAGAACTGTATGTATATACTTATGATATAGTGAACATTATTAGAAATTATTGAATCATATCCTAATAGAATCTTTATAGAATTCTTTATTGGATCATATCCTAATTTATATATACAACTTAACAAAAATCAAGAAGGAAAACAGACTAATAAGAACCTGACGCAGAAAACAGCGCGAATAATTCTTCGTAAAAAATCTTTGAATTAAACCTTTTGTTTCTTTTCAGACCACATATCCAGTAACTGAAGAAAATCATATTCATATCATACACAAAAAATATTATAGAGATGAAAATATTATAGAGAATATATATATTGTATATATATGATATAGTTTTCTGCACCAGGCTCTTATTAATCTGTTTTCTTCTTTTTTATATTATTTATTAGACCCTTTTTTATTTTTATACAAATTTACATTACAGTTTGTAGTGTTTTGAACATAGTTTTTTTTAAAAGAAAGAAATATTCAAAAATTATAAAATTTTTTTATAAATACAATCTAAATTTGTGTATTAGTAGTCAAACTTGTATATAATTTTAGGTACGTCATATATTCAAAGAAATGAAACAGTTTCAACTTCTTGGATGGGAATATCGAATAGAAGCAAGTTTTCTGGAAATTTACAATGAGCATATCATTGATCTTCTTGATTCTCAACCAAAATCGCATGAAATACGAATGGTTGATAGCAAAGGTCAGGATTTATATGTCAGTAATCTTCAGATACAAGAAATACACAGTCCGGAGGAATTGCATGAATGTCTTCGAATTGCACAATGTAATCGAGCTGTTGCAGCTACTCAATCGAATGAGCGGTAATTAGCGGTTATATTCATATTATAGTTCAAATTGCAGCAAAGTTACAAAATACAATGCGCGAAATAGCGTATTTAGCTGCTTCTCTCTTGGGTAAAATTATAATATTAGGAAATGCAACATTTATTTATACATAGTTTACTTTTTAGATCATCCAGATCTCATTCAGTGACAAGAATACGACTGATTGGCACACATAGTACAAAACAGGAGGTATCAATAGGAAATTTAAATTTAGTTGACTTGGCTGGTTCCGAGCGTTTGAAAAATGAAGAAGCTGTCAGAACTACAGAAACGAAAAATATTAACAAATCCTTAGCAAATCTTGGTAATGTTATTTTAGCACTTTTAAAGAAACAGGAACATATTCCTTATAGAAATTCTAAATTGACACATTTGCTTATGCCTTCTTTGGGAGGCAATTCCAAAACTTTAATGTTACTAAATATATCACCATTAGATGAGTGTTACAACGAGACATTAAATTCATTGAGATTTGCCAGCAATGTCAATAATTGCAAAATAGGAAATGTTAAACGAAGTCGCATGGTTTTACAGAACAATACAAACTGAATTCAAAATATTAATTTTAATTAAAAAATAGTTTAATTGCACTTTTTGTTTTTAATTCATAACTTTTTATACGATTGACATTTCTTTTTTATAATTACAATTATAATTTATGTAAAATAATTTAAGAAAAAAAATATGCCTTATCTAAGAAATTAGTTAATAAAAAGACAGTCGTCATTATTAATAATGGTATAATGATATGAATTAAAGAAATATACTAATAGATATAATAATTTAATTTAAATACATGTATGTATATGATCAAAAATATGAAACATCAATATTGTTATTGGCATCAAAACATTTTGTTTGAAATTTTGAATTTCACAGGGATCTTGCTATATTTCATAATTGTCTTTTAATTTTTATACTTTATAATAATTTTCCATTCTTGAGTTAAATTATACACTTAATGTCATTAATGGAATTTCGATTTAACAAGTCATGTTGAATTATTTACTTTAGAAGTAGGACTATCATTTAATTTGGTAATTATTTGAGCTTCTAATTCATATTCTACCAATAATATCTTAAAACTAGTATCTTGTTAAATATACTTGTTTTATGAAAGACAATCTTTATATAATTATAGACTAATATAAATTAAAGACTAAATGTAGATTATAATATAAATTCATAAAAGAGGAAAGAGAAAAACTTATAACAAATTTATTTGATTGTTTATTCAAAGAATTTCAACATATAATTTATAAATATTTAGTTATATGTAGATGTCATTTAATTAATTATAAAAATTTATTTAATTTTAAGTTTAGATATTTTTGCTGCTATTCCATAAAACAAAATTTTTATATTTCTTTTATACCATGCTAGATTGTAATTGAAATGAGACTGCCAGTTTTTATCTAAAAATTGTTTATAAAATACTGACATGTCATCTGCAGTTAATTCTTTCTTCCCTTGTGCTCTTAATAATTCTTGAAATTGTTTACGTTCCTGAAATCTCATTCAACGATATTAATGATATTAACTATAATATATCATAGAAAAAACTAGGATTTACGTACCTCGATAAAACTAGTATTATGTTTGATCCAGAATTCTTGATGCCATCGTTGAGTCTCTTCCCTGAGATTTATATATTTCTTTTCGAAGTAAGTTTCTTTCGCAGAGCGAGCAAATATAATGGGTCTCAGATTTGAAACTGGATCAGGAGAGCCAATTAAATCGTGAATTTGTTGATTGTTGTTCACTTTATCTGTTTTCTAACAAAGATATCTTGTTAGATATATACAATACAGATCTTATTTTTATTCTTATGAACAGAGTAAAATGATAATTAACATATAGTTTTTATTCTCGATTAATTGTTCTTCGTTATTTCATTACTTGTGAAATTCAATAATAATCTATTATAATAATGATCTATTAAAAGTGACATGTTTTGTGATTAGGAAACTTGTCATAAAAACCGAATAAGCGAAATATCATGAAATAAAAATTGTACTCTGGTGATATATATTTTTCAAGCTTTATTTCACATTTAGAGACTATGTTTTGAATTTGTCGAAATTAAATTTAATATTTACACCCTAATAATACATAAAAATAGATACATAAAATTTCATGAAGAGAGATCTGTGTATATTTATCCAAAAATTTACCGTACTAAATAATCTGCAAAATTCCGCAAAATATTTGACGCGATAGTTGCAACATTGCGATACAAGCATTTTTTTACAGAATTTTATCACAATTGATCACAGTAATAATATACGATATGCCTCCGAAAAAAGGTTATTTCACCGCCATGGATGGAGCCATTTTCGTCACGTGATTAAACACATGTTTTCGAATAAGAATATGCATCAGAAGAATATATATATTATAAATACTACATATTTTAATGATTATATTTTATATTTATTATATATTTTAATTAAGGCTTATTTACGCGATTTAAAATTCTTACTTCTTTATATAAATAAATCTTCATAGAAATTATTAATTGCTGTTACACTCGTAGTGTGTTAATCTATACAAAATAAAATCATATAAAAAATAGGATTTGGAAAGAATTAAATCATGAAATTATTATTTTATAATTAACCACATTTATTTATAGTTTTACAATTAACATATATTTTCTCTTCGGCAAATACAATCTAATAAGATATAGTTATATATCACTTTATTTTTTCAATCGAATAAGATTTGTATCTCGGCAATAGATCTAAGCTTGATTAATTTATGGAAATAAATTCAATAGAATAAACATTTAATAAATTTTCGATATAAACTTCGATATAATCAAATGCCTTCCAAAAGGATAAAGTATACATGTACTAAATCTGCCCTTAATTCATTTCCTGTGTGACATAATCGATTACATGTCGAATTATTGTAGTTTTTTTATTGTAAAAGAAATGTTATTATCAATAACAATAAGTTATTTAACAAAATCTATTATAAGAAATTGATTTTTATGTGTATATTAAGACTAGAGTTTTTGTATCAGGTAGAAACATTCCTTTAGGAGACTATGTGTTCGATATTATATCATCGTACATTTAAATAACAACTGTTCAACTCTATAAATGTTGTCTAATATTACATTTTTCAAGCAAATACGAGAATTAGACAACCGTTCTAATTTCTAAACGTACGATGAGAATATAAATCTATATAGCTATGTAAATTGCCGTTAATTGTCACGTACGGTGTTAATTATCACTTTTTTTAGAATAAAAAACGAATATTAATCAAATTTAAATTATTTTCGCATAGAAGTATTTCTAAATTATACTATTTTAATTCTCTTGCAGATTTATATAAAATAGATTGTTTACTTAATTCAAAGGCTTTAAATATGCTGCATCAAATGTTTCGAGTTCATTTATTAAAAAGTTGGCCTCATTTCGAAGATGCTTTGCCTTAGACGCTGCTTTTTCCAAATTTCCTAATGTATTTGTTATAGTTTTAATATGGTTGTCCATTTCGGACGTTGTTTCGTCTACTAAATGACAGAGTCGTGCATATGTGCTGGAGAGCTCCCTATAAAATTATACCAGGTATTATTATATTAGAAAGACATCTATATATCTATACAATTATGAAAATATAATATAGAAACTACTTTGTATAATAAAATTTTGACAATTAATTGATAAGACTCTTGAGAAAGATTATCACAAAGTATTCAAGTATTCTAAATAATTAATATATGAATAATAATAAAATAATTAATATATGAATAATAATAAAATAATTAATATATGAATAATAAAATAATGAATATATAATTATACTAGAAATCAAAATTCTATTAGTCATAATGACACACATCACATGTTGTTTATAATTATTACAACTTACTGTTGCACTTGGTGACTGCAATTTGCAGAAGTAAGGTCTACAATCAATCGCAGTTTCTTCGTAGCATGCGAAACGTATTGTCGTTTAAATTCGCGTTCCTTCGCGCTATTAGTCCACGTTAGACGTTCGTAGAGATATAAAGCACCATATATCGCACCAGTTATTGCAATTAATCTCCACCCTACTGTTTTCAACATCTAAAAAAAAATTTTTTCATAAAAAAAAATTTTTTTTATGTATAGACAAAATTCATTTTTAGATAAAAATGTACATACAAAACCAGCAATAATAAGACCACCCATTGTACCCTGTGATGTCACAGATGCAATTGCTACACGAGTAGCTAAAGACCAATCATCAGATCTTGGTTGAAAGTTTGGTGTACTTGAAATAAATTTTAAGGAATCCGTACTTTCTGCGGGTGATGTAATACATGGTGGAATCTGCAAGAAACATTATTTTTCTTTATTTCTTTTATAAAACAATATAAAAAATTATCTCTATTAATTGCAACAATATATTTATATTGAGTAAGTACCTCATTAAATACATTAGTTTCTTTGATTTATTAACAAATTTGAATTAATTTTCTCTTAAGTATATTGTCGAGAACGCGACAGTAGTTTATCACAATTATCACATCTCTCAATTTATATATATAACTTTTTTATAATTAAATTTGTTATATATTTGTAATTAAAAAATTTTTTATTTTAAGATATATATTTAAAATTTAATATTTTTGTTTTATAAGTAGTATAAATATTTTCCTTGTAAATAATTTAATTCGATCAAAAAATCCGTAATTTAAAAAAAGTAGTTAGAAATATTTTATCCTACCTCTTGTGGGTAATTAGCAATAGCTAATCTGTGACTCTGTTTTCCTGCAAATCTATTAATTAATGCTGTAAAACCCCAGGAGAAACGAAATTCTAGGTCCTCGTGGAAATCCGCACATAAATTATCGCAATTTAATCGATATAATATTTCGAATGGCTCTCGTCGTGGTAAAAAGTTGAGCGACATTTGTTTCTTGTCTTCTGGCAATAAACTTGCCATTCTTTCGGTCATTTCTCGCTGCGAATTTTCCATATTCAATTGTAAAGCAGTGCTAAGTCTAGCTCGTAAATTTGATCCTAAAATATATATAAAATTTTTCATTGTGATAATGATATATATATATATTACATTATAATAGATTATATCTTTATATTTTTATATCATGTCATGAAAAATATAAATATATAGCCAAAAATTACCCAATCCATTTTCCACGTGTACATGAAGTTCCCGTTTAAATACGTTTAAAACAAGTGGTTCAGGGTGGAATGGAACATTAAATTCATCCACTAGAACGGACAATCGTCGAATTTCTTCGCTTAAAGCTTTAGAGACTCTTTGCTCCACATCTTCAACGATATGATGAATTTTATCCTTCATTTCTTGAGTTAACAGGATCAATTGTTGTTCAGTGAAATTCAACTTGTCATTAACTTCCTTCTTAATATTCAACTGTTCGTTTCGCATTTTTTGTGTGCGATCCAATATCTCATCTAACGTTTGACGTATTTCGCTACAATAAATATCAATCAAGTCAAATCAATTTATATTTTTTTAGCCAATTGCATAGATACTTGCATATAATATTTAAAAGAGATTATATGTAGAATATATTTTCTTACGTCGCAATATGTTTACCACGTTGAGAGTGTTGTTCAAATTTGGTCTTTACTGCAGACTTTGAAATACATTCTTCAAATTTTCTCTCGAAATCTTGAAACTCGAAATATCGATTTTGGAAACCTTCTGCTAGCGCACCATCTATAAGTTACATCTTGATTAGAAAAATGTTTTTTTAAACTTAAGAAAATATGTAACAAATAGCAATAATGCTTACTATGAGCAGGTTGACCACGTTGTTCTTGCATACGAGCCTGAAGAGTTTCTTTCGCAGAAATAAAAAAGACCCGTTCTTCAGCATCTTTTGGACTATAAACTTTCAATTCCCTTGCTAAAAAGTCAATAGCCCGCTCCTGATGTTGGGCTCTTACCTACGCATAAAGAATATATAAATATAAATGAATATAAATATATATCATATAATTCATTGTACAAAATGCATTTAATCGTGATAAGCATATTGACAAAATTGTAAAATTGTATAATTTGGTGCGTTTTTAGCCGTTCGTAATTAGTGCAATAAATATCACAGTTATTTTTGAAATTCAATATATATAATATTTTAAACTATAATATTTAATATATAAATTATAATATTTAATATATAAAGCTTCTAAAATTATGAATGTTGAAGTATTCACTTTGACTTTCTGTATATAAATAAGAGATAAAAATAAAGATAATTTGTGTGCATTTGTGAAAAAAATAAAACATTTTAGTATACATAACATTTTTCACTTTTAAGTGCATTATTCTTTAATAATAGATTCTTTAAATTATTCAGAGTCGATTTTTCCTCTATTAAAAAGAAAACAACTGAAGAATGTACTTTTGTTACCTTATTTCAATCTCTAAAATTTAAAACATAAATTTAAAACATTAATAAAGATTTTTTTCTTTTTAATCGTAATCCAAAAGTTATTATCGTTTCGACATTTTTGCTGAGGAAAAATCACTTTGAATTTGAAGAATGTATCATTAAAAAATAATGTAAAAAGAGAGACATCCTAAAAATCTGTATTGTAAAGCATATAAGCATCATATTTTGGATAAGCAACAATTCCTATTCCAATGAATAAACTTACCTCCTTTTGTTCTTTGACCAGCTAAAGAATAGAGAAAAATTCAAATTGCTATTCAAATTCTATGCAAATTCTAATATGTACCAGATTATTCAATGTGGATTCTATACATTTAAGTTATTGTATATTATATACAAATATAATATATATTTATATGCATTCACACATTATAAATCATACATTTTTTAAATTTATACAGAAAAATTTATATTAAAAATTTAAATTTAGACCTTTTGTTTATTTTATATTTATTAATTTCATAATTTATTATTTAAGTGTTGTCAATTTTATAATAATTTTGACATTTGATATACTTCATATTTAATATAAAACTTCTCATTTATCAAACAAATTAATAGTAAAAATCTTAATTTTAAATTTAATTATACGAATTATATTAATTAGTACATTTCTCAGAATATTATTATATCAAATAGATTGATAATTTATGTATTAAGTATATGTATGTTGTAATTATTATAGTTTTTTTTATTTTCTATAGTTAGTGCTTCACAAATATACATACCTGATCAAAAAATTCTGGTTCAGAAGCAGAGGCGTCCCATCGATTATTTAGAATAAATATATTCGGTTTTGATAATCTTGTCGAAACTTTATGAAAAAAATTTTTTTCCTGAAAGAAAGAAAGAAAAAACTAATTAATTCTGAGATTTATCATATAGTATTGATTATTAAATGACAATATCATTGTGTAAGACATGTAAAGGAATTGAGCTATTCCTGTCTAAAAAATTACAAATTTCTAAGAAGATAGGACATATTAAATAATTGTTAAATCGAAGAAATATGTTGATAATAAAAATAAAATTAATATTTTTATATATATTTATTTATTTAGAATATATATTTTAAACTTTTGTAATTTTTTTCTTAAATAATTTTTCTTTTGTATATATAGATATAATTTTTTTAACAAGTACTATAGCAAATGTTATATTTGTTACAGAGATATTAAACTTACCGTAACCATCAAAGTGGATTCAGCATTTGCAACCAAGACAAAAACATCAGCGTCTAAACAATGTTTATCGATCCATTCATCAAGATTTGGAGTTACATCTACTCCTGGACTATCGACAAATACTACGTCATCTCGTAGCAATAAGCATTTCTCCTTTGGCCAAAATATTCTTACTAAATGACTTTCGCATAATTTTTCTTTACAAAGTGCGTGACCCAACTGTCCGACAGATTGAACTGGCTGTTTCTCGGTGGATCCTTCAGTAATAAGGTACGATTCTCCATTTTCCGAACCTTCAACTTGCAGGAAACAGTTTGTGGTGTGTCCTATACCACTTGGTAAAATTTTATCGCGTAGCATAGCATTAATGACTGTACTTTTTCCATTACTTGTTCTGCAAAATATATAAATGTCGATTATATCCTCCTTTTATTTAGAAATTGTATTGTGATTCACAAGAAGAAAAATTTTCTGAGTTTACATAAGAATAATATTTTAATATTTTATAATTTTATAATATTTTATATAAGATAAACAGATGATAAAATGAGATAACTTACAAGATAAATAATTCCTCACCTGCCGAAAAAAGCAACTTTCATATGATCCCTTCTAAGGACATCTTTTATTCCACGCACTTTATCAATGTAACCTTTGACCTTTACTCCTTCTTCTGCCGTTACAATATCACGATCATTTTGTAATACTGTAATAAAATTATTAGTTAGATGAATGTGTGATTGTATTATGATTAGACATATTACATTTCTCTGAATTTTCTGTTTACTTACATCCCATAAATTCCACAGTTTCTTCTACATATTTTTCTATATCCACAAATATATCATTTATCCTTTTCTTCGCCTTCACAAAAATCTGCAGAGGAGAATTATCAGTTCTAACATCTGATGATCGAAGTTGGCTGTCTCCTCCAATCATGGACGATTGTACAAGTGCACGATTGATATAGGCAGCCATTGTTTTTTTTCTATATTTCTATTATAAACGTGATGTATTTGGCAAAAATAATAAAAAAGTACGGTGCAGTTTGTGGATAGGCAGTACGTTGGTACACAGTGCACACAGCATGCGGGATCAACTGAAATCATAAAAAGCAGTAGTTAAATATTTTCTAATAATCAACTTCAGGACTACAATATTTAATGTATGTTGACAAAATTAAAAAATATGATGTGGATAATCATTGACAAATAATTATAGGATATATCTCTAGCTGACTGTATTTCTTTTAAAGATTGGAATATGATATAAAATATAATACAAAAAATATAGTTGATTATATTTTCTGAGAGATATCTGTGTATATATTTGATATACCAAGTGCAAGACTAACACTGCTAATAAAATATCAAAAAGAAGATGATAAAATAAATTAAAAATTAATAAGACAAAGAACAAATAAGACAATAAAGATGCAATATAATTGCTTTAAAAAAACACCACAAATTTTATATATAATTTACATTTGTTTTATACATATATATATAGCAGATGTGTATACATATTACAAGCACTAACAGTTTTTAAACATATATATTTAAATTTGTTTTTTTTCAGTTCTTTTGCAATATAAATAAAAAAGTATGAAAAGAGAGTTTTATTACATGTAGGGTGTATCACCTATATGTATATAATTAGTGTCATTTGTAATTATAGAATTATGAAAAAATGAGTCAAAAGATAAAAAAATATTTTTTATATACATTAACAATTTTTATAAATTTATCATAGTTTATCAAGTTAAATATTCTCAGTGAAATTTAACAATTTTCTGATCACAAATTATAATGGATTATATTTTGAGAAAATTTCATTTGTATCAAATTAAATCATATAGTTAAAAAGATTGTGACAATATTTCTGTTCAGAAAACTTTCTATATGGATTAAAGACAAATCATGTACAAAAACAGTAATTTTCAATAATTTTGCAACACCCCGCATGTTTTTAACACTAAACAAATATATGCATACTAGCAATAAATGTGTTGAATAGAAATAGTGCAACCTTTTTATCTTTAGTCATTGATGAATCCGTAGAGTAAATTTATGATATATTATTTGAATGTTGTCCTGTGTCCAAAATTGCTAAAACAATTCATATACGTTTATTATTAGAATTTGAAGAATCTGTTGCTATAAATTATAATTTATTAACATTGACTTTTTTTTATTTTTCAGAAATATAAGATACATACTTTGGACACGGATCTTTTTTTTTATTGCAAATTTATTAGATTTGTCAATTTAAATTACTTGAAATACGAAAACACGTGACAAAGGCGAATGGATGAGGTAATATACGAGATTTATTTCTTTTAAAGATATGCAAGAGAGTAAAGGATGCATTCTATTAATGACTTTACATTAAACCATATATATAAATTATTCTCGTCTAAACATACAAAAAATCGCATACTTGAATTAATTGAATATTTGAAGTATTGCGTAGCAGAATAGCTAAAAATTGCTTTACACCGTCTCTAACCTCTATCGCAAGAATAAGATTCATACGTATTTTTATTCAGACAATAACATACGATTGTAGTGGTGCATTATAGTTGTCATACCATAAAGACAGTTGTGCGTAAAATGACGAACAGTAATTCATGATAATTGTGGATAATAAAAACGTCTATTTAATTGGTAGATATATCAGACTACAATATCTTCCATTTATAACATATATATATATATATATAGAAGGTGGACTTGCAAGTGACATAAGAGCTCGTATACAAAATTTCGTCAGCCAATTAGAAGACGTCTGACAAAAACGTCATCGCCAATCGGAGCGAGGCGACCGATCAGCTGATTGGTCAATCCGCAGCTGTCAACGGGCGAGCTGTCATCTGTCATATTGCGGAACAGCCCTAAGAGAAGCGAGAGCGTTTGGAAGGTGAAATCGTCAAACGGAATGATAGTTCGTGGATTTTGCCTGCCGACTCGCCGCTTCAAGATCTCCTCCTGTTTGCTTCCAGCACTTCAAGCGACGAGAAGGTACACGGCTGAAGCGTTTCGAATTTGAATGCGTAAAGCGCGAAAAACGAACGCGGACTCACTCGAAAGGATCCTCGCCGGGGCCTCGCGGAAGGATATGCCGAGCCTCAAGGTGCTCGACGGCGACACGGG